CCGTTTATTATGCAAAACAAAAAAGGCAAAACGGTTTGGGCCGAACCGGGAGTCGAACCCGGGACCTCTCGCACCCGAAGCGAGAATCATACCCCTAGACCATCCGGCCGCTGAAATAACGCGGCGACCGAGGGCGATGAGGAGAGTGCGGGTGCGCGCCGCCGCCCGCAACAAACCGACCTTCGCTGATGCTCATGCTCGGCCGATAGCGGTTCTTTTTGAGAAATTTGAACTGCATCTTTCTGTCGGATTTCGCCGTGATCGTCGGCGGCGAAAACGGGTAGTTTTTCGGGATGGCGACGGTGACGACGTGCTCGACAGACGGCACTCCGTACTGGAAGACCTCTTGACTAGATTTCATATCAAGTGCCAAGTGTTTCTACGAGCAAAACACTAAAATTACCGTCTTGAGCGTCACATCGAAACACGTTTTCGACGGTATCGGCTCCGTGCGGACCACGTAAAATTGTCCGCTTCCATCGGTTACTTGGGCCTAAAAAAAGTTCAAAAATGTTTTTTTCCAAGTTTGCCAACTCACCACAATATTCTCGATTCGTTTTTCGCACAGGCTACTACTCATTTCTCGTTCGTTGCAAGAAACGGACAAAAATGAACAAAATGAACGTGATTTCGGTTTTTTGCCAATTCTTTTTTCTGCTCGCCCCAATCGACGGTAAGTTGTGTGACGTGGTCATTCCAGAATCGTTGTTTTTTTTTGTTGTGACGTGGCAACCGGTTTTAGGCTCGAAAATTCGAAAATTGATTGATTTTGTGGAAAAAGACGCGCCGGGCGGCCTGCAAACGGTGCCCAACTACAATGAGGAGAGTGTGGCGTTTCGACGCAACAAAAACTTCAATCCCTGTTTGGAGAACGCGAATATCTGCTCGAACGGCGGAAAATGTGCGGCGGAAGGCGGAAAGTACGTCGTTTTTCAGTGGAATTCCTAAAATTTGACCCAAAACATTTTCAGCTTCTATTGTATTTGTCCGGTGACGCACTACGGCAAAACGTGCGAACATTTGGCGGATCAGACGAACTGCGAACGTCATTTGTGCCAAAATAATTCGACTTGTGTCAGGTTTGTGCCACTTTTCTGAAATGTTTCAACATTATCCATTGCGTTGCCGGCCCGCCGACTCCTCACGTAATGCCCGCTGCACGCGCTCTCCTCACTGCCCTCCACCGCCGTCGCTTTCGGACGGAGAGATGGCCGAGCGGTCCAAGGCGCTGGTTTAAGGCACCAGTCCCTTCGGGGGCGTGGGTTCGAATCCCACTCTCTTCAGTACTTTTTTGCTTTCCTTCCTCTTTCATACTTTCCGAGTTCAGCACAAAATCCCGGAGAACCATCGTGAATACGGTCCTTTTGAATCAACTCCGGGTCGAGAAGGGCGCACAAAAGGCCCTGGACGATCGGGAATTGGCGCTGATCGATTTGGAAGTGAATTACGAGTGCATCTGCCAAAAAGGCACGTTTGGCGCGTTGTGCGACGAGTCGGAAGCGGATCGGACGTGCCGCGACGTCTATTGTTTGGGTCGTGGCAAGGGAAAGTCGGACAATAGCGGAAAGTGTTTGTGCGAGTGCGAAAAACAGTTTTTCGGCGAGCGGGTAATCGAATTTTCTTGTTTTCCCGCAAAAATTATGTAATTTTTCGTTTAGTGCGAGCAATTGTCCGCTTGTTTTGACACTTTATGCGAAAATGGAGGCATTTGTCAAGATGTGGTCGACGCGCAAGTGAGTTCTTGTTCCGAGGGACTTTTTTCCGGAATTTTTGCGCAAAGTGCCGTAGGATCTGGTACAAAGTCCGCAAACACCGAGATCACGGACTTTGCGCCGGATTTGACGGCAAATCCCAAAAAATTCCGGAAATTGCAGGCAAAAACGATAAGAGCGGTGTGCAAGTGTCCGGAAAAGGTGGAAATCATTGGGGCTACAGTAACCGGTGCGATTTCTTGCCTACCGTAATCCGCACCAACTTACTTTAAGGTGAAAACTGTGAAACTCTGCACATCCCCACCGGAATCGCAAAAGAACTACTTCCATGTGAGCAAGGCCGAGATTCGTTCACGTTTTTCAAAAAACTAAAGGCAAAGTGCGGCGAGAAGGATTACTGTAGCTTTTCGCAACAAAAAAAACCACGGTTTTTTCCAGAATCGACTTGTCGCTGATGGCCGAAATCGACGAGTTGGAGGCGATTCAAATGGACTATCACGATGGGAACAGTTCGAACGCAAAAATGAGCGTTGGCTGGTGTCAAAACGCCGGAAAATGCGTGGCCGAAGTTGTCCGCGGTGTGTCGTGTGAGATGGCGGCGACCTCACGAAAATCACCACAGTTTCAGTAAAATCGGGCCGCGCGTATTTCGTCCATCGCTGCGAGTGTACGGACGCGCTCTCCGACGGCTACTATTGTGAATATCGGCGGAGCGACGCGTGCTCGTTGCGCCGCGAAGAAGTTGCTCGCGGAGCGCGTTGGGACGAAAAGTGTACGGATATGCAACATGGTGCATGTGTGGATATTATGGGCGAGCCCAAGTGTGTGTGAGTTTAAGTAATCCGAAAATCGGAAGAAAAGCGCACTTTCAGTTGCAAACCCGATTATACCGGCGAATCGTGTGAAGTGTTCGATCCGTGCGCCCGACATCCTTGCAAGCACGGCGATTGTATTCCGGTGAGTCACACCGATCCTACAGTACCCCCGTAATCCTTTCAGACGCCGAGTTCGGCGGATTCCTCGTTCGGCACACAACGTTTCCAGTGCCTCTGTCCGTTATCCGCGAAATTGGACGCGAACAATAGCGATTGTGTGCCGATTATCGACAAAAAGTGTGGTGCGGGCGTGTGTGGGAACGGACGGTGCGTTCCGTGCGATTCGGATATCTCAGCCGCCGACGACGATCTGATGCCGCTGTGCAATTTGAACGAAAACGCGCAAGGATTCCGATGTCTCTGCGAGGCCGGATATCTTCCGCCCGTCTGCAAAGTGCACACGAATCCGTGCCATCAAAATTTGTGCCAGAATAGTGCCACGTGTCGAGTGAACGAGGCGCAAAAGAGCTACGAGTGAGTGATTTTGCACTAAAACCGTTTTTCCCCCCAGAAATTTTTGCGGAATTTTCGAGTCCGCGAGACAAAAGGTCGGAAAAGCAGACTTGCCAAATTACGGGCCGGCCCGGCCCGGTCGGCCCGGCTCAAAAGGCGCGAATTCAAATTTTTGGGGGAAATTTATTTTTTCGGGGATCAAAATTTAAAAAAAAACTACGACACTCCGACATTACGCTCGCGGAGGAAAATTCTACTAGTGCTCAATAAAAATCGTTATTATTTTCTTCTTTTTTAATTGTTACTTTTGCTTTGATGTCAATAAAAACTATTTTTGAGAACTACATTTCTTTTTTATGCTCGATACTTGCAAAATTCGTTAGTTTTACGAAAAACAAACATTTTATTTATTCAATAGTTCAAAATTTGGATTCCCGCTTTTTGAACTGGGCCGACCGGGCCGGGCCGGGCCGGAGTTTTGAAAATTTTGGCCCGGCCCGGCCCGGCCCGTGGCAACTCTGGAAAAAGGTGATAAAAAGTCGGAAAAAAGTGACAAAAAGTCGGAAAAAATGCCAAAAGGTCGGAAAAAAATGCCAAAAGGTCGAAAAAATGCCAAAAGGTCGGAAAAAAGTGACAAAAAGTCGGAAAAAATGCCAAAAGGTCGGAAAAAAATGCCAAAAGGTCGAAAAAATGCCAAAAGGTCGGAAAAAAGTGACAAAAAGTCGGAAAAAATGCCAAAAGGTAGCAAAAAATGCCAAAAGGTAGCAAAAAATGCCAAAAGGTCGGAAGAAATGCCGAAAAGTCGGAAAAAAATGCCAAAAGGTCGGAAAAAAGTGACAAAAAGTTGGAAAAAATGCCAAAAGGTCGGAAAAAATTACATAAAGTCAGAAAACAGATATTTTAGCTTTTGTTACTTTTTTCCGACATTTTTGGTTTTCCGACTTTTTGTCATGGACTCGAATTTTCAGTTGTATCTGCTTGAACGGCACTCGGGGCACACTTTGCGAGACTATCGTCGATTCGTGTGACGCTTTTGGTAGTTTTTGGCCCACACTCGCCCCTTTCTAATTATCGTCATTTCACCGCACAGGAAACAATGTTTGTGAGCACGGAGTGTGCGTGAACGACGAGTATTTCCATCGCGGATTCTCGTGCGATTGCGACGACAATTTCGAGGGTCTCAATTGTGACGTGGCACTTTCCAGCGTCGAAACTCTGTTTCGCAGGGTTCAGGTGACTTTGCAAAATGTTTTTTAATATTTTTCTCGCAAAATGTCGTCAAATCGGATGCAAAGTCTGCAAACACTGCTACGGACTTTGCACCAGACTTGACGACAATTTTGCGGAAAAGCCCTAAAAAAATGCCAATTTTTCTAGAAACACTACGAATATTCGCTTCCGCTCTCCGTCTGCGTCGTCACCCTTCTCCTCCTCTTTCTAATCATTTTGGCCGGAAACAGAGGTCGTGGAGGGCAAAAATTGGCGGAAAATCCATAAAATACATTTTCACTGTACACACACACGCACACAAAAAGGAGCAGAAAAAAGGGGCAAAAAAGCAGACCATTATTGTTGTTATCACAATTTTTGCAGGAGGTTTCGGGGGAGGTAATACGGAGCGAATTATTATTACAAGTTTTGAGTTGGAAAACAATGGAGACAACTGTACCGTTTCAGCTGCAAATCTACTTACAAGGGAAGAAAGGAAGGGAAAGCGCTAAAAATGGGTAATTTATGAGCAGAATAACGGGGGAGGGGAAATTGAGCCGTATGTGTTTCGAGGATTTTCGCGTGTAGGTTACACTTCCAAATGGGCCAGCTGATTGTGGGTCCGCAGGTAACGGGGCGTCGATTTTTGAGGTGTCATACACGGGACCAGCCACAAAAGCTTCGGACCTGAAATTGCGACATTATTGCAACTTTTTATAAAGATACAGTACCTGGCCCGCACACCTGCTTCATCATGGCCACTTTGCTGGAACGGGGCCGTCGCGAGGAGGACAGATAGTTCCGTCCTCGTCTTTGGACCGCTTCCACGGCCGTTTCGTCCGTGAAAATTGCGCCCAGCTGCAAAAAAGTGAGGAAAACAAGGTATGCAATGAGCAGAAATCGCACCTGATCACACGAGACGGCGAGCACAAACAGGCCGAAAAGCGCCGATTCCATTGCCAGCATTATCGAGTGGATTCTGAAGCGAAAATGGCGGTTTTCATGGGAAAACTGTTTCAGAGAACTTACACTTTTGCGTGATGCACATTTTCGCCGTTCGGTCCTTTGATACCCGTCGGACCGTACGCGTCGTGGTAGACCCAGCACAACACGAGAATACTGCAAAAAAAAAAACAGTGAATTCTCAGGGGGAAAATAGGCAAAATGGAGGACTTACAATAGCGAATAGAGGCTGGAGGCGCCGACGTAGAGTATGAATTGTAGAAAATACTTCTGATTGTACTCGCCCACACAATTGTTCACCCACGGACCTGTAGACGAGAACATTGGTAAAAGTTGAGAGGTTTCAAAATCAAAAAATGTCAAGTTGGCGTACAATGGTGGTCCATCTTGCGGATGCACCGTTTGCAGACGCGACAGTGGTGTGCCCTCGGCGGTCGGAGCGAGTCGCACCGTGTACACGTGGTCCATTCGGTGGCCGACGGGCGGTTCAGGTGGTCCCGTCGGAACACCGCCTCTTCGTCCGACTCGTACTCGTCCGACGAGTAATCCTCGTTCTCTTTCGGCAATCTGCAAAAATGGCGATCTTTACGACATCCTCTTCATTTTTCGCTCACTTTGAGTTGGAAATGGGCACGACTCCGGGATCGGAGAGCATCGTGCGCGTGTGTGCCACGACGGTCGTCGCCAGCAGTCCATTGAACACGATTCCGTGCAGAACTGTCCAAATTCTGCAATTTTTTCCATAAAAATTGCGCTTTGGCAAAAACTGACGAATGGCCGAAGGTGGGGAGGAGCATCCAGATGAGAACGACGTAGTCGGCGTAGGCGATCAACGCGTAGATGAAGCAGACGCACACGAGTCCGCACGGATCCCATTTGAACATTTCTGAGCCCTCTCACTGCTTTTTTCGCTCTTCCATCGGGTTAAATTCTGAAAATTACAATATTATCGATTTTTCGAGCTTTATCAATTTTCTAATAATTTTTTCGAGAAATTCGCATCAAAAAGATGCGCAAAAATCGATAGAAATGCAAATTTTCCGGCTGCCGAACAGCTGTGAAATGGGCGGAGACTTAAAGGCGCACGCCTTTTTGTCGGCCGACGGGTCTCGCCACGACCGGCCCCTCTACCATTTGGCACGCTGCCAACCGGCGCGATTTTCGATTTTTTGAACGGAAACAGCTTTAGAAAATCGCTAAAAATTCGGGGAAAACACTAAAGAACCTTGAAAAAATTGGAGAATTTTTAAGGCGCGAATGTACGTCGAATACGACGAAGGATTGGGCATCTCGCCGCCGCCCAACCAGAATTTCGCCTCTTTTATCCCTGATGTGAGTTTTTTCTGCGTTTAAAAATGAATCAATTGCTTCAGGAAGAGTATTCGTACGCTCCGACGGCGAATAACAAGACGACAAGCTTCATTTTCCCACAAAAATTGGATTTGAGCTCTCTTAATCGAGGTAATTCCATTTTTCGGTAGAAATGTGAGCAAAAAAGTTTTCAGATAGAAAAAAGGCGAATAAAAAGAAGCTGAGCCCGATAAAGCCGTATCATGACTCTTCGATCGAACCGCGCAAAAGTGCAAGAAATTTATCGAATTTTTCCGAGAAAATCGGAACGAAAACGGTGGATTTGGACAGTTTTCGACGGGAATTCGACGATTTAGCGGTTGACGTCATCAATACTTCAATGGTAATTTTTTTAACCCAAAAGAAGCAAAACTGCCTCAAAAACCATCAGTTTTCACCAAATTTTAGCAAAAAAGTATTTTTTTTCAGCGAAAATCGGTGCGTAGTGTGTGCGGAAGTGTGACAAGCGACCGCGCGTCGTCCGTCTCGTCGGCCGCCTCAATTTCGCAGAGATCGCTTTCAATCGAGGTGCGAAAAGAGAATAATCCGCCAAAAGAGCCGGTTTTTCAGCTCCGTCGGCTCAACGAGCGAATGCGACTGAAAAGTGCGGAGAAGAGAGCCGAGGAGGCGTCGTTTCACGAGATTCTGAGCGACAGCGAGTTCCGTTTGAGCTCCGATGACGATACGCGACCGTAAGTCACTCGAAACGGTCCCCGGAGGCCTAATTAGCACCGGAATGCGATGAAAATAACTTTCTGAGAACGAAAGGAAAAAATTGACTTTAAAAAATGGAAAAAAATACCTAGAAGAGGGAGAAGAATAGTAGAAAACGTCGGTTTTTGCAGTCCGTCGAGCCAAGCGTCTCTGGCGGAGGAAACAGTGGAAAACGTGCGTCAATTGTCAGAAATGATCACGGAATTGAGCAGTGACGGACGAATTAGAGGCCGACGCATTGCGGAGCACAAAAAGAAGAACGCCGCCACTAGTACTTCCGGTAATTTTGTTATTATTTGCTATTTATAATCACAATCCGGCGATCTTGTTTCTCGCGCTCCACGTGGGTTTGTACATGAGAAGGATTCGAGTTGGGCGGTCCTTGGTGCTCGCTCAGAATCAATCTTTGTCAGTAAACGAACTTCTCCTTTTCACGAGCCTTTCCTTCTTGCCACTTCTGATCTTTTCCAGTTTATTCCCTCTTTTGGCTCTCTTCTCCTTTCTTCTAAGACGTTCCTGATCAGACCGGGGTCTTTCTCGACCGGGGTCTTTCCCCCCTGCTATTTAGACCCCCCTCTCCCCGTTTTCTCCCCCCCTCCCCTGCGTGTCCTTGTGGTGTACACATTCGAACACGATCCGAGAGGGAACGGGCGGCGAGGCGGTTCGTTGTTCGCCGGCTAATGATGGTTTACGCGATAACTACAACCTGATCTTATTTGAATGGCACTGCGCGTGTCGTCTGTGTGAACTTTAAAAAATTCTGAAGCCTTGCGGACCACCGCCTACGTGGTCCCTTTTGGCTAAACGTCTAGAAAACATTGTTGTGTATTTTTGCAGGATTTCTGTCGGACACCTTCCTGACGGGCCTCTACAAAAATCGTAATCCGTCTGAGAATGAGCGGACCCTCGTGCAATCGGATCCGGACGAAAAAACGATTGTGGACGAGGTGTTCGAGGATTTCCGACCGCCTTTTCGGCCCGCAACGCCTTCCGAAGAGACGCCGATCCTCCGATCGGCCAGGGACCAGTCCGTCGGCGATAGTACCGGTACATTTTTGTGATTTTTGAATCAATTATTTGCGTAATTAACACGAGAATTACAAGAAAACACACCCTATAATTAAAGGATTCGACCGGATCGAACGGCCCCGTAACGCGTGCACATCGGTCCCACTGATTGGCGAGAAACAACGGAGCGCAGGAAGAGGTTTGCTCGTTTTGCTTTTCCCCTAAACCGCCGAACGTTTTTGAGACGGCGTGCCAAGCGGTGGCATTCACAAATCGCTGTCGACGATCCAAGTGAGCCCGGAGAAGTTGCGAGAGCTCCAGAAGCACGCCCACATGAATCGATCGCTGCCGAATCTGGAACGATTTGTGGTCCGGCCCTCCACGCGCAACATTTTCAACACGAATCTGGATATTGATGAGATTTGCAAGAAAGGATTACGGAAGAACCAGAAAAGGTGCGTTTTTGGCTCTGTACGAGAAGAACGGTCCCTGGAAAAGGGTGGTATGTTCGGGAATGCAAAACTTGTCCAGTTTGACTGTTATTCAATGTTTAGTCATCACTACTTTCATTCTTTCAAACCATAATCGATCGTGATCACTAAAATCTTCATTTTTGTTCAAGATGAATCACATAGCCAGCTTTTCCTGAGATTTTAAGATACTTAACATGAAAACAGTACCACTCATCTCTAAATTCACTATTTTTGACTTTTGCAGCTCTGAGCGCATATTCGGAGGAGCAGAAGCCGCCAGAAACATCCACGGAGCGCCGGAAATCTCATCGAAAAGCACGGAAAGCTCGCAGAAACTCCGAAAAATGTCGCGCCCGACGACGGCGTCGGCGGCGAAACAAAAGGGACCGCGAACGAGGAGCTCCTCGAGCCGACCCCCTCCGTACTGCAGCACGACGCCGACCGATGGAATACCGTACTCGATAACTACCGTATCCCAAAACCTGCTCGGAACCGTCAAATCGCTCCATCCGGACTGGCTTCCGATAATCCGGCGTCTTCTGAGAATCGACGATCCTTCGGCGGACGTTTGCGCGTTGTTCCGCGCGGAAATCGACAAACAGCAACTCGTTTTGGAGCTGAAATTCTCGAGAAATTGCCGATTGACATCCGAAGAATACGACGATTGCCGCACGAAAATCGGCGTTTTATTCAGAATCGCCGAGAAGTTGGACGAGTTGCGAAGCCGCGGAGGCAACTATTCCCGGGTCCAACAGATCAAACTCATCCATACGGCACTGTTGAGTGCATAGAAATGCTGTCCCTTTTCTGGCGGAGAAATTGAATGTTTAATCGAATCTCCGCCAATTTCCGTAATATCCTCCCATTTTTTTTCCTCTTTTTCTAATTGAAATGTACTCGATATTACTCGTTCAACGAGCTCTTTATCCTTTTTTGTATTAACTGTATTCTTCTGTGTATTTTCGACCCCCTCAGAAAATGCAATTTTCGCCCATTGCCCTTTCACTTGATGCCTAGCCAATCACGATGTTTTGCCTGTTTTTTTCCACACAAATATTGGTCTCTTTTCAAAAGATTGCATTGTTAACCGAGCAAAACAAACGTTCTTTTTGTGGGAACAAAAGAGAAAGGATCGTAAAATCCCGAATTATTTATGCAGAAAAGGTCTTCCATTTTCCAGGTGACAGGACATTTCGCAACCACTGGACGCTTTGCAACCAAAATTTAACAGCAAACTTCAGACAATTGTCGAATTAAATGAACGGCAGCGAACATTGGCCGGTTGCAAAGTGGCCAGACACTTTGCAACCAAATAAATGCGCTCCCGCTTCGCAACCAGTTCAGTTGCAAAACGTACGCTTAGACAAAACGTAGAGCGTTCAATTTTTCTCTCTTGTTTCGTTAGTGTTCGTACAATGATAATATTGAACTAATGGAACTCGAGGAGCAGTGTGGAAAAAGTGCAAGAGCAAATAAAACGAATGCGAATGGCAGAGAGCAGTCTGGCTCTCTGATCGCTTATTTTCTCATTTTTCCACTAAAATTGACGTTTTGCAACTGAAAAATTGGAAATTGGACACTTTGCAACCGAGTTTCGGTTGGATTCTTGAAAGTTTTCTCGCATTTTTCACACTCCGCACTTTTTTCGTTTAATTTTGGCTAGTGAGACTTTTGTCGCAAAATCAGAGATCACTTTTTGCTCTTTGAGCAACTATTGGACATTTTGCAACTATGAGACGTTTCGCAACTAGGAAATAATCAGTTAGGTTGCGAAATGTCCTTCAGTTGCAAAGTGTCCAATAGTTGCGAAACGTTCAACACAAATCAGTAGATTTGTTCGAATAATTGCCACTCAATCGCATTCATTAAAAGTCCGAGTGGTTGCGAAAAGTCCGGTTGCAAAGTGTCCACTGGTTTCTACAAAATGGCGTTCAGTTGCAAAACGTCCATCTCACTTTTCCCCGTTTCTCTGAGAAGATTGCTCAATTCCATTCATATAGAGCCTATAGTTAGTAGTTTTGGTTGCAAAACATTCGGTTGCAAAGTGTCCACTAGTTGCGAAACGTCCAAAACACCTCATTTCCCATGAAACATGGCAGTTTTAATTGGAAAAAAGAGAGAGAGACAGGGAAAGTGTCGGAAACTTTCTCGTTGTTGTTGTTGCTGCTGCTGCACTAGTCGTATACATATTGTCGCATTCTGCGTCCGTCCGTTCCGACCACTTGTTTACTCCCTCTCGCTTCCCTCTTTCTCTCTCTTTCTCTCTCTCTCTCTCTCTCTCTATCCCTTTTCTTCTCCATCTGTTTCTAGTCTTCTCGCACCCCCATTTGACCCTTCTTTTTCGTGCGTTTCGTGCCAAAAATGCGATGAAATTCGCCAACAAATCTATGTTACTGTCGAATTTAAAGGCGCAGCAGATCAAGGGGTTTTTGCCGAATTTCGACGTCAAAATCGGTGATGCGCCTTTAAATTCGACAGTAACACGACGCTTTGTGAATTCATCGCATTTCTCTCGTGTGCACAGCGAAATTACACGTTTTGAGCTATTTTTTCATCAAACGCATCAAATTTCCGCACGTTTCGTGGAATCCAGTGGGCAAACGTCATTCGTCCGTCTCTCGCTTTCGCAATATCAACATTTCCCTGTTGTTTTCCAATTCTGCGCCACGAAGAAGTGTGTCTGGCACGAAGCGTGACTCATTCTCGGTGTATCAAACACCTTTTTTTTCCTTTCTTCTTCTTCTTAAGCTCCGCCCACTTTTGTGCCCGGCCGCCGAATTGCCATGGAAACGTTATCACACGCGTGAATAGCAGGTGAAAAAATGTTCTCGAAAACGAGATTTTTCGCCATTTCACCCAACTTTCGTGCGATATTGGCAATTTGAGAATAGTCTCTAGTCTTATGATCTCTTTTACGTGTCAAATATTGTAGGGTTTCCTGCTATTTTGGTTTAGATAATGCAGGAAGCGGCATCTGTGCCGTTTTCCGCGGCAAATTGCTCTAAGGGTGCCGATTCCGTGCCTGCTACGCGCTGCTACCGTCGCTACTTCCTTGCCACAACCACGCTGCTACCGTTGCTGCTCCCGTGCCGCTCAAAAGCCTTGCTTCCCTCTCATCCCACTCTTTTTTGTTGCACGCCTCTATCCATGCCGGATGCCATGCCGGATCCGTGCGTGACACATGCTCACCCCATGCTACCCGTAGCAACTTGCTGTTCGCTTGCCGCTCGCGCGCCCCACCCTTGCCGAAAATTACCTGAGGAACGTGGCTTTCATGCATCATATACTATGTACAAATTCATGCATCGTTTTCATCTTTTTTTTCGTAGAAATTCCATCTCCACCGGTCAAAACTAGGCGCACAATTTGCAGAATGCTGCCGAATCAAGTGATCTCGCAGCAACCCGGCTACGCCCCGCAGTACGCGAACCCCGGCGGCCAGCAGTTCCAAATGCAGCCGCCGATAACGACGCAGCCGGGAGTGATGGTGCAGCCGGCGCCCGGATCCGTCTGGATGCCCCTGCCGCCGTCGATTCAGGGCGTGCCGACGGGTCTCGAGTATCTGACCTATCTGGACACGATCATGGTGCATCAGATCAAGGAGCTCATCGAGATTATCACCGACTGGGAGACCAAGAACAAGTACGTGCTGAAGAACGCGAACGGCGAGCAGGTAGCGTACTCGAACCACACTGTCCTCTTGTCTACAAACGCTCGTTCCAGTGCTATTATGCGTTCGAAGAGTCCGGATGTTGCGAGCGACAGTGTTGTGGCCCGAATCGCGGATTCGTCATGCACGTCGTCGACAATTTCAAGAGGGTTTGTCTAAAAATACGAAAATGGGTTGAAAGCTGGCAGGTGGAAGCGGGTAATTGGCCGCAAATTTCACCTGTAAACAGGTGAACTATAATTTTTCGAGGCCAAAAACACAAAAATGTCGAGTGCCGCACCGAAAATCGATAACCGCGTAGACCTCCCAGAGTTGAGCGGAAGAACTAAACGGAAAAATACGGAATAATTTTTATCTTTTTTAGAAAATTTTTACATGAAATGTGATCAACTGACGAAATGTATAGCAAAGTGAACTCTGCTCATAGAAAAATAATTGTAAATTTAGCTTTTTATACAAAAAAGTTAAGGGCTGACGGAAGACGGAAGGACATTTTCACGGAACAACTCGAATAACTTTTTTGTGTGAAAAGTTAAATTTACAATTATTTTTCTATGAGCAGAGTTCACTTTGCTATACATTTCGTCAGTTGATCACATTCCATGAAAAAATTTTCGAAAAAGGATAAAAATTCTTCCGTGTTCTTCCGTTGAGTTCTTCCGCTCAACTCTGATACACGGTCTCTTTCTCACAATTTAAGAGGCTTTCAAAAATTGTGTCTCAGGAAGTGCTGACGATCAAGCGTGAGTTCAAGTGCTGGGGCGGCGGCTGCTGCGGAATGCTCGCGTGCATAGGCTGTTGCCAGCAAGAGTGCGTCGTCGAGACGCCGTCGATGGGCGTGATGGGCTCGATTCGACAGCGGTGCGGCTTCATGGCCTCCAATTTCGACATTCTCGACCACGACGGCAACCTCATCTTCCAAATCGACGGACCGTGCTGCTGCGCGCTCATCGGCTGCAGCGACAAGGAGTTTCCGGTGAGTTGACACTTGGATAGCAGTGTTGAGCGGAAGAACACGGAAGAATTTTTATCTTTTTTAGAAAATTTTTTCATGAAATGTGATCAACTGACGAAATGTATAGCAAAGTGAACTCTGATCATAAAAAAATAATTGTAAATTTAGCGATTCATACAAAAAAGTTAAGGGCTAAGGACATTTTCACGCAACAACTCGAATAACTTTTTTGTATGAATCGCTAAATTTACAATTATTTTTCGATGAGCAGAGTTCACTTTGCTAGACATTTCGACAGTTGATCACATTTCATGAAAAAATTTTCTAAAAAAGATAAAAATTATTCCGTGAGTTCTTCCGTTGAGTTCTTCCGCTCAACTCTGTTGGATAGTAAAGGTCGTGTCTTTGTATGAATATTGTGAGCTTCTAGGGGAATGTATGACTCTAGACATTGTTTCGTTGAAAACTCGACATCTAGTACTGGACTTTTGTAGTTGAACACTTTTTTCTGCGACCACCTCCTGGAGTACTGTAGCGCTTGGAAGCAAGCTCATAATATCCATTAAATTCCAACAATTTTCCCATTTTTCAATATTGTAGATCAAAACGAGCAGCGGTCAAGTCGTGGGAGCGATCACGAAAAAATGGGGCGGATGTTTCCGCGAGGCGTTCACCGACGCGGACACGTTTTCGGTCAACTGTAAGTCTCTACAGTAATCCACGTACAGTAGCCCCCCCTATTTGTTGCAGTCCCCGGAGATTTGGACGTAAAACTGAAAGCCGTCCTTCTCGGCGCCACGTTCCTCATCGATTTCATGGAATTCGAGCAGAAGAGCCAAAATCGCAACAACAGCGGTCAGTGAATTCGGAAGAATGTTTGCCGACTAACGATTTGCAGTCTAACAATATTGTCCGTCTCCACCTGTGTATTTGTTGGGGGGTGAGTACAGTTTTTCGATACAATTTATCGATAAACATTTCCAGAAAACCGTGCCGGCTACACTTACTGAGCAAAGCGAACGGATATTATCAATTCGGCGGCAAGAAACTCTTTATCAATCAGTGCTCTGAGCTCTCGCTTCCCTCTCCCTCTCCCTCTCCCTCTCTCTCTTTCTTCTCTTCTATCGAATTTGCCGCCGCGTTTCGAGAAGACGTCGAATTTTTGCGCCCCGACGGCTCCTCCACACTCTTCGACGTCTTCGCCTGCAATTTTATTTATATTGTCTCCAACTTTGACCACCCCACCCATATTATTGTGCATAATGATTTTTGAGCAGCATTCTTTTAAAGAACGTAAAGTTGCGAAAACGTACACTTTTGCGCGAGACATCGGACGGTTTATCGTCGAAAACGACCATCGGCTTCTGTCTGCCACGCCACGCATTCGGGTACGGATTGCCGGGCGGCGTCGGCGATCCCGTCTTTTTCGCGGATTCCGGAGACGACGACGTCGATTTGACCTTCTTCTTGACGCATCCACTCAGCAGCATCGCGATGGCCAGAAGCGCGAACGTTATTCTGAACGTTTTGCGCATAAAAACTGCAAAAAGCTCGGGAAAATCACTTGCAAATCACTCGGAACAAAATCTTGATCATTTTCTTTTGCGCGGACGGAAAACAACATCCGAAATGAACTTTTTGTCTCCACCGCGTACACGATTACGCAACGTTTGACACGTTGAAAATGAAAGAGAAGAGAAAAAACGTTGTCAAACTTCTGGGGCCTGTATCTCGCGAACCAACGATTGTCCTAAAAAGTTGTCAGGAGAAAAATTGTAGCAAATTTGCTGCTCTACAACTTTGTAATTGATCATTTGCACCGAGCACGTCTAGTTTCAGCGATACAGACCGATTTTTTCGAACAATGCATTTATCGGATGAGCCAAGCATCAAATATTGTTGTTTTCCAATCGAAAACTGGAGCCCGAGTCCTGATCGACTGGTTCAACTCTTCCGAATCGTCGAAAACATTTCGCTATTATCGGTTTCCACACATTTTCCATAAAAGATAACAAGTACGAGGCTTGAATGAGAATCGGCGTCAGCACGACGTCTGGATAGACTTCCGAGAATAGGCACTGAAATTGGAAACGTTTTGCGGGTAAAATAGCTTGATTTCAGCCAGAAATTGTTCGAAAAAACCTACATCCTCGACGGAATCTCGTGAAACGCCCTTGAAAATCAAATCAATCAATTCTCGTGAGCATGACATCTGAAACAAACGTTGAAATGCTCTTTTGACACTGGAAAAAGCCGAAACCAATTTAAAGAACCCGAAAAGAAGTGTCTGATTGCAAATGTACTTTTCCGACGCTTTCCGATAATGTTGTCGGAGAAATATGTGCAGGACTACGGATACGAATAGAAAAGTGTCGAGGAGAACAAAGTATGTCTGTAAAATTGAGGGGTCGGAGATGAACAACTTTGTGCCGCGTCCAAAGTCTCGGAAAACCAGCAAATCTCGCGGATTTTGCAGTCCAAAGTCGGCAGAAAAGCTGAACGAGTGTTACCGTACACCATAAAACTACGGTATTTTTTTGAAAAAAATTAAATTTTTTTCGACAATATTTGACATTTTTTTAAAATTTCTTGGGTAAATTTTTCAACGATATTTTTTTGAAAAAAATTTAAATTTCTCGACAATATTTGAAATTTTTTTAAAATTTCTTGGGTAAATTTTTCAACGGTATTTTTTTGAAAAAAATTTAAATTTCTCGACAACATTTGAAATTTTTTTAAAATTTCTTGGGTAAGTTTTCAACGGTATTTTTTTGAAAAAAATTTAAATTTCTCGACAATATTTGAAATTTTTTTAAAATTTCTTGGGTAAATTTTTCAATGGTATTTTTTTGAAAAAAAATTTAAATTTCTCGACAATATTTGAAATTTTTTTCGAATTTCTTGGGTAAATTTTTCAACGGTATTTTTTTGAAAAAAATTTAAATTTCTCGACAATATTTGAAATTGTTCAAATTTCTTGGGTAAATTTTTCAACGGTATTTTTTTAAAATTTAAATTTCTCGACAATATTTGAAACTTTTTTTAAAAATTTCTTGGGTAAATTTTTCAACGGTATTTTTTTGAAAAAAAATTTAAATTTCTCGACAATATTTGAAATTGTTCAAATTTCTTGGGTAAATTTTTCAACGGTATTTTTTTGAAAAAAATTTAAATTTCTCGACAATATTTGAAATTGTTCAAATTTCTTGGGTAAATTTTTCAACGGTATTTTTTTAAAAATTTAAATTTCTCGACAATATTTGAAATTTTTTTAAAAAAATTTCTTGGGTAAATTTTTCAACGGTATTTTTTTGAAAAAAATTTAAATTTCTCGACAATATTTGAAATTTTTTTAAAAAAATTTCTTGGGTAAATTTTTCAACGGTATTTTTTTGAAAAAAATTTAAATTTCTCGACAATATTTGAAACTTTTCGAATTTCTTGGGTAAATTTTTCAACGGTATTTTTTTGAAAAAAATTTAAATTTCTCGAGAATATTTGAAATTTTTTTAATTTCTTGGGTAAATTTTCAACGGTATTTTTTGAAAAAATTTAAATTTCTCGACAATATTTGAAAATTTTCAAATTTCTTGGGTAAACTTTCAAAAAAAACCGTAGTTTTATGGTGTACGGTAACACTCGTTCAGCTGTGCGCGCACCCCGGATTTACCGCAATTTTCTGCCGACTTTGGACTGCAAAGTCCGCGAGATTTGCGGGGTTTCCCGAGACTTTGGACGCGGCATTGCGAGAAGTTCTCTAAAGCTCACCAAAAGCATTCGAACAACATCTCTTCGGCCCTTTTTCGAGTGGTAGAGCCATGTAATCAGGGCCAAGTGAGAAACGAGAAGAATCAGATAGAAAACGCGGCGAATCCATTGCAAAGCCTGCCGTCCGATCGCCGCAGAACCGAGCCGAAAATGGCCGAAAAATCGTCGAAAAGCGAGAAGAATGAGTAGAAAATGGTGGAATTGGGTGAATGCGTAGGTGTAGAAGTAAAAAATCGAATAATAGAACAAGAAGAGCAACGACCACAGTGCGCTGGAAGTTTTCGCCGCGTTAAAACGGAGTGTCGTTGAAATTTCCGCGATTTTTTTGGGCGAAAACCCGAAATTTCATCGGAAAATGAGAAAAATGAAGTAAAACAGAGAATTTCCGAATTGTTTATGACAGAAATTAGCGTTTTGCCGACAAAAAAGCGCGCATTTTTTCATTTTTCTGTGAATTTCAATTTCTCAGTCATTTTTGCATTTTATGCGCAGTCTCTGTGCTCAAAATGACCGCCTGCGTCTGCTGAACAATCGAGAGCGGCAACTGTTTTCTCAAAATTTCCAAAAGTTCCGTTTTTTCAAGCCAAATTTAAAAAAAACACGAAATTTCTCTTCGAATTTTCACTTTGCTGAACGAGTGTCACCGTACAAAACTACGGTATTTTTTTGAAAAATTTACCCAAGAAATTTGAAAAAAATTTCAAATATTCTCGAGAAATTTGAATTTTTTTCAAAAAAATACCGTTGAAAAATTTACCCAAGAAATTTGAAATATTTTTTTAAATATTCTCGAGAAATTTAAATTTTTTTCAAAAAAATACCGTTGAAAAATTTACCCAAGAAATTTGAAAAAAATTTCAAATATTCTCGAGAAATTTAAATTAAAAAAATACCGTTGAAAATTTACCCAAGAAATTTGAAAAAAATTTTTTTAAATATTCTCGAGAAATTTAAATTGGATTTCCCGCAATTTTCTGCCGATTTTGGAGCGCAAAATCCGCGAGATTTGCGGGTTTTCCGAGACTTTGGACGCGGCATGCGAAGATTTAGGCTCCACGACGAGGAATAAACTCACTATTCGCACACATTGATCAGCAAGAAGAGTGCGATCGTGGAAGTGAGAAAAGAAAAGTATAGTTTGGGAATTGTCGAGTGAAAATGATTCAGAATTTGCGAATAGACAGACTGGAGAGGAAACATTCTCTTCAAACACTGTTCGCTTTTTCAAACCCACTTTCTGCTCCTGAAACTTGTTCATTTTGCGTGTGCCCCAAAAAAGCGGGAAAATTGCCAGGAAGACGATAATATAGGAATAGAATACGGTCGATGGAAGTGTTGAATGTCCGTTCGACTCTTTCATAAGTCTCGGAAATAAATAGGAAACGTTCAGCCAGCACTCGCCGATTTCCTCCTCCATTCTGATTGAGATATTGTAGGAGGCAACATGGGTTGCGCAGATGTGGAAATACGCAATTTTCACCTGTTTTCTGGACAATTAGTCTGACCAAAGATCAACTTTTTCGCATGACATCAAAGCCGCTTTCGAGCGTTAGCTCAGCCGCATCCGAGCAAACACTTTGAATAGGACTCACCTTTGAAACCGCGAAAAATGAACCGTTTCGACGAACGTTTGATCAGAGAGCATATTTTGAGCAGGAACAAGTCCCAAGTTCTTCGTTTCTAATCTAGTTTGGAGATTTCGTAATCTAGCTAGATGAAAATTTAATCTAAACTAAATCTAGCTAGATTTGACCGAAAGGCTAATCTAATTAGATGAATTCTGCGCCTAATATCAGTGTTTTTGACAATCTAATTAGAAAATTTATCAGTCTGTAAGCAGTAAATCAGCAATCTAACTAGGTCCGGTTCGAAACGCGAATTATCTAGCTAGATTAGAAACGATTTCTCTGAGTGATGGTGTTTGAAGTTTTTGCAGAGTATTTGACAGAGTTGAGCGGAAGAACTCAACGGAAGAATTTTTATATCTTTTTTAGATAATTTTTTCATGGAATGTGATCAACTGACGAAATGTATAACAAAGTGAACTCGGCTCATAGAAAAATAATTGTAAATTTAGCTTTTCATACAAAAAAGTTAAGGGCTAACCGAAGACGGAAGGACATTTTCACGCAACAACTCGAATAACTTTTTTGTATGAAAAGTTAAATTTACAATTATTTTTCTATGAGCAGAGTTCGCTTTGCTATACATTTCGTCAGTTGATCACATTTCATGAAAAAATTTTCTAAAAAAGATTAAAAAAAAGATGTTCAATAGTGGAACCTTTGAATGTTTCTGGACCCTTAAATATTATTTATTCAATTCAAATAAAACATTCTATGATACGTTTGTCATGAAAGTTGTCGGTTCTGTAGAAGTGGAAATGGATACATCGTCGACACCTCCGTCGAGCATCTGACATCCGAGCATATAATAGAACGATTCACCGCCCGGAACCATCAAAGCAAACTCGGCGAGGCTCTCACAGACTCCCTTCAAACGTGACAATTGACGTTCGTTTTTTTACGCCAAAACCGCCGCCATACCTCCCACGCATCCGACATAGTTTTCAATTGTTTGAATGAATCGGCGGGGAGATTTCGAAGAATTTTAGTCAGATCCGAGAGCACTTTCTTGACATTTTTTCCGCTTGCAAATTGGATTTGACAATTGACGACGGCCAGAATCGAGAGGAAAAAGAGGAAGAAACGCATTTTTAGGTGGAAAGGGGTTTCGGATGGAAACGGCTTGCTTTTGTGCTCACAAAAGACGTGGAGCTATTGATATGGAAATCAAAAAAAAAAACCAAGAAAATCGATTGAGCGACACTCGCTTCTCCACTTTTGTTTGCTGCCTCCGACGGTCTCGTGTGCGCCGTTTGGCACGCGCCGAAACAGCGGCCGGATGGTCTAGGGGTATGATTCTCGCTTCGGGTGCGAGAGGTCCCGGGTTCGACTCCCGGTTCGGCCCAAACCCGTTTTGCAGACCTTGAACTAGTTTCGATACAAAATGCAAAATGCAAAATGCAACTTTTAATCTAAACCGAAATCCGTCAGGATAGGATTAGGGAATTTCGGGATCGATCCCCCCAGAAAAAGTTGATTAAACTGGTAACGGAACGCGTCCGTTTCGAAGGGCAAAGAAGAAAAGAAGACGTGTGGGCGGGGTCGCTCGCTCGGATGCTTCTCTCTTAATCCGCTTTGGCAAGCCAAAGCAGCCCAAGATTAACCTGGTTTCATTTCTCTCACTGAAAGCTTAGTTATTCTAGATCCTGCTTCGCCGACTTTTTCCGTTTCGAACATTATTTTTAACGAAAATGTTGATTGAGACGTTTTGCAACCATTTGCACTGATATTGTATGACGTTTTGCAACCAAAACATACTTTGCAACTGATTTTGGTGGCAAAGTGTCGAAAATGACGCGAATTTCCACGAATTTTTGTTCCGTCTTCCGTTTTCCGTGTTCCGTGATGCCGCGTCCAAAAAGTCTCGGAAAACGCGCAAATCTCGCGGATTTTGCAGTCCAAAGTCGGCAGAAATTTGCGGGAAATCCGGGGTGCGCGCACAGCTGAACGAGTGTTACCGTACACCATAAAACTACGGTATTTTTTTGAAAATTTACCCAAGAAATTTAAAAAAATTTCCAAATATTGTCGAGAAATTTAAATTTAAAAAAATACCGTTGAAAAATTTACCCAAGAAATTTGAAAAAAATTTCCAAATATTCTCGAGAAATTTACATTTTAAAAAAAATACCGTTGAAAATTTACCCAAGAAATTTAAAAAAAATTTCCAAATATTCTCGAGAAATTTAAATTTTTTTCAAAAAAAATACCGTAGTTTTACGGTGTACGGTAACACTCGTTCAGCTGTGCGCGCACCCCGGATTTCCAGCAATTTTCTGCCGATTTTGGAGTGAAAAATTCGCGAGATTTGCGCGTTTTCCGAGAATTTGAGAAAAATTTTCTTCCGTCTGCCGTCTGCCATCTTCCGGACTTCAAAATTCCATTTCCGTTCAACTCTGCCATCAGCTCAGCAGCCAAGACACTTTGCCACTGATGTCGGTTGCAAAGTGTCCACCTGACATCACTTTCTGCTTCCACACATCCCGGTGTGTTCTGAACTTTTCAACGTTCCCTTTCGAATGTCTCTTCTCGAAGGTGTCGTGTCGTCTCGTCTCAAATGTCGACGCTTCTTGACACTATGACGCTCAATTAACTCGGAAAGAAGGCGTGGGGCAAGCAAGCCGAACAGCCTTCCGGACTCTTCATTCTTATTTCTCCTCCTCCTCCTCCTCCTCCTCCTCCCATTGTTCGCTCTCGCTCCGTCCATTCGCATGGCCGCCTGAAGAGAACACAACAGTAGCAGCAGTAGGAGATTATAATTTCGGGCCGCTTCTTCTTCCGGTCACTTTCTCCGCGTTCTACCGGAGAAGGATTGAGGATTGATTGTTTGGTACTTTTTCGCGCACTTTCCTCGTCGAACACACGAATAATTGAGTCGCGCGCGCGCGCGCTTTATTGCCAACTTTATTCATTTTCACATTTTCACTATTGCCCCTGTCTGTTGCCCGCATTTTTGCACACTTTGCAACCAACTCACAGGTAATAATTTTCGGCAAGCGAACAGCATGTGTCACGCACGGATCCGGCATGGCATCCGGCATGGATAGGGCGTGTAACAGAAAAGATCCCTGTCTGTCGCCCACATTTTTGCACACTTTGCAACAAACTCACAGGTAATACTTTTCGGGCACGGGTGGGGCGCGCGAGCGGCAAGCGAACAGCATGTGTCACGCACGGATCCGGCATGGCATCCGGCATGGATAGGGCGTGTTCAGCATCCTTACAGCAATTTGCCGCGGAAAACGGCACGGATGCCGCCGAAAATTACTTGAGAACTTACTTTGGTTGCAGAGTGTCTCCGGTTGCGAATAAAAGCAATTTCTCCTCAAAAGTGTACTTTGTACTGTCCTTTTTCTCTGCCGATTCCCGCCAAAATATCTTCAAAAAGCCGCTAGCGCTCTTTCATCATTTTTGTTTTGTTCGAGACAAAACCAAAGCGTTTTGATGTTTGAAGTGTCATCATTCCGCGCGCGCGAGAGAGAGAGAGAGAGAGAGAGAGAGAGAGAGAGAGAGAGTTTCCTGGAAGAAAGCATAGTCAGTCTTTAGTCGATTTCGATTTCGATTATGAACATCCTTCACACACCCGTTTATGTCGCTTTTTGATCTGGATCTTTTCTTCGATTTCCCGATTACTGTACTTCTAAACTCTGTGCTCATTTTTGTGTTGCAGAATCCGCCTCCTGAATGCCATGAATCCGTGGACACTTGTCTGCCTGTTCTTCTTCCTCAGTCCCCCGGAAGTGCTCATTTTGGCCGAGCAAAACCTGACGGATATGCTGGCGGCGAATCCGTTGTTGGCCAGAATGTCAATGTTTCAAGATTTCGAGAACACGACAATAGCGCTGCCGCCCGAAGAGGAGATCGACGAGGAGGAGGAGTTTATTCGAAAAATGGTCGGTTGTAGACTTCACCGATGCACCATGGTTCTCAAATTTTTTTTGTGAACACTTGACATCTAGTATTGTATTTTTGCAGTTGATCACTTTTTTCTAGAACAACTCTCCGGAGTACTGCGGCTCGGCGAAGAAGTTAGTCTAAGGTCTGCACTTTGAAGAGCTACAGTATTCCGGGGAGTGGTTTTATCAAAAAGTTGTCAACTACAAAAATGAAATTAAATTTATATTCTTTAATTTTCTAGTTGACAACTTTTTTGTACAACAACAACCTGGAGTACTGTAGCTCTTGGAAGTTTGAAGCCAGTTTTGGTCAAGTGAATTTCAACGCCAACTTCCAAGAGCTACAGTACCCCGGAGAGTGGTTGTACAAAGAAGTGATCAACTACAAAAACGGTGCACTAGACGTCAAGAATTCACAAAAAATGTTTTCAGAACTATAGGACATTCCTAAACTCGACAATACCCGTTCAAAGTTCGCAAATCCACCAAACTTGCCAATTTGTCCACAAAAAGTTCAATTTTTTTTACAATTTCCAGAGCACAAAGCGCTCCTCAACGCGTGAGACCGTTTCGGACAATTTTGACGAACGATATCGTCAGATGAATGCGTCGCTTTTCGATGAGGCGGATCCGGAGAGCGGCGATCTGGATTATCGGGATCTGGATTTCGCGGAGACGGCCGAGAATCGTCGGACGTCTCCCGATGACCTGGATCTTCAGAAGGCCATTCACGATGAGGTTACTGTCACTGCCACGTCATCATTCTCGCCGACGTCTTCACCGTTCGCCGCCAGCTCTTCGTTATTCGAAACGCCCATCGTTTCGGCGTCGACGGATTTTTCGACGGAAACCACTGAAACGGACCGTGGAGCATTTTCAAGAAGTTCACCGTACTTTAAAGGTACACACCTTCCAGAAAATTCCAGAACCAACCCAATCGTTTCAGCCTTTCCCTCAACGCCCACTTCGCAGTTCGTCAGCTCTTCCTTCGATCCGATCTCCTCCACGCTCACTTTTTCTTCGTCACCACCTTCTGCTGACTCTTTCGAGTCTTCTGAAGCGTCAGAAGCTCCAGAAGCCTTCACACTGTCCGGAGAGTTCCTCCCAACCTCATCGGAAACGTTTGAATCGCACGCCGACGATCCGAACTCGTCAGATGCACCGTCACGGAGCGTCGTAGACGAGGACAAGTTCTTTTTGGATCCAGAAGACAGTCTCGACGTCGACAACGACGTCGAGGACATTTCGAGTGTGGCGCCCGAAAAAGAGGACGTCACGACGACGCCGACGGCAGCCGGAATTTCAAAGGCCACGTTTCAGGGATCGAGTTGGCCGCAGTTGGCACCGCTGCTGCCGCAGAAACGACGGCACGACGAGAACGACGTTGTGCAGTATAACGGTGGGTTGAGCAGCGCGTAGCAGCGCGTAGCAGCGCGTAGCAGGCACGGAATCGGCTCCCCCTTACAGCAATTTGCCGCGGAAAACGGCACGGATGCCGCTTCCAGTCGGCAACTTGCCGAAAATTTCCTGCTGCCGCGTCCAAAGTCTCGGAAAACCCGCAAATCTCGCGCATTTTGCAGTCCAAAGTCGGCAGAAATTTGCGGGAAATCCGGGGTGCGCACAGCTGAACGAGTGTTACCGTACACCATAAAACTACGGTATTTTTTTGAAAAAAATTTAAATTTCTCGAGAATATTTGAAATTTTTTTGAAATTTCTTGGGTAAATTTTTCAACGGAATTTTTTTGAAAAAAATTTAAATTTCTCGAGAATATTTGAAATTTTTTTGAAATTTCTTGGGTAAATTTTTCAACGGTATTTTTTTCGAAAAAAATTAAATTTCTCGAGAATATTTGAAATTTTTTTCAAATTTCTTGGGTAAATTTTTCAACGGAATTTTTTTCGAAAAAAAATTTAAATTTTTTTCGAGAATATTTTTAAATTTTTTTAAATTTCTTGGGTAAATTTTTCAACGGAATTTTTTTCGAAAAAAATTTAAATTTCTCGAGAATATTTGAAATTTTTTTAAATTTTTTTGGGTAAATTTTCAACGGTATTTTTTTGAAAAAAATTTTTAATTTTTTTCGAGAATATTTGAAATTTTTTTAAATTTCTTGGTTAAATTTTTCAACGGTATTTTTTTGAAAAAAATTTAAATTTCTCGAGAATATTTGAAATTTTTTTCAAATTTCTTAGGTAAATTTTCAAAAAAATACCGTAGTTTTTATGGTGTACGGTAACACTCGTTCAGCTGTGCGCGCACCCCGGATTTCTCGCAAATTTCTGCCGACTTTGGACTGCAAAATCCGCGAGATTTGCGTGGTTTCCGAGACTTTGGACGCGGCATAAAGCTCCTAATGGATGAAAACATGGTGCATCGGCGTTCTTCGTTGTTTCGAGACGTACGGAAGTGAAAAATGACGTTTACGCACCGTTTTTTTTTGCCTAAAAGCGACGTTCCTAATCCGGAAACTCTTCAAATACTCGAAAAATGTGGAAAATTGCCTCCTCGGGCCAATAATAGTGAAAAGCAACAGAAAAAGTGTACACTTTTAATGGAATTTCGATGAAATCGCTCTCTCTCTCTTTTTCATAATCTTTTTCAATAAAAGACTTTGGACGCGGCATGAGCGCGCGTTTCCAGTGCGTTGACGCAATTCTCGTTGCAGGCCGCTACAGCGTCTCGGCCACCAAATACTACGTGGACAATCGTGTCGACGGAGAGCACTACGAAACGCTCGTTCCCGAACTGATCGAGGACACAATTCAGGAGAATACTGTAGAAGAAGTGGTCAGTTTCTCGAGCACCTTCATCTTCATCTCGGTTTTCGTTGCAGGACCCGTTTGCGGTGGAGCGAGAGATGAAGAAGGCGGCGAGAATGCACTCGGCAAAAACGCAAAGTGTTGAGGATCCGTTGGACGGGCTAGAGGTACGAGAAAACGAAAAAAAACGAAAACGAGTTGAGGTGAATATTGTCGTCTTCCACAGAAAATGATGATTCGGGATCGCGAGCGACGGCTCGGCGACGAGATTCCCGAAGAAGAGAGCCTCACGATGCGCACCGATACGAGCGGAAAAAAGTTCGAGCGGCGGAAGACTGTTTACCACGGCAAAAAGGTTTTTTTTCGCCTTTCTAGACACCCCCCACTAATTTTTGGCGGTATTTCAGACGACTGTAAACTTGTGGAACAGAAATTTGTACGGCCACGACCTCATCCGATTCCCCGGCGCCATTTTCGATGACCGGTTCGATGAGCCGAGGAGGAAATCGGACAAAAGACGCGCGGTCGCCTCGCGGATCGTGCTGTCCAGCGAGAAAGAGTGGAAGAGTTCGTGTCGGGCGGCGGGGGACTAGGTTTCGCAAGTGGTGGCCTAGGTGTTTACACCTCGAAAGCCTTGAGTTAGAGTTTGCTGGCGGTGGCCTAGAAATTGCATGCTGGCCTAGTATTTTTCACTAGTGAAGTCAAGATGGCCTAGGAATCCCGTTCGGTAGCCTAACTTTTGCAAGATGAGCCCCAGAAATCGAGCGGTGTGGCCTAACTTTTGCCGGTGATTCCCGGTGGCCTAGAATCCCGTTCGGTGGCCTAACTTTTGCAATATGAGCTCCAGAAATCGAGCGGTGTGGCCTAACTTTTGCCGGTGATTCTCGGTGGCCTAGAATCCCGTTCGGTGGCCTAACTTTTGCAAGATGACCTTTGTTTTCCTCCAGAAGCCCCAGAAATAGAGCATTGTGGCCTAACTTTTGCCGGTGATTCCCGGTGGCCTAGAATCTCGTTCGGTGGCCTAACTTTTGCAAGATGGCCCCAGAAATCGAGCGGTTTGGCCTAACTTTTGCCGGTGATTCTCGGTGGCCTAGAATCCCGTTCGGTGGCCTAACTTTCTCCCAACTTTCAGATCCGCGGCCACGTCTTCGAAAAGTGGTGGCCGGAGTGACGACGAGCCTTCAAAAGCCGGCCGAGCAAGTGTATGGCAACGAAAAAGAGCGAAAGACTACGGTAAGTGTCGGATCCTAGGCCACCAACTTCTTCTTCCTCTTCTTCTTCCTCTTCAGGAAGACGTCGAATCGGTGTGCTTCAACAGCAAAAAAAACACGGCGCTCGCGAGCACGTCGCCCTTTGAAACAGACGAGAATGTGACGAAATTGGAGTGTCTCACCAGATGTGCCAAGTTTGTCTCCGAGGTACAGTAACCGCGCTCATCTACAGCGTGCCTTCCAGAAGTCTCGATTGTTTCGCCACAACCTACTCGGTGCCGCTGGCCACGTGCGCAATGTACGGACAAATTTACGAGCTGCAAAAAAGTGCGATCCGCAGTCAGGGCCACAGTTTGCATCGGAAATTGTCGAAGACGACGCTCCGCTGCGTTCGCATGTTCGTCTCGAAAGAGTTCTTCGACGCCGACGCCTTTGACGAGGAGGAGAGCGAAGTGGAGAGGTACAGTAATCCGGCGACGCCTTTCCTTAATGCCGCGTCCAAAGTCTCGGAAAACGCGCAAATCTCGCGGATTTTGCAGTCCAAAATCGGCAGAAAATTGCGGGAAATCCGGGGTGCGCACAGCTGAACGAGTGTTACCGTACACCATAAAACTACGGTATTTTTTTGAAAAAAATTTAAATTTCTCAAGAATATTTGAAATTTTTTTCAAATTTCTTGGGTGAATTTTTCAACGGTATTTCTTGAAAAAAAATTTAAATTTCTTGAGAATATTTGCAATTTTTTTCAAATTTCTTGGGTAAATTTTTCACCGGTATTTTTTTGAAAAAAATTAAAATTTCTTGACAATATTTGAAATTTTTTTAAATTTCATAAGTAAATTTTTCAACGGTATTTTTTTGAAAAAAATTTAAATTTCTCAAGAATATTTGAAATTTTTTTCAAATTTCTTGGGTAAATTTTTCAACGGTATTTTTTTGAAAAAAAATTTAAATTTCTAGACAATATTTGAAATTTTTTTCAAATTTCATGAGTAAATTTTTCAACGGTATTTTTTTAAAAAAATTTAAATTTCTCAAGAATATTTGAAATTTTTTTCAAATTTCTTGGGTAAATTTTTCAACGGTATTTTTTAAATTTAAATTTCTCGACAATATTTGAAATTTTTTTAAATTTCTTGGGTAAATTTTCAACGGTATTTTTTTAAATTTAAATTTCTCGACAATATTTGAAATTTTTTTCAAATTTCTTGGGTAAATTTTTCAACGGTATTTTTTTGAAAAAAATTTAAATTTCTCAAGAATATTTGAAATTTTTTTCAAATTTCTTGGGTAAAATTTCAACGGTATTTTTTTGAAAAAAAATTTAAATTTCTAGACAATATTTGAAATTTTTTTCAAATTTCATGAGTAAATTTTTCAACGGTATTTTTTTAAAAAAATTTAAATTTCTCAAGAATATTTGAAATTTTTTTCAAATTTCTTGGGTAAATTTTTCAACGGTATTTTTAAATTTAAATTTCTCGACAATATTTGAAATTTTTTTAAATTTCTTGGGTAAATTTTTCAACGGTATTTTTTTAAATTTAAATTTCTCGACAATATTTGAAATTTTTTTCAAATTTCATGGGTAAATTTTTCAACGGTATTTTTTTGAAAAAAATTTAAATTTCTCAAGAATATTTGAAATTTTTTTCAAATTTCTTGGGTAAAATTTCAACGGTATTTTTTTGAAAAAAATTTAAATTTCTAGACAATATTTGAAATTTTTTTCAAATTTCATGAGTAAATTTTTTCAACGGTATTTTTTTAAAAAAATTTAAATTTCTCAAGAATATTTGAAATTTTTTTCAAATTTCTTGGGTAAATTTTTCAACGGTATTTTTTTAAATTTAAATTTCTCGACAATATTTGAAATTTTTTTAAATTTCTTGGGTAAATTTTTCAACGGTATTTTTTAAATTTAAATTTCTCGACAATATTTGAAATTTTTTTCAAATTTCTTGGGTAAATTTTCAACGGTATTTTTTTGAAAAAAATTTAAATTTCTCAAGAATATTTGAAATTTTTTTCAAATTTCTTGGGTAAATTTTTCAACGGTATTTTTTTGAAAAAAAATTTAAATTTCTAGACAATATTTGAAATTTTTTTCAAATTTCATGAGTAAATTTTTCAACGGTATTTTTTTAAAAAAAATTTAAATTTCTCAAGAATATTTGAAATTTTTTTCAAATTTCTTGGGTAAATTTTTCAACGGTATTTTTTTAAATTTAAATTTCTCGACAATATTTGAAATTTTTTTAAATTTCTTGGGTAAATTTTTCAACGGTATTTTTTTAAATTTAAATTTCTCGACAATATTTGAAATTTTTTTCAAATTTCTTGGGTAAATTTTTCAACGGTATTTTTTTGAAAAAAATTTAAATTTCTCAAGAATATTTGAAATTTTTTTCAAATTTCATGAGTAAATTTTCAAAAAAATACCGTAGTTTTTATGGTGTACGGTAACACTCGTTCAGCTGTGCGCATCCCGGATTTCCCGCAAATTTCTGCCGACTTTGGACTGCAAAATCCGCGAGATTTGCGCGTTTTCCGAGACTTTGGACGCGGCGGCATAACTTAGAAAAAAAGCTCAAATTGTAGCAAATTGTCTAGAGAAGACAAGAAAATATCAAAAGTGCTGGGAGTGCCTTTATAAAGACATTTTTGAGCTTTCTTTAAATGAATGGCCATTTCGCTATGCGCCTTTAAAGCTACAGTACCCCTTAAACTCCATCAAAACCTTTTCCGTTTGCAGTTCGCCGCCCTTTCTGCGTCTCGTCGAAAAAGACGCGATCGACGGCGTTCCGTCCGTCTCGGCGTCTCTCCTCTTCGCCCAGAAACGTGAGTTGTATATGACCGCCGTCGGCTTGCCTCTCTCACCGCGGGGGTATAGCTCAGTGGCAGAGCATTCGACTGCAGATCGAGAGGTCCCCGGTTCAACTCCGGGTGCCCCCTACTCTACTTTTTGCGCTGCTTTTTTCCTTCTTCTTCTTCGATCTTCCGTGTTTCAGCACGATGCCCCGACGGTCAGGATGTGATTTTTGTGCGTAGTGATGACGTGGAGCGCGGAAATCACGCGGAACGCCGAGATTACGTCGAAATCTCCGAAGACGACTGCGTGTTTGCGTGCCTCACAAATACTCGGCCGGGCGGTGGAACTTCCGATTGCACCGCCATCGAGTACGACAAGACACGTGGATTCTGTTTTCTGATGATGAGCCGGTCGCCCGGTGACGTGGCAATGACGCCGCGGCCGGTGCATCCGGTCACCACGTACGAGAAGATTTGCATTCAACGTGAGTTCGATTCGGAACCAGGGGTGTGCGGAAAATATTTCGATTTTCCGAAATTTTCCGATTTTCCGAGAAATTTTCGGAAAATTTTCCGACGGAAATTTCGGCAAAATTTTCGGAAAATTAGTGTGGATTCAAGGTCAATTTGTCCGAAACCACCGTATGCTTTTTAAAGGCGCATCACAACATTTTTGGAAGGGTCTAGCAGCGAGCGAGCGTCTTTTTAAATTTGATTTTTAAAATTTGGACCCGGAGAGCTTCTCTCGGCTAATTTTTTTGCAAAAAAATATTCCATTGCTTGGCTTCCGCCCACTCAAGTGATTTCAAATCATAATAAGCATTTTTTTTTGTATTAGAACGTTGTTTAAACACTTTATTGAACCAATGAACAAGTGAGTTTTCCGATTTTTCCGATTTTTCCGAAATTTTCCGAAATTTTCCGAAAAAAAAATTCGGAAAAACCGATTTTCCGAAATTTTCCGAAAAAAAAATTCGGAAAAACCGATTTTCCGAAATTTTCCGAAAAAAAAATTCGGAAAAACCGATTTTCCGAAATTTTCCGAAAAAAAATTCGGAAAAACCGATTTTCCAAAATTTTCCGAAAAAAAAAATTCGGAAAAACCGATTTTCCGAAATTTTCCGAAAAAAATTTTCCGCACACCCCTGTTCGGAACAAGAAATGCTCATATGGACAACTCGTTTTTTTTTTTGCAGAATCCTCGGCAAACAAGTGCTCGGGCGGTCAACCGATTCGACACCGTCAAAGTGTGCTCATCGGACATCTCGTGGATGCTCACTCGGTCGGCTCCGCCGCCGAATGCGTCGATTTGTGCATCGAGAAGCACACGATCGGATGTGTCAGCGTCATGTTCTATGCAAAGGTTCGTTTGATTGAAATCTGAGGGGTATTGATTGAAATTACTCTCCAGGAAACCACTTTGAACTGCATTTTGAACGACGCGACCAATTTGGACGATCCGGACTCGTTTTTCATCGAAACCTCCACAATCGTCGACTTTTTCTCGATTCAAGACTGTCTCGGCATCCGAGAAGTCAATCGGAGGGCCAAGAAACGGTAATTTGCGACCGACGGTCACTTTCAAAGCGCTGTATCTCAGTTGCTGGTGGAGATATCAAAAAATTGTCAACTGATAAAATGTTCATTATAAAATTTTGCACATTTTATCAGTTGACCACTTTTTGATATCTCCACCGGCGCCTGAGATACAGCGATTTGAATCGACGCTATATTTGGTTGTACGTCGTTTCGATCATTTTTCCATAGAAATGTCCAAAATCTTCAAATTTCCAGGCTGTTCCAAAACCGAACCGAACAATTGGCGCGACTTCGTCGAAAAATGGCAAGGATGTAAAAAAATGTCAACTTTTCTCATAATACGACCTTTTGACCAGCGGGTTTTCAGCATTCAATTGATTTTCGAAACATTTTCGATATAAACGCTAATTTATAACACTTTTGGACACTTTGGAATGTGTTAATTAATAAATTGTTCAACACGTCTCTTTTGTCAGGAATCAGCGCTGCCACGTGGATTTTTGTGGCTTTTTGTCGGACCCATACTTTGCAGAAATGTTGGGCTTGGACTGAGGGCCATTGGGACCAATTTTCAGCCCGATCGGATCATCTGGACCCGAGATACGCAGATTTTTCGACAAAAATTGGCCAGTAATGCACATATCTCGGGACCGGATGATCGGATCGGGCTGAAACTCGGTCCGAATGGCCCTCAATCCAAGTCCAACAATTCTGCAAAGCCTGGACCCGATCGGATCACTGCAAGAGTGTTTGAAAAGTCCAAAAAGCCCCCCGGGGCGAGTGATTCAGAAGCCGAAATCGTGTGTGTTTCCATGGAGATTTGCACCCCGAATCGGGCTCATTTTCGCCGCCCGAATTCTCCGCCGACGACTTTATAACGTCGCAAATGGCTTTTTGCCTTTGGACGTCTTTTTATAGAGAACTACAATATTTGTGGGCTGGGGGGTCTTGGAGTGATGTTTGTGTTTACTGCCATGGTGCCGCGAGGAACTCGTATAATTTTGTTGTTTTCCGGCTACATTTCTCGATTTTCTGCACTTTTTGCGTTTTTTTTTTCATATTGCATAACCAGCTTTATGCCAATTTTTCGCGATTATGAAAGAGAGAGAGAGAGAGAGCGATTTCATCGAAATTCCATGAAAAGTGTACACTTTTTCTGCTGCTTTTCACTATTATTGGCCCGAGGAGGCGCGTGGATTTCAATTTTCCACATTTTTCGAGTATTGAAGGGTGTCCGGATTAGGAACGTTGTTTTTAGGCAAAAAAAACGTTGCGCAAACGTCATTTTTCACTTCCGTACGTCTCGAAACAACGAAGAACGCCGATGCACCATGTTTTCATCCATTAGGAGCTTTATGCCGCGTCCAAAGTCTCGGAAACCACGCAAATCTCGCGGATTTTGCAGTCCAAAGTCGGCAGAAATTTGCGAGAAATCCGGGGTGCGCGCACAGCTGAACGAGTGTTACCGTACACCATAAAACTACGGTATTTTTTGAAAATTTACCCAAGAAATTTGAAAAAAATTGCAAATATTTTCGAGAAATTTAAATTTTTTTCAAAAAAAATACCGTTGAAAATTTACACAAGAAATTTTTAAAAAAATTCAAATATTGTCGAGAAATTTAAATTTTTTTCAAAAAAAATACCGTTGAAAAATTTACCCAAAAAAATTTAAAAAAATTTCAAATATTCTCGAGAAATTTAAATTTTACCGTTGAAAAATTTACCCAAGAAATTTAAACAATTTCAAATATTCTCGAGAAATTTAATTTTTTTCAAAAAAATACCGTTGAAAAATTTACCCAAGAAATTTAAAAAAATGTTCAAATATTCTCGAGAAATTTAAAAATTTTTTTCAAAAAAATACCGTTGAAAATTTACCCAAAAAAATTTAAAAAAATTTCAAATGTTCTCGAGAAATTTAAAAATTTTTTTCAAAAAAAATACCGTTGAAAAATTTACCCAAGAAATTTGAAAAAAATTGCAAATATTGTCGAGAAATTTAAATTTTTTTCAAAAAAATACCGTAGTTTTATGGTGTACGGTAACACTCGTTCAGCTGTGCGCACCCCGCATTTCCCGCAATTTTCTGCCGATTTTGGACTGCAATATCCGCGAGATTTGCGCGTTTTCCGAGACTTTGGACGCGGCATTAGGGCCGAGTTTTTGGTTCATTTGAAACAATCCGACAGCCGATCGGGCCCAAACTTGTCTGGACCTAAAATTGCATGAAGAAACCTTGTGATATCCGAAAAAAAACAACTTGTTTTCATCCGTTTTCTCTCACGATGCCACCCTCTACAAATCTGGGAAACCTTTCGGGCGGCGCGAATGCCATAATCCTTATTCCCCGTCGTCTCTTTTCGTTCTTTAGTCGGAAGAGAAGCTAGAATTTTGAAAAACTGCACAAAATGAGCGTTTTTTCATGCTCGAACGGGTCTTCTTCTTCTTCTTCTTCTTCTTCTTCTTCTTCTTCCTACAACCTACTCATTTGATATTGTTGTCGATTCAGGTGTTTCAGGTAGCTCTGGCTCTGGCAAATGCGCCGTCGAGTCAACAATGTGTTGGCTCTTTGCTACGTTTGCCTGGCCCTATTTCTGTTCGTTCAAATCCAAAAACACACGAGTTTCCGATCGGAACAGGTTGGAGAACAATAGTATTCGTTTCCAAAACAAAAATGTTCAGATGCCACTGCTCCTCCTCGGCTCTCCTCTGAATTGGAGTGCTAAAATCCATCTGGAAAATGTGGAAATCATCGCGGAAGAATGTGCTTGTAGATCGCAAAAATCCGAGAAGATTCATGACTTTTGCTACAAGTTACCAGAGGTATATTCCAGAGTTGAGCGGAAGAATTTTTATCTTTTTTAGAACATTTTTTCATGAAATGTGATCAACTGACGAAATGTAGAGCAAAGTGAACTCTGCTCATAGAAAAATAATTGTAAATTTAGCTTTTCATACAAAAAAGTTATTAGAGTTGTTGCGTGAAAATGTCCTTCCGTCTTCGATTAGCCCTTAACTTTTTTGTATGAAAAGCTAAATTTACAATTATTTTTCTATGAGCACAGTTCACTTTGCTAAACATTTCGTCAGTTGATCACATTTCATGAAAAAAATATCTAAAAAAGATAAAAATTCTTCCGCTCAACTCTGGTATATTCCCAAGAAACAATTGAAAAAAAACCGAATAGAATTTCGATTAGAATCCAACGAAAACGGGCCGAAAATTCGATTGCAAATGGCTTGAGGAATGGCAAACAATTGGTAAATCTTTATTTTCGGACGCCGCTCAAACATTTACAGAATCCACCGCACCAACTATTATCGATCTGAAACATTTGCCGGAACCAGTCTTTGTGACCGCTTTCAATGAACCTTTTCTGCAAAATGGCAAACGATTGGTTCGTCTTAAAGAGTTTAGCGCTTTCAGAGTTATCAGGTTCCAAAAGCCAAAAAAATGATTTTTTTTTCCCCCGTTTTTTTCCCTATTCAGCAATGTCAAAAAATTGAAAAAAAAAACCGGAAAGAAATGCATCGCTCACAGGGTCTCGCAGCGATTTCCCGGACGCGTGGATTTACGAGTGAATTTACGCAAATTTTTGTTAATTTTTCACCGAAATTGCCCGAATTTTCCCGCTATTTCCGACCGGTTTTCATCGAAAAGCTCAACGTTTTGAACGATATGACGAGGCGCTCGAAACTATCCAACAAAAAAAAAAAAACGAATTCAAGCAAAGTCGGTCGGAAATAGCGGGAAAACGTGGCAATTTCGCATCAGTTACCATAACAGATAAATAAGAACTGAAATTCCGTTGAAAATCGATTAAAAATCGATTGAAAATAGCGGGAAAATGTGGCAATTTCGCTGAAAAATTAGAAAAATTTTCGTAAATCCACTCATAAAACGTCTCTCACAGTAGTCGCATGCATCGCGTCCGGGAAATCGCTGCGAGACCCTGCGATGCATTTTTTTTCCGTTTTTTTTTTCATTTTTTGACATCGCTGAATAGGGAAAAAAACGGAAAACAATAATTTTTTCATCGCCTGAATAGCTCCATTACTCTGGTTTTGAGAAGCAAAAACAAATGAAATTCAGATTTCCTCGATACGAAAATTGGGATTCCACAATACAATCGTTTTATACAGTTTGGGAATCAAGGAAAAACGATTGGAAGAGCTGAAAGAGGTTTGCAAAATATCGAACCAAAAACCTAAGCCAGTGAACAGTCACCGTTAATTTTGGTATAATTACCCAAGTTGAGGTACGAACCTGGGAATGACTTGCAGAAATTTAGCGGTAGCTTTCTAATTTTGGGGCAAAGTGACTAAAAGTGGAAAAATCGGATGTGAATTGATGGATTTATGCCAATGATTTGGGATCAGGGCCGGGATTTTCCGTTTACGGTGGTTTTTTTGTGATACAAAAGATTTTTCTCGATTATTTGTCTAAAATCAGAAATTATTTAATCGATAAGAACAAGATTAGGCATCAAAAGACACCAAAACGTTCTAAAAAATACGATAGGAATTATAGAATTGTTAGAATTATATTCAATTGTATTCTAGTTTTCATTTCCTTAGACAAAAACAGTACACTTCATGGATTTTACGGATTTTACGGCTTCTTGAAACCGTAAATTTGCGGTTTTACGGATCCGTTAAAAAAAAATTTAAGCCCCACCCTGACGGTGATGCCAAACAGTTGGCCACGCCCACACAAGGTCGGATCTGCCGTGGCGGAAGCCACGCCCACGAAAGTATATAAGGTCGTCGAAACAAGACATTTGCACCAGTGTTGAGCGGAATTCCGTCTTCCGTCTTCCGTCTTCCGTTTTCCGGGAGAAAAATTTTCTTCCGTCTTCCGTTTTCCGTCTTCCGTTTTCCGTCTTCCGTTTTCCGTCTTCCGTTTTCCGGGAGAAAAATTTTCTTCCCTCTTCCGTCTTCCGTGAATTTTTTTGTTCCGTCTTCCGTCTTCCGTTTTCCGTTTTCCGTCTTCCGTCTTCCGTTTTCCGTCTTCCGTTTTCCGGGAGAAAAATTTTCCGCTTAACTCTGCTCGGAAGGTTGTCCTAAAAAGAATAATCTTACCTGGTAAGGTCTTGAGAGAGCCCCCAAAAAGGCTCACGTCGCTCATTGTTTCCCCCTTTGCCTTTTTCCACTTGAACCAAAGGGGTAAAATGGTACGTCGATGTGATGGTTCAATAAAAAATTATCGGAAAATTGAGAACAAGTCCAATATCGCAGTGTTTTGCGTTTTTTTTTGGCTAATCAGCGTCTGCTTGGTAATGCGTCTGCTCGGTAATGCGTCTGCTCGGTACTGCGTCTGCTCGGTACTGCGTCTGCTCGGTACCGCGTCTGCTCGGTACTGCGTCTGCTCGGCATGCTTGTACATACTAAATAAACGTTTTCCAATTCTCAGACCGCTTGCAATCTGGAAATTCGTAATTTCAACTTTTCAAAGTATCCCGGATACGTGGCACACTTGAAAGACTATCGTTGGAAACCGATAGTAATCGCCGAGACGTTGCGCGATTTCGGCGCCATTTGGTACCTCGACTCTTCGGTAATTTTCGAGAAACTCAACGTCTCTCACGTCTACGATTTGATCAAATGTCACGGAAGTGTGCACGAGAGGTGCGTCGATTTGTTCTGAAAAACGTCAAAAGCCACACAGTACAGTGTTGAGCGCAAGAATTTTTATCTTTTTTAGAAAATTTTTTCATGAAATGTGATCAACTGACGAAATGTAGAGCAAAGTGAACTCTGCTCATAGAAAAATAATTGTAAATTTAGCGATTCATACAAAAAAGTTAAGGGCTAATCGAAGTCGGAAGGACATTTTCACGCAACAACTCGAATATAACTTTTTTGTATGAATCGCTAAATTTACAATTATTTTTCTATAAGCAGAGTTCATTTTGCTCTACATTTCGTCAGTTGATCACATTTCCGGAAAAAATTTTCTAAAAAAGATAAAAATTCTTCCGATGAGTTCGTCCCGCTCAACTCTGCCACACACTATACATAACCGGATTTTGAGAGCGCCCATGTTGTCCAGTTCGGTTCGGGACGTGCGGGAGAGCCGCGAAAAGCACGAAGACGGATGGAATCGCGAGATTTGGGAGCGGAACCTGAGAGAGTGCCGCAAAGGCCAGTACTTGTTGCACGGCTACAGTGGACACGGCATTCTGTCCGTCACTAATCCGGGTTGGGCGTGAGAAAAAACCGTCAAATGTTTGTCCGAGCTGAATTGATATATTGTAGGCGTCTACACGTATTTTCCGACGAATCCGCACGAGTTGAGCAAGAAAAAGGCAAAAATGTACGACGCCGGATTCGTTTTTGCGGTCAACACCCGTCAGACGATGAGCGATATTGTCAAGTGGTAATTTTTGAGACTTTCTGGAACAATTTCCAATTTTTTGTCAGGTACTTTTTGTGCGCTCTTCAAGAAGATTGTATGGCTCCGAAAGGCGCATCTTTGGGGTGCAGTTTTCGGGGAGACGATCGATTCACAGAGTATGCGGATTGCCATCGGTGGGTTTCTCGATTTGAATCGATATTGTAGAGCTAGGAGTTGTGGTATTGGTCTGAAAGTTTTTTTTTGGTATTATTGACGTCAAATACTTTATTTTTGTAGTTGAGAGTTTTTCGATAGGACCACTCGCTGGAGTACTGTAGCTCTTGGAAGTTGGGACTAGGGTTCAAGGCAGAAAAATTGCGATTCTAACTTCCAAGAGCTACAGTACTCTAGGCATTGGTTGTAGAGAAAAGTTGTCAACTACAAAAATACAGCTCATATATTGATTGTCATTTTTGTTGTTGACAACTTTTTTGTACAGTCACTGCCTGGGGTACTGTAGCGCTTCAAAGTTAGGATCGCAATTCTTCTGCCTTAAACTTGTCTCAACTTCCAAGAGCTACAGTACTCCAGAGAGCGGTCCTAGAAAAAAGTTGTCAACTACAAAAGTCTAGTACTAGATGTCATGATTTCATAAATCGCATTGTAAAACCGAAAAAGTTCCAGATTCGACCAATCGATAATCAATCTCGTGTTGGCCAACCAATTCTGGTACGATCGGAGGTATTATGTCAGTGAAATTGTCGATTTTTTCCACATTGATCGAGGCGGATCTTCCGGTCATTTCGACAAGGATTTGCAATGTATTTGACCCGAAAATTGTCTAAATTATTCCGTTTTCAAATCGATCTCTTCATATTTTGTGATTTTTCAACTGTGTATGGGTTTCTTGTGATATTTTTGTGTTTTCGCATAAAATGAATTGACGAATGTGCTATTCAGAGGACATTTCGCAACGAAACGTTCAGCAGTTGTGAAATCGCCTGAATTCGTTGAAATTTAGTGGTTGCAAAGTGTCCAGTTGCAAAATGTCCAACACAACTGAAATCTTTGACCTCGACGCTCGAGACTGCGAAAGTGTGATACGAGGCGGACGGCGGTGACGAGATTTCTGGATGTAATAGTAAAGGGCCGTGGTTGCAAAGTGTACATCGGTTGCAAAACGTCCAGCAGTTGCAAAACGTCTACTTTGAAACATTTAAACTTGACGAGCCAAGGATTTGGTTGCAAAGCGTCCAAACTGCTGGCCCGCCTTACTTGATCCTCTGAAATCCGATGTCTTGGTTGCAAAGTGTCCAGACCCCGTCGGACACTTTGCAACCGACCCTTTTCAATGATTTTGTTGTCTAAACTCGTGGTGGTGTCCACTCCGTGCGCTCAACTTTTTATTTTATAGATCCATTCCCTCAATCATCCGCAAGATCTTCACTGGATACTTTCGAGCTCTCTCTCTCTCTCTCTCTCTCTCTCTCTCTCTCTCTCTTCTTCTTCTTCTTCTTCTTCTTCTTCTTCTTCTTCTTCTTCTTCTTAATTCCATCTCGGCACATTGTAACAAAAGGGACGGACGGCAGCTGACACACGGCTCCCCGCGAGCTTTCCGCACCTACTCTCGCTCTCCCGCAACACCAAGAAAAAGAGAAAGAGAAAGAGAGAGAGAGAGAGGAAGAGGGAGAAGAAGAAGAAGAAGAAGAAGAAGTTGGGGGAGTGATTGGAGACTGGAGCCACACTTTATGCTCTTTGAATCATGCTTTTTGGCGGTTATGTCAGTACTGTCTGGAAATAGGATCATAACTCAAAAATGACGCGTTTTTGAACTATATTGTCAATTACAAAGTTGTGTAGCACAAAATTTGCAACAACTTTTATGTTAACAACTTTTTGAAATATGTATTGGTTCTCGAGATACAGGCCTGCGAAGGCAAGATATATTTTCAGCGGCTTGTAACTCAAGAACCAATTGTTATTTCAAAAAGTGATCAACAGAAAAGTTGTAGACAATTTTCAGTTTTCCAACTTTCCAGTTGACACTTTTCTTCCAAAATGCTTCATTATCACGATAGTTCGAGTTCACGTGAGCACATCGGAGATATATTCGGATTGGACGCCACGTGGCTCCACTTCAACCGAATTTGCTGCCTCTTCCGACTCCTTAGACGCTATTTTGACTCTGCAAACCCATTTTTCTCATTCTCTACTCATTTTCACGTCCAAACCTGTTGTGAGCATCGAAAACAAAGCCGAAATCGTTGAGAGCATCCAATTGATATTGTGAAATCACCGAAACGGCGCTCTCCTCCGAATGCGGCCAATCCGATCGAATGCTCCCATTCGAATCGTCATTTTCGCAACGGGTCACGTCCAAATCCGACTCGAAATCGCTCATTTCCACCTAAAACGGGTTACCATCGTTGCAAAAAGCCGTTTCCATCTACCGTAATCTGCTCACTCATCCTTCTCGATTTTTCTTTCAATTTTTCAATCAATTTCGTAGAAATAAACGCTCTAAACGGCTCGGAAGATTGTCGGTTCACGTAAAAATGTCCTCTCAGATGCGCGCCCACACCAGATTCTAGAATAGAGGCGAACGAAGCGAAAATCGAAACGCGAAAATGTTATTCTCTGGCGCATCGACGGCAAAACCGAAAAAGGAGGAGAAGAAGGACAAGCGGAGCGATCGAGGTGAGAAATTAAAGGTGGTGTCCAACGTGACATACAACATATTTTTAAAATAAACTTCGAAGTGGGGCATTCACTTTCCCAAAGTCCCGAATTACGAAAAAAATTCCCCGATTTTTAAGATTTTTTTCAAAAAAGTTAATGGTACCGAGAGAAGTACACGGTGAAATGGAAGAGCCGGCCTAGATTTTTCAAGTCCCCGGATGGAATTCCCTTTTCTTCCGAATTTTTTCCGTTTTCATGCAATTTTCTTAAATTTTCAATCGTTTTTCCACTGAACACACTTATTTGCAATATTTTTAAAAAAATTTATAATTTTATCTGTGCCGTGACGCCAAAAAAATTCGATAATCTGAAACTTTTTGTTGTTTTTTTCCGGGTTTTTTTCGGTCAATCTTCGGTTTGCGCGCTGAAAAAAATAAATAGAGTTTTACAAAAAGTGGCTGAATTTCTGAATTTTGCTGAATTTTGAAAGTTTCAGATTATCGATTTTTTTGGCGTCACGACACAGAAAAAATCATAAATTTTTTTAAATATTGCAAATATGTGTGCTCAGTGAAAAAAACGATTGAAAATTTAAGAAAATTGCACGAAAACAGAAAAAAATCGAAAAAAAGGGGAATTCCATCCGGGGACTAGAAAAATCTAGGCCGGCTCTTCCATTTCGCCGTGTACTTCTCTCGGTACCATTAACTTTTTTGAAAAAAATCTTAAAAATCGGGGAATTTTTTTCGTAATTCGGGACTTGCATGGCCCACTTGGAAGTTTATTTTTAAAAATATGTTGTACGTCACGTTGGACACCACCTTTAACGAGAAAACTTGGCGAGAATTCAAGGATGGTTGCAGACGAAAAGTACGAGCTTCAAGAGCAAGTGCTCATCCGCTGGGCGAACCATCTGTTGGGAACGGAGCGGCTGACCGACTACAAGAGTCTCCAGGACGGCTCGAATGCCATCTTCGTCTATCAGGCGATCGTCGGGCAGTCGATGGCAGTGCTCGGCAGCCCCGCCGACGATTGGCCCAACATTTTGCAGTACGTCGGCGACGCGAAAACCAATCCGGCCGAGGTGATCGAGGGCCAGCAGAAGGCCGTGCTTCAGGCCTGGTGGCAACTCGTTCTGTTCTTCTGGAAGAACCGCGCGCCCGCGCAGTTGAGGGACGAAAAGGTACGCGATTCGGTTGAGAACCGGCAGAGAATGGGCTAGAACTGAAAGCAACACATCGAAAACGGACAGAAAGGCGCTGTTCGCAAGGCCGCGACGTTCACCAAACGTTTGATCCTCAGTCTGTGCATTTTTGCGTGTCGGTGTTGCTCTGCGTACAGTGCATTTTATGTTACGCGCAAAGTTCCTTTTTTTTAGTTGTTCATGAATTTTTTCCAAATATTCATCTCTTTAAAGCGTTTTTCTCCACTTTCTCCCTCAATTAGACTTTTTTACAGATTCTAGATGAAGTAATACGCGAAGAGAAGTCGATGCGATGAAAAGAAACGCGTAAGTAAGTGAAAGTAAGGTTTTATTCAGAAAATGCACGATTTCTCGAAAAACGTGACTAGATTTTCTAATCTTTTGGTTTAAAAAGTTCACTAACATGACTGTGAATGTTTTCGAACCAAAAAGAAGTAGAGTGACGGCTCAATTTCGCGGAAAAACCGATCGCTTGCCGGAAAACAGTGAAATTTCGTTGAAAAAAATGTTTTTCTGCTTCTGCGAACTGTCACTCTGCTTTTTTTTTGGTTCGAAAACATTTACAGTCATGTAAGTGAACTTTTTCAACCAAAAGATTCGAAAATCTAGAAACGTTTTTCGAGAAATCGTATATTTTCTGAATAAAACATTGCTTTCATTTACTTACGCGTTTCTTTTCATCGCGTCGACTTCTCTTTTTAGAAAGTTCACTTACATGACTGTGAATGTCTTCGAATCAAAAAAAAAGTAGAGTGACAGCTCGCTTTCGCGTAAAATTTGGTCTTTTGCCGGAAAACAGTGACATTTCGTTGAAAAAAACATTTTTCTCAAAAACCGTCTCTAGATTTTCTACTTTTTTTGTTTAAATAGTTCACTTACATGACTGTGAATGTTTTCGAACCAAAAAAAGTAGAGTGCCAGTTCGTAGAAGCAAAAAAAAAATTTTTTTCAACTTAATTTCACTGTCTTCCGGCAAACTATCGGTTTTTCCGCGAAATCGAGCTGTTACTCTACTTTCTTTTGGTTCGAAAACATTCACAGTCATGTAAGTAAAGTTTTTTAACCCAAAGGTTAGAAAATCTAGTCACGTTTTTCGAGAAATCGTGAATTTTCTGAATAAAACCTTACTTTCACTTACTTACGCGTTTCTTTTCATCGCATCGACTTCTCTTCGCGTATTACTTCATCTGGAATCTGTAAAAAGGTCTAATTGATCTAGAAAGGAGAGAAAACCGCTTTAAAGAGATGAATATTTGGAGAAAATTCATCAACAACTAAAAAAAAAGAATTTTGCGCGTAACATAAAATGCACTGTACGCAGAGCTACACCGACGCGCAAAAATGCATACCATTTATCTGCGAAGCCGCGCCGTGGCCGCAAAGTAATTTTCCACTGAAAACGTGGCCTAACTTTTCAAAATCGACCCCGAGCTCGCTCAATTTGCATTGCAAAACGAGTTTCTCAACAGAGCGCCAATTCTGTGCGGTGCCCCTATAATATGAGACGTTTCGGGTGAAAAAAACTGTGCAAACTGTCGCTGGCAAGACGTTATAATAATAATAATAATAACACATTTATTCTCTTCAGCCACCTAGGAATAAAATTAACAACAACAAAAAAGAAAGAAGAGAAAAAGAGGGCGTTGCGAAACGAAAAGAGACACGAAACGCGCGTGTAGATCAGAGTTGAGCGGAAGAATTTTTATCTTTTTTAGAAAATTTTTTCATGAAATGTGATCAACTGACGAAATGTATAGCAAAGTGAACTCTGCTCATCGAAAAATAATTGTAAATTTAGCTTTTCATACAAAAAAGTTATTCGAGTTGTTCCGTGAAAATGTCCTTCCGTCTTCGATTAGCCCTCAACTTTTTTGTATGAATCGCTAAATTTACAATTATTTTTCTATAAGGAGAGTTCAGTTTGCTATACATTTCGTCAGTTGATCACATTTCACGAAAAAATTTTCTAAAAAAGATAAAAATTCTTTCGTGTTGGTGTCGGCCAAAACGATCTCTTCTTTTTCCTCGTTGACCAACCCGCCTATCTTCCAAAAGGCCGCGAACGCTGGAGTGTCGTTCCCGTCCGCTCGCACAGTCTGTTTTCCGCATTTTCAGTTGTCCGAGGCGATAAAGCAATGGTGCATCGAAGTGACGAAGGCGTACGACGAAATCGACGTCTACGATTTCACGTCTTCGTTCCGTGACGGCCACGCATTCAATTATCTCATCCACTCGTACGAGTACGTTCCTCCTCTCTCTCTCTCCATCACGGCCTTCACATTTTTATGCGTTTTCAGCAAAAAACTGATTAATCTTGCGAAGACGGCCGAAATGAGTGCAATCGATCGGATCGAGAACGCGTTCGCCGTCGCCGAAAAAGAGTGGGCGGTCCCGAGACTGCTGAGTCCCAGAGGTACAGTTTTTGCACTTGTAACTGTGAAAAATGATTGAACAGCTACTGTCAAGTTGCAGTTTTTCGGCGATGTTATTGTAGATTCACTTTTGCAGGCGTTTGAAAGGAATATGAAGAGATGCAGAGTGCGGAGATATATTATCGGCCTAAAAAGGCTTCCACCCATTATTTGACGCCTAGTACTTGATTTTTGTAAAAGACAACTTTTTTCTACGACCACTCCCTACGGTACTGTACGACAAATTCCAATTCTAACTTTCAAGAGCTACAGTAACCCTGGAAGCCGTTGTACACAAAACTTGTAAACTACAAAAGCGAAGCTCACATTTAGTACTATAAATTTGTAGTTGACACCTTTTTCGTAAAACCCATGCCTGGAGTACTGTAGCTCTTGGAAGTTGGGGCTGAACTGCGCATGCTTCGAATCGGCGCCAACTTCCAAGCGCTACAGTACTCCAGAAAGAGGTTGTCCGAAAAAGATGTCAACTACAAAAATCAAGTAGAATGGGTCAAGATTTGAGTGTCAAACTAGTACAGACTCTACCCCAAACCACTATAAAAACCAGAAATTTCTCTCTTTCATCATGGGGGGGGGGTCTCCCATAAAAACTGTTTTTCTCTCTCTCTCTCTTCTTCTTCTTCTTCTTCTTCTCCGTTCATCAGCGAGAGAAGGAGAGAGAGAGAGAGTGATCAGAAAGTAGAAATGCAGACGGTAAAACCGCCATTACGCAATTCGCCATCGCAAATCGGATGACCCCCTCGGGCCGTCTATCTCTATCACCAAGAGAGAAAGAGAGAAAGAGAGAGAGAGAGAAAGAGAAAGAGAGAGAGAGAGAGTGTGTATCTTTTCGAAAGTATACGGACTGCCCATACCCATAGAATTGTACAATATCCGTTCGCGAAATTCCAGTCACTTTTTCGATTTTTGTCCAACAAAGTTGATCGTTTCATTCGACCTCCGTGTATCCGTGTAACCATACAATAGTCGTTGGCAACTTTCCAAAGTTTGGTGACGATTTTTTTTCGGTTGCCATCCATTTAACACTTTTTTTTGCCGCTCGCAAACAAGGCACCGCAAAAGAAGAGAAAAGTGAGTGAGTCAATAAAGTGATTACCCATGAATATTGTACAATTCTTTGCGAGAAAAAAATGGTCCTCGTCCCGTGAACTGTCGGCTGCACGCTCCCTCAAGCCTTTTTGCGTGCCGTCGGACGTTTTTTTTCGTTTTTCGGTTTTTTCGACATTTTACGAGAAAAAAACGGAATTTCTTCACATTTTAGAAACTTTTGCGAGTTTTTTGTGGCTCTCTGTGTTCGTTTTGATCGGAATTCCGTCTTCCGCCTTCCGCCTTCCGCTTTTTCGAAAAAAAAAACCGTTTTTTCCCGCTGCCCACAACTTTTTGAGTTGACAGACCCGTGTGCGAACTCCTAATAACTCTTTTCTCTCTCTCTCTCTCTCTCTCTCTCTTGTTTCATCCTTTTTGTCAACATGAGCCATGAAGTGTGCGCGAGAAAGTGTGTCTCTAGCTCTTTCTCACTGTTTTTCTCGCAAATTTTGTGATATTCAAGAGATTAATGCGGTCTCAACAATTTTTGAGACTCCTACAAAGTGTGGATTACGGTAGTATACTATGATCTATCAATATTTATCCGGTGACGTCTTCTTCTTCTTTCTCTCTCTCTCTCTCTCTCTTTCCGATTCGCTTTCTTTGGGACAAGAGAGTGACAAACAACATATTTTTAAAATAAAGTCCAAGTGGGGCATTCACTTTCCCAAAGTCCCGAATTACGAAAAAAAATTCCCCGATTTTTAAGATTTTTTTCAAAAAAGTTAATGGTACCGAGAGAAGAACTACACGGCGAAATAGAAGAGCTGGCCTAGATTTTTCTAGTCCTCCCGGATGGAATTCCCCTTTCTTCCGAATTTTTTCCGTTTTCGTGCAATTTTCTTAAATTTTCAATCGTTTTTTCACTGAACACACTTATTTGCAATATTTAAAAAATTAATGTTTTTTTCTGTGCCGTGACGCCAAAAAAATCGATAATCTGAAACTTTTTTTTCCAGTATTTCCGGGTTTTTCGCTCAATCTTCGGTTTGAAAAATAAATAGAAAGAGATGGCTCAATCATTTCCTGAGTCTAAATTAAAGTTTGCGAGTTACAGAAAGATATATTTTTCAAAGTAATGCGAAAAATCCAAAACTTTCTATTTTCAGTTTTACAAAAAGTGGCTGAATTTTGAAAGTTTCAGATTATCGATTTTTTTGGCGTCACGGCACAGAAAAAATCATAAATTTTTTTTAAATATTGCAAATAAGTGTGCTCAGTGAAAAAACGATTGAAAATTTAAGAAAATTGCACGAAAACGGAAAAAAATTGGAAAAAAGGGGAATTCCATCCGGGGGGACTAGAAAAATCTAGGCCAGCTCTTCCATTTCGCCGCCAACTTTTTTGAAAAAAATCCTAAAAATCCGGGTAATTTTTTTTTCGTAATTCGGGACTTTGGGAACGTGAATGGCCCACTCCGAAATTTATTTAAAAAAATATGTTGTATATCACGTTAGACCCTTTTTTATCGGATTTTTGTATTTTTGTCGGATAACGTCTGGGCAACGTGGCAAAAATTAGAACAATACGCATAAAAAGAAAGAAAGCGGCGGCGGCGCCGTCGTCGAAAATGTAATACAATTGAATCGAAAGTGCTTTACAACACTCTGCAACCTTGTCCGTTCGCTCGTCCATAACACAATCGTAATCGTAAAAGCATCGAGACGTGCACACAGGTGTCATTGCGCAAATTTATGCGAACGATTCAATTACCGTTTTATGCGATCATTACCAGCTGTTCTGCACCAGGTCTCTGAAGCTTTTCCGGGCATTTTAGTGCATTTCTCTCGACTTTTCTCGCATTTCTTGTGAGTTTGCAATTAAAATGATCGAAAACGTCGCAAAAATATGGGCAAATATTGTAGTATGTACACTAAATATTGTAGATCTCCACAGCGAGCAACTCGATTCTCACTCGGTGCTGTGCTACTTGATGAACCTGTATCTGGCGATGATTTCCAATAGTAAAATCGAGGTACCGTACCCAGTTTTTTTTGTGTCGCTACAGTAACCTACCGTAATGGTTTAGGGCGAAATAATCGAAGCGCAGCAGCAGAAAGTGGCGGCGCTTCATGCGAGTCACAAAATGCAATCGCAACCTTCCACATCTTCAGGTAAATCTCGTATAATATTAAAAAGCAATTTGAAATTATATATATATTATAGGTCTACAAATTCCACAAACACCGCCAGGCCATCAGAATCCGCAGCTCTCGGCCGGGCATCCTCTTGATCGGGGCAAAAGTTTCGAGCAATCTCTAGAGGTAAGGATTACGGTACTTTTGGTACTCTCCAGGTGTACGTGTACATCTAGTAGATACAGATATTTAAAGCCAAAACCAACGACGTTTCCAGTTTTTTCCTGATAATGAAATATTGGTCAAGTTTGAATGACTATTGTAGAGCTAGTAGACGTCCCATTGTGCTGAAAAGTTTTAAGTGAAAACTTTAGGTCTAGTACAATGTTTTTCTAGTTGACCACGTTTTTGTACGATCACTTCCTGGAGTACTGTAGCTCTTGGAAGATGGGATCGATTTGTGCAAACTTCCAAGAGCTACAGCAACTTTGCGAATGATTGCACCGAAAAGTTGTCAATTACAAAAATAAAGTTCATGTCAGGTACTATAATTTTGCAGTTGACAACTTTCTCATACAACCACTCCCTGGGTTACTGTAATTTTTGCAGAGTCAAAGCGAAGTGCGTTCGCGTAAATCGTCGTCCTCGTCGCAAAAGTCGGGAAAATCGAAAAAAGTGCGTCGCGAGGAGCAGTTGGCCGAATTCAAATCGTGCATCGAACAAGTGCTCACGTGGCTTCTCGAGGCCGAGGACGAACTCGCCACGCTCGTCTCGATGCAACGGACCGAGCTGGCGGCGGTGCGCGCCCAATTCGCCGACTTTGAAATCTTCATGTCGAGCCTGACCGACAGTCAGGACACGGTCGGACGCGTTCTTTTGAGGGGCCAAATGCTGAGCAATAAAGCGGAAAACGAGGAGGAGAAGGAGGCGATCGGCGGCAAACTTCATCTGGTGAACACGAGATGGGAGGCGCTGAGAGAGCAGGCGATGCACGAACAGGCACTATTGCAGCAGCAGATCAACCAGTTGCAGCAGAGGTAATTTTGATTTTTTTTTAAATGATTGTTTTTTGTTTTTTTCGTTTTTTTTACGTCAAAAAATCCAATTCAGCGATGTAAAAAAACGAAAAAAACGGAAAACAAACATACGCTGAATAGCCCCATTTCAGGATAAGGCTGGCTAACGTCTATTTAAATGTGGTGTCCAACTTGACATACAACATATTTTTAAAAATAAACTTCAAAGTGGGCCATTCACTTTCCCGAAGTGCCGAATTACGAAAAAAATTCCCCGATTTTAAAGATTTTTTTCAAAAAAGTTAATGGTACCGAGAGAAGTGGTGCACGGCGAAATGGAAGAGCTGGCCTAGATTTTTCTAGTCCCCCCCCCCCGGACGGAATTCCCCTTTTTTCCGATTTTTTCCGTTTTCGTGCAAATTTCTTAAATTTCAATCGGTTTTTTCACTGAACACACTTATTTGCAATATTTAAAAAAATTTATGTTTTTCTGTGCCGTGACGCTAAAAAATCGATAATCTGAAACGTTCAAAATTCAGCGAAATTCAGAAAAAATCAGTCACTTTTTGTAAAACCGAAAATAGAAAGTTTTGGATTTTTCGCATTACTTTGAAAAATATATCTTTCTGTAACTCGCAAACTTTAATTAACACTCAGGAAATGATTGAGCGATCTCTTTCTATTTATTTTTTTTTTCAGCGCGCAAACCGAAGATTTAACGAAAAACCCGGAAAAACACCAAAAAAAGTTTCAGATTATCGATTTTTTTGGCGTCACGGCACAGATAAAATTTTAAATTTTTTTAAATATTGCAAATAAGTGTGCTCAGCGAAAAAACCGATAGAAAATTTAAGAAATTTGCACGAAAACCGAAAAAAATCGAAAGAAAGGGGAATTCCATCCGGGGGACTAGAAAAAAATCTCGGCCAGCTCTTCCATTTCGCCGTGCACCACTTCTCTCGGTACCATTAACTTTTTTGAAAAAAATCTTTAAAATCGGGGAATTTTTTTTTCGTAATTCGGGACTTTGGGAAAGTGAATGGCCCACTTTGAAATTTATTTTAAAAATATGTTGTTTTTCCGTTTTTCGTTTTTTTACATCGCTGAATTGGATTTTTTGACGTAAAAAAACGAAAAAAAAACGGAAAACAATCATTTTTTCCACAGCCTATGAGACTACTATTGTACCACCAACATTTTGCAGTGAACTCGACGCGATCAGCCAGTGGCTCGACGCGACACACCTCGAAATCGAATCGTTCGGCGCGCTAGCGTCAGACTCGACGCTAGCGCTCAAACAAATCGAGGTGCACACGAAATTCCAGCAAAAACTCAACAACTTCCAAGAGACCATCGACCGACTCGAGAGCTTCGTGGCCGTCGTCGACGAGGAGAACGACGTGTCGGTGGCGAATCTCGAAGACGCGCTCAGCGCGGTCTCTGTCCGCTGGGCGCACGTCTGCGAGTGGGCCGAGAAACGGGCCGCCAAGCTCGACGGCCTCGCGGATCTACTCGACCGCACCAACGAGGTGTTCGAGCAGCTGTCCGATTGGCTCACCGACCGCGAGAATGAGGTCTTGGGGCTGAAGTCGGCGCATCATTTGGAGGACGAACTACAAGTGGCGCAACAAGTTCGACGCCTTCAACAAATCGAAGAGGCGTTGGAGGCCGAGCACGCAAGTTTTGTGAAGCTTTCGCAGTTGTCGTGCGAGCTCGTCGCTCGGCTCGACGATAGTAATGGCGCGGCGGCGAACGACGTGCGCACGAGTCTGGACTCGATCACTCAGCGATGGGACAACCTTGTCGCGCGCATCGAAGAGCACGGAAAGACGCTCGTCAAGAGCGGAAAGGCCGACGTAAAAGTGCTCGAGCAGCACAAAAAGTCGGAAGCGCTCTCGTCGGAGGGTCTCTCCACCGACACCGAAGGCGAAGAGGTCAAGAATCAGCTGGTCGACAAGTTCCTCCTGCACATCTCGAAACTCTCCCACGAACTGGTGCCTCTTCAGGCGTGGTCCGAGCACTTTGAAGTGTCGCGACGTGCGGATCACGTCCGAAAAATGATGAACACGTGTCAGGAGAAGCTGATTCAGATCAAAGATCAAGAGGCGCGAGTGAATCGGCTGCAGCTCGAGCTGGAGAATTTGCACGCGGCGAAACTCAACGCGAAACAGTTGAAGCGGGCGAACGACGCGTTCGAGCAGTTTGCGAAGGGATGGGCGCGCATTGTGACGAAGATCAGCGAGGCGATGAACGTGCTGACCGGACAGGCGAACGACGGAGGCGAGGAGGCGGCCGTGGCTGCGAAGATCGAGCAGTGGATCGAGGCCGTCGATAAGTGCGCTTTCTTTTTTTTTTGGCCGCCTAGTGGAAGAACTCAACGGAACAATTTTTATCTTTTTTAGAAAATTTTTTCATGGAATGTGATCAACTGACGTAAAGCATGTAAAGATGTAAAGCAAAGTGAACTCTGCTCATAGAAAAATAATTGTAAATTTAGCGATTCATACAAAAAAGTTATTCGAGTTGTTGCGTGAAAATGTCCTTCCGTCTTCGGTTAGCCCTTAACTTTTTTGTATGAATCGCTAAATTTACAAATATTTTTCGATGAGCAGAGTTCACTTTGCTATACATTTCGTCAGTTGATCACATTTCATGAAAAAATTTTCTAAAAAAGATAAAAATTCTTCTCGTTGAGTTGTTCCGCTCAACTCACCGTCACCCATCCCAATTGCAGAGTCATCAACGAACTCTCGCAATTGCCCGTCGCCGAACGCCGTTCGCGAATCGAAAAACTCGAGCAACAACTTCAAGTTCAGGACAAAAATGTCGGTTTTATCGAGAAAGACATTGTGAAGAAGGCGATTCTGAAGAAGGGACTCGAGATTGCCGGAAAGCGACTGGCCGCGCTGAGAGAAGACGGCAATTCGGGCTACGGAGAAGGAGAAAAGCATGTGACTTTTGAGAAGGAGGAAGAAGAGGTTCCAGTAGAGATGGTTAATGTTCAGGTGAGTTCTAGTGGCCCCTTGTGGTCCCTCATGCCGCGTCGTCGCGGATTTTGCAGTCCAAAGTCGGCAGAAATAGGCGGGAAATCCGGGGTGCGCACAGCTGAACGAGTGTTACCGTACACCATAAAACTACGGTATTTTTTTGAAAATTTGCCCAATAAATTTTTAAAAATTGCAAATATTGTCGAGAAATTTAAATTTTTTTCCAAAAAAAGTTGAAAAATTTACCCAAGAAATTTGAAAAAAATTTTAAATATTGTCGAGAAATTTAAATTTTTTTCAAAAAAATACCGTGGAAAAATTTACCCAAGAAATTTGAAAAAAATTTCAAATATTCTCGAGAAATTTAAATTTTTTTCCAAAAAAATACCGTTGAAAAATTTACCCAATAAATTTGCAAAAAAATTTCAAATATTGTCGAGAAATTTAAATTTTTTTCAAAAAAAATACCGTTGAAAAATGTACCCAAGAAATTTGAAAAAAATTTCAAATATTGTCGAGAAATTTAAATTTAAAAAAACCGTTGAAAAATTTACCCAAGAAATTTGAAAAAAATTTCAAATATTCTTGAGAAATTGAAGTTTTTTTCAAAAAAATACCGTTGAAAAATTTACCCAAGAAATTAAAAAAATTTCAAATATTCTTGAGAAATTTAAATTTAAAAAAACCGTTGAAAAATTTACCCAAGAAATTTGAAAAAAATTTCAAATATTCTCGAGAAATTTAAATTTAAAAAAACCGTTGAAAAATTTACCCAAGAAATTTGAAATATTTAAAATATTTTTCGAGAAATTTAAATTTAAAAAAACCGTTGAAAAATTTACCCAAGAAATTTGAAAAAAATTGAAAATATTCTCGAGAAATTTAAATTTAAAAACCGTTGAAAAATTTACCCAAGAAATTTGAAAAAAATTTCAAATATTCTCAAGAAATTTAAATTTTTTTAAAAAAATACCGTTGAAAATTTAAAATATTGTCGAGAAATTTAAATTTTTTTGAAATAATACCGTTGAAAAATTTACCCAAGAAATTTGAAAAAAATTTAAAATATTCTTGAGAAATTTAAATTTAAAAACCGTTGAAAAATTTACCCAAGAAATTTGAAAAAAATTTCAAATATTCTTGAGAAATTGAAGTTTTTTTCAAAAAAATACCGTTGAAAAATTTACTCAAGAAATTTGAAAAAAATTTAAAATATTCTTGAGAAATTTAAATTTAAAAAAACCGTTGAAAAATTTACCCAAGAAATTTGAAAAAAATTTCAAATATTCTCGAGAAATTTAAATTTAAAAACCGTTGAAAAATTTACCCAAGAAATTTGAAAAAAATTTAAAATATTTTTCGAGAAATTTAAATTTTTAAAAAAACCGTTGAAAAATTTACCCAAGAAATTTGAAAAAAATTGAAAATATTCTCGAGAAATTTAAATTTTTTTAAAAAAATACCGTTGAAAAATTTACCCAAGAAATTTGAAAAAAATTTCAAATATTCTTGAGAAATTTAAATTTTTTTCAAAAAAATACCGTTGAAAATTTACCCAAGAAATTTGAAAATATTCAAATATTCTCGAGAAATTTAAATTTTTTTCAAAAAAAATACCGTAGTTTTATGGTGTACGGTAACACTCGTTCAGCTGTGCGCACCCCGGATTTCCCGCAATTTTCTACCGACTTTGGACTGCAAAATCCGCGAGATTTGCGGGGTTTCCGAGAGACTTTGGACGCGACATCAGAAAAACAATACATTACAGAGCGAGCAATCGCTGCTGAACGAGCTGGACGGTCCGTGGAGCACAGTCGGCGACGTGGAAGCCATCGAAAAAGATTTGATTAGAGCGGAAAAGGCGGTCGAGACAGCGAGAAACGCTCGAATGAGCAACGAGACGGTCGAGAAAGCCGAGACGCGGAAGGCGGAAATGGAAGAGAAGCGGAGGGTTACGGTGGCCGCGCGGCACCGATTCTCGACCGCCGAGCAGACGTTGACGGAGGTCGAACGGGCCGTCGATCGACTGACCGCCTCGGATCTAGAGATTGCCGACCTGAAACGAGGACTCGAGAGGGAATCGGAGAAGTTGAGCTCGCGTGCGGCGCAGAGAAAAGAGGCGGAACGGACGGCCGAAAAGATGGTGAGCACGGACGACGAGCTCGCGGAGCACGTTGTCCGGAGCACGCGCGAGGCGATCGGACGCCTCGGCACGCGGTGGAGTCAACTGGAGAAGAGCATCGAGGAGCGGTTGGAGAAGGCCAAAAGGGACCAGAACGCGTTCATTCAGAGTGGGTCCAAGCCTAATGTCGATTCAAAACTAGATATCTCAGCTGTGGGTGGAGATATCAAAAAGTTGTCAACTGAACAACTGTTTATTAAGAAATTGTGCACATTTTGTTAGTTAACAACTTTTTGATATCTCTACTGACAACCGAGATACGTTGCTTTGAAAAGACAATATCAATAAAGAAAACTTCAAAGAGTTACAGTTGTCCGGGATGGGATTGTAGACGAAAAATGTCAACTAGAAACACGCAATTTACATCTGGAACTTTATTTTTGTAATTGACAACTGGAGTACTGTAGTTCTTCGAAGTGGAGACTGTACAGCACATGATTCAAGCGGGTCCCAACTTCCAAGCGCTACAGTACTCCAAAGAGTGCTCGTCGACAAAACTTGTCAACTACAAAAATAGTGTACTAGATGTCAATAATACGCAAAACAATTCTGAGCCGCATCCGACGTCTCCTAGCCCTACAGTACCCGCTAAAAGTGGAGCTTTCTCAATAGAGCGCACTTGCTTCACTTGTTCCCTTGCACTCTTGTCTGTTTTTTGGGCGCTTATCCCGATCACCCAAAGAAAAAAAAAAGAAGAAAGAGGATGAGAGAAATGTGCGGCGGAAAAGGTTCTTGAAAAAAAAACCGTGCGGCTCGGCGAGCAAATATTTGTGTGTGTGTGTGTGTTGGCATTCCGAGATTTCGGCGGATTTACTCTACGGGCCACCACCACCATCACCTGATATTATTGTCGAATCAAAATATTGTCCGACTTTAGACGCTTCTAGAGACCTTTTTCCCTCCGAATTTTGCATTTCAGAACGCCTACGCGAAGGCGAAGAAGCGCTCAACGAGATCAAATCGGCGATTGAGGGAAAACGAGAGTCTCTGGACGCAGAAGCCGCCGCCGAGCATCTTGATGTGAGTTTTTACTCGATTTTAGAAAATTTTGGCGTAAAAATATCGTTTTCCAATCGAAAAATGGTTCTGTTTCGCTGTTACGCCGAGAAAGGCACTTTGGCCCAGTCTGACGATAGTGGCTCGTAGAAAAAATGAAATAACTTGACGAAACGTTGGAACGGTGAAAAGTTGTCAACTAGAAAGTTATAGAGCATAAAAATACCTTTTGATTCGTTTTTTAACTTTAAAGAAAGCTTTAAAATTAACAAAGATACACTAGTTTGAAGATAGATGCAATCAGTCAACGAAGTCAAAAAGTGCACTTCAGTAAAATGGAAGTATTTCTGTTTCGAGCAACAATGGTGAAAATTAATCAACTACAAAGATTTTCAGCATAAAATTTTCTTCAAATTCGTTTTTTAACAGTCAAAAAATATTGCGAATTGACCGAGATACACAAGTTTGAAAGTGGACTATTTTTCTAAAAAAAAAATTTCATTCGAAATTTTGTCAGCACCTCGAAAGTTCTCTCGACAACATTTCGTCGCTGTTCGGCGAGATCGGCTCCCTTCCGATGGACGACGGATCGCGGCAGAAGCTGGAGAAATTGGCGGAAGCCAAGGACGAAATCGCCATCCGAGCCAATGAGGCACTCGCCGCGCTTTCGAGGACCGTCTCCGAGTGCGAGGACTTTGAGAAGCAGATTATGATGTTCCAGGTGAGCGCTAGGACACTTTGCAACCGGGCGACGTTTTGCAACCGTCGCGTTTTATCGAGAAAAGTGGTTGAAACGTTCAAAAAGCGTGTTCAACTCGCAATCGGGACGTTTTGCAACTGAAGTCTTGGTTGCAAATCCTCGTTTAGTTGCAAATCGTCCAGTTGGAGTCATTTCGCAACCAGGACACTTTGCAACCACCGGACGACGTTTCGCAACAACATATTTACTGAATCTTATGTAAAAGTGGTATTTTGTGTTTCCTAGTGAACGTACCACTTTTACATAAGATTCAGTAAATATGGTTGCGAAACGTCGTCCGGTGGTTGCAAAGCGTCCTAGTTGCGAAATGACTCCAACTGGACGATTTGCAACCAAGACTTCAGTTGCAAAACGTCCCGATTGCGAGATAAAAACGCTTTTTGAACGTTTCAACAACTTTTTTCGATAAAACGCGACGATTGCAAAACGTCGCCCGGTTGCAAAGTGCCGGCTAGTTGCGAAACGTGTCAGCCTCACGAATATTATCGATTTGTCAGAATTGGAGCACGCGAATCGGATTCCTTCTGCAAGCCCGCAAATCTGCCGACATTTCGGCGTTCGACATTCCGCACGAGTATCACGTACGCGTTTGTTTGTTTGTTTGTGCTCACAATTTTACATTTCCACAATATTCCCGCCAAAAATACACAGTAATCCGTGTTCAGGAAGAGGTGGGAAACGAGCCCGAAATGATACCGGTAAGAAATGAAAATCGATTCGAATGTGTTTGAGTGGAAAACTTTTATTTAAAACGCATGTTTCGACTGATATATTGTGAATGATTTGCATGGGTTTCTTTCGTGATTTTCAACACCGAAAAGCCTGTTTTCCTACAGAAATTGAGTCGAGAATTCGATGAATGGAATGGAAAACTGAACGAGATGAACTCGTTGGCAATGGAAAAAGAGGATGCGGTGAGGATGAGAGAGCAGTTGGATCACGCAAATGTGAGTGAAAGCTGTTCAACGTTTGACCGCTTGTTGCTCAATGGCTATTGTAGATTTCAAAAAATGAGCAACAGGAAAAGTGTTGGAAATTCCATGCTCAACAACTTTGTAGTTGAACACTTTTCCTGAAAACTTTTAGTTTTTGAGTTGCGCCCACTTTTTCAAGCACTCTTCATTTCAGGAAACAATGTGCGAGTTGCGTCGCAAGTTCAACGAGTTTAAGCGTCCGAAAGGCTTTGAGGAAAAGCTGGAAAAACTGGTGGCGACCCTTTCAAACATTGAAATGGGACTGGACGACACGACGGGAATCGACGGCGCCGAGTGCGGGGGCGCGCTAATCGAGGTGCGCGCGCTCACGCGAATGCTCGACGCAGCCCAGGAGCAGTGGAAGGATCTCGGCGAGAATCGGGAGCAACTGGTCAAGGACAAGATTCTGGACGACGAGTCGGGAGCGGAGAGCCTCCGGAAGCTGCACTTCGCGAAGACCAAGTCGAAAGAGCTGTACGAGCGGAGCTCGACGTGCGTCGAACGCCTTGAGGACTGTGTGGAGATGTTTCAGCGGTTGAGGACCGAATCCGACGAGATCGAATCGTTTTTGGAGGCGATGGAACGACGGCTGGATGAGTACGCGGCCAGCGATCGGCCCGAGGAGGAGGCCGTCGTGAACGAGCTGATCAGCGAGTGGAACCGCAACGAGGCCGCCATGAACAACGCGGCCCATCTGCAGAGGCAGTTGAAGTGAGTTGCCAAACGAAACGGGCGTTGCAAACAGGGGTGTGCGGAAAATATTTCGATTTTCCGAAATTTTCCGATTTTCCGAGAAATTTTCGGAAAATTTTCCGAAAATTTTCGGCAAAATTTTCGGAAAATTAGTGTGGATTCAAGGTCAATTTGTCCGAAACCACCGTATGCTTTTTAAAGGCGCATCACAAAATTTCGGAAAAAAAAACTGACAATCGGAAAACACTGGACCCGGAGAGCTTCTCTCGGCTAATTTTTTTGCAAAAAAAATATTCCATTGCTTGGCTTCCGCCCACTCAAGTGATTTCAAATCATAATAAGCATTTTTTGTATTAGAACGTTGTTTAAACACTTTATTGAACCAATCAACAAGTGAGTTTTCCGATTTTTCCGATTTTTCCGAAATTTTCCGAAAAAAAAGAAATTCGGAAAACCCGATTTTCCGAAATTTTCCGAAAAAAAAATTCGGAAAACCCGATTTTCCGAAATTTTCCGAAAAAAATTTTCCGCACACCCCTGGTTGCAAAGTGTCGAATCGATTGTTTTTCAGTGAACGTGCGGTGAGGGTGAGCGACGAGGTGCTCTCGCTGAAACGTCTCCGCGCCGACGCGCTCAAAAATCGCCTCAACTCGTGGTGCCGCACAATTCAGGAGATGTCCGAGGACGACGAATCGGCGCTTCTCGAGATCGACGCGCTGCACCACAACATCGAGACGGCGCTGAACGAGGTGGCCGACGGCGAGCCGACGCTCATCGCCGAAAAATTGCGGTTCTTGCGCGCCGACCGCGATCGGCTCTCGTCGAGAACTCGCAAGTTGGCGGCCAACAATCCGCACCTCGTCGCCACCTCGTCCGACGTTTTGACGAGTCTGAACCGGAAGTGGAGTGAGCTGGAGCAAAAGTCGGTGGCCCCTCCTCCGCCGGCGCCACAGCTCAAAGACGCGCAGCTCAGCGAGAGCGCGCCGTTCGAGAAGAGAGTCGACGAGCTTTTCGAGCTCTTTGAGAACCTCGGAGCCCAACTCGACTTTGAGGGATCGCCAGTCAGTACGGCGAAAGATTATCAGAAGCGGGTCGACGACTTGGACTCGTACTTGGACGAATATCGACCGCCTCTCGATGACGTCATCGAGGAAGGACGCAAAATTGCGCAGACCGGCAGACTCGAGCTGCAGACGCACGCGGCAATCGAGAAGTTGGACGAGCTGGCGAACAAGATCGAGGAAATTGAACACGATTTGGATAGACATCGCGATAAAGTGGCGCCGCTCGTCGAGCAGCAGGAGCAGCTGAAAAAAGTATGAATTCTCTCAATTTTTATCTTTTTTTTTAGAAAATTTTTTCATGAAATGTGATCAACTGACGAAATGTAGAGCAAAGTGAACTCTGCTCATAAAAAAATAATTGTAAATTTAGCGATTCATACAAAAAAGTTAAGGGCTAACCGAAGACGGAAGGACATTTTCACGCAACAACTCGAATAACTTTTTTGTATGAAAAGCTAAATTTACAATTATTTTTCTAGGAGCAGAGTTCATTTTGCTATACATTTCGTCATTTGATCACATTTCAAGAAAAAATTTTCGAAAAAAGATAACAATTCTTCCGTGTTCTTGCGTTGAGCTCAGAACCTGTTCAAATTTTAATCGATATTGTAGCGTTAGACGATGCGCTATGAGTCTATAGACTTTTTTTTTCGAATCTTGACATCTAGCCCTTTGTTTTTGTACCAGATGACTTTTTTGTCCGGGCCCTCTACGGCGTACTGTAGCGCTTGGAACAAATGTCAACCTTGAAGCGTACGAATTAGACTCCCTTCTTCCAAGCGCTACAGTACTCCTGGCAGTGGTCCTAGAAAAAAGTAACCAACTACAAAAACACTTGACTAGATGTCAAGATTTCACAAAAAAATTTTGAAAGTCCTAGCGCATCGCTGAAATCTACAATATCCATTCAAAGTTCCGCCCCCCCACCTCGCAACTATTGTCCGTTTCCAGGACATTGACTCGTTCCTCCTTGTCCTGGACGTGTTCGCCGATCGAAATCTCGAAGACGTGGATATTGGCAAGTCGACGCGGAAGGAGCTCGCCGAGCGCGATGCTCACATCGCCTCGTTGACTTCACGAGCGACTGCCATTCATTGTGCACTTCCCGGAAAAGGTGCGCATATACAATATTGAGTATTTGAGTGGTTGCGAAACGTCCGCCAGACCGGCTAGGCTATGGAGCAGAGATGTTGGGAATTCCGTGTTCCGTGTTCCGTGTTCCGCGTTTTTTTCAATATTTTTTCCGTGTTCCGTGTTCCGTATTTCCGTGTTCCGTGTTCCGTGTTCCGTAGAAATAAGTTTTTTCCGTTTTCCGTGTTCCGTGTTCCGTATAAACTATATTTTCCGCGGAAAAATGCTCGCCTCGTAGATCAAATTTATCTCCGGAAAGATTAGGACAATTGACGTTTTGTGGTCAAAATTTGAAAATTTTCGGATTCGGACCATATTCGTGAAAAGTGGATTCCATTTTCAGTCGTTTTTTGACTGTAGTTGTTTACTGTTGTGTTGTTGGTTTTGTTATTTTTTTATGAAATTTTTCAGTAAAAACTTTCACATGAGTCAAACAGCTGCCTTGTCAGTCAGATAATCGAATTAAACAAAACATTATTTTTTAAAAAAATCACTGGAATTCTCTTGAAAACGCTTTTTTTCCGTGTTCCGTAAAAATTTCCGTGTTCCGTGTTCCGTAAAAAAAAAAATTTCCGTGTTCCGTGTTCCGTAAAAAAAAAAATTTTCCGTTTTCCGTGTTCCGTGTTCCGTAGAGTAAAATTTTTATTCCCAACATCTCTGCTATGGAGCGGTTGCAAAATGTCCCGATTTCCAGGTCCCTCACTCCAGGACAATAGCCTCGACGAGTTGCGCGATCGGATCGAGAAATTGGAGGCGAGACTGACGAAAACGGAGAAATGCGAGCGAGCGGCGGCACCCAAAAAATCAGAGGCGCCCGAGGAAAAGTCGTCGCCGGACCGCACGAGCCGAAGCAGTCTTCAACTGGCGATGGAGGCCTACGGAACGGCCACAGAGGACGACAGTGTCATCAGCGAGGCGGGGACCGCCGTGGTCCGCTCGGAAACGGAACCGCAGAGAATCATAATTCTGCCGGACGAAAGTACCCGAACGATTGGGACCGCGCCGGAAAAGATTGCCGAAGTGTCGACGGCGGAATCACTGGAAGCGCGGCCGGCAGCCGAGGCGATCGAACGGACCGTCCGCGAGGTGCCCGTCGATGTCTACGAGGAGACTGCCAATATTTCGAGTGGAGACGAGCTACAGGTATCATTTATTTATCCATAAACTTATCGATAAGCCTAAACTTTATCCAGCAGACCCCCCAACCACCGGATTCCGACGCCGAAATCGCGTCGATGTTCGAAGTGCTCGATGCGATCGAAGACGCGCACACCAATTTTGAAGAGTTTCCATTCGACTATCTGGATTCGGCTGAAAGCGATCTGAAGGTGCCTCAAACTGATTTCGAATATTTGATATTGTGAAACCAACGTTTTCAGAAGACACTGACACAACTGGAATCGTGTGAAAGCACGCTGGCAAAAAGCGAAATGACGATGAATATTGTTCAAGCGGAAAGTGCACGAGAAAGAATTACGGTAGGTCGGCACTACCGTAATCCTAATTTTTGACATCTAGTACTGTCGTTTTGCTGTTGATCACTTTGTTCTAGACCCACTCTCTGGAGTACTGTAGCTCTGGGAAGTTGGGATTGCATTTCATATTCATCGAGCCAATCCAAACTTTCAAGACTTACAGTACTCCAGAGAATGATTGTATCGAAAAGTTGTCAATTGCAAAAATATAGTACTCGATGTGAACTTTATTTTTGCAATTGACAATGTTTTGATACAATCACTGCCTTGTGTGCTGTAGCGCTTGAAAGTTGGCGCCAAAAATTGTTCCGCCCAAACTACTTCCCTGGGCTACAGTACCCCGAAAAGTGCCCGAACGAAAAAGTTGTCAACTACAAAAATCAAGTACCAAATGTCAAGATTTCACAAAAAAAATTTCTAGACCCATAGCACATCGTCTAACGCTACAGTACCCAATAAAAGTTGGCCGTTTACAATGGAAATGGGAAAAGTCGGCAAAACCTTGCTAGAACTGGACGTTTCTCGGCAATTTTCATCACAAAACTTTTCAATTTCCCATCCTCTGCCTCTTCCCGACCCAATTCATCGACAATATCAATTCCAGATGCTGCGTCGGATGGCTCTTGAGCGCAAAGAGCACAAACTGCCCAAGTTTAACGAGGAGTGGAAGTCATTGCAAGAGGTTCGCACGGAGAAAAGAGGGGGGGGGTCCCATTCGAATAGTTGTAATGTCGAGAGGGTTTCCCCCCCTCAAACCCGAGGGGACCGGGCACACTCACCGATTATCAGATACTTTGACTCGTCGCCGCCCGACCTACACTCACACTTTTATTCCGATTTTAACACGAGATTTCGACTAGTTTCACACGAGATTTCTGCGTTCATAGACGTTTTGCAACTGATGGACACTTTGCAACTAAAAGACGTCTTGCAACTAATGGACACTTTGCAACTATTGGTTGCGAAATGTCTCAAATTGTGAACTGTCTATTCCTTTCTACCGCAATTTTTTAAAATTTCCAAGTTCTAGTTCCAAAAGCCGCCATTTTGCCACCGGGACGTTTTGCAACTGATGGACACTTTGCAACTAAAAGACGTCTTGCAACTAATGGACACTTTGCAACTATTGGTTGCGAAATGTCTCAAATTGTGAACTGTCTATTCCTTTCTACCGCAATTTTTTAAAATTTCCAAGTTCTAGTTCCAAAAGCCGCCATTTTGCCACCGGGACGTTTTGCAACTGATGGACACTTTGCAACTAAAAGACGTTTTGCAACTAAGATACTTTGCAACTATTGGTTGCGAAATGTCTCAAATTGTGAACTGTCTATTCCTTTCTACCGCAATTTTTGATAATTTCCAAGTTCCGGTTCCAAAAGCCGCCATTTTGCCACCGGGACGTTTTGCAACTGATGGACACTTTGCAACTAAAAGACGTTTTGCAACTAAGATACTTTGCAACTATTGGTTGCGAAATGTCTCAAATTGTGAACTGTCTATTCCTTTCTACCGCAATTTTTGATCATTTGACAGTTCCGGTTCCAAAACCAGCCATTTTGCAACCGGGACGTTTTGCAACTGATGGACACTTTGCAACTAAGATACTTTGCAACTATTGGTTGCGAAATGTCTCAAATTGTGGACTTTCTATTCCTTTCTACGGCAATTTTTGATAATTTGCAAGTTCCGGTTCCAAATGCCGCCATTTTGCCACCGGGACGTTTTGCAACTGATGAACACTTTGCAACTAAACGATGTTTTGCAACAAATGGACACTTTGCAACTATTGGTTGCGAAATGTCTCAAATTGTGAACTGTCTATTCCTTTCTACCGCAATTTTTGATCATTTGACAGTTCCGGTTCCAAAACCAGCCATTTTGCAACCGGGACGTTTTGCAACTGATGGACACTTTGCAACTAAGATACTTTGCAACTATTGGTTGCGAAATGTCTCAAATTGTGGACTTTCTATTCCTTTCTACGGCAATTTTTGATAATTTCCAAGTTCCGGTTCCAAAAGCCGCCATTTTGCCACTGGGACGTTTTGCAACTGATGGACACTTTGCAACTAAACGATGTTTTGCAACAAATGGACACTTTGCAACTATTGGTTGCGAAATGTCTCAAATTGTGAACTGTCTATTCCTTTCTACCGCAATTTTTGATAATTTCCAAGTTCCGGTTCCAAAAGCCGCCATTTTGCAACTGGGACGTTTTGCAACTGATGGACACTTTGCAACTAAAAGACGTTTTGCAACTAATGGACACTTTGCAACTATTGGTTGCGAAATGTCTCAAATTGTGGACTTTCTATTCCTTTCTACCGCAATTTTTGATCATTTGCAAGTTCCGGTTCCAAAAGCCGCCATTTTGCCACCGGGACGTTTTGCAACTGATCTGCAACCGGTTAATTTCAGTTAATCCAACTCGCGGACCAGTTGGTCGACGACGCCGAACGATACGAATCCGACAATATTGCGACGATGGACCGCAAATCGGCGCCGATTCTGCTCGGCGAGCTGCGCAAAAAAGTGGCGAGCGCCGAGCGGCCGGTCATTGATTTGATGAAGAAATTGTCGCAATTGGTCCCGCGAATGCAGGACGACTCGCCGAAATCGCAAGACGTCCGCAAACGGGTCTACGGGCTCGAGGACCGCTTCCGAAAAGTGGGCCAGGCCGAGTCGGCCGCCATTTCGACGGCGCTTTCAAGCGCGCTCACCGAGCCCGAGCTCAACTCCGAACTCGCCGAAATGCGATCGTGGTGCGAGTCTGCGGAGAAGGAGGCCGCGCAAAATGTGAACTCGCTCGACGGAGACGGTCTCGAGAAGTTGGACGGACGGTTGGCGATGTTCGCGAGGGAACTGCAGGAAAAGTGAGTGTAACTTGGGATCGGGACAGTTTTGGATGAAATGATCAATTACAAAGTTGTAGAGCATGAAATTTTACACAATTTTGTTGTTGATCACTTTTTGAAATAATCACTGGTTCTTGAGATATGTGCATCTAAAAAAAGAATTTTTCTCGTAGTATTTTATGTTAATGCTATTCAGAAAAAACGCTTTATCTCAGAAATAACGCTTTTCTGATTAAAATGATCAATTACAAAGTTGTAGAGTGTAAAATTGTCTGCAACTTTTCAATTGATCACTTTTCAAAATAATGATCAGTTCTCAAGGATACACGTCTTCAAACACAATCAATTTCAGAAAAAGCGACATGGTGCAGCTGGAAATGGCGAAGAACATGATCATTCCGAGTCTGAAGGGCGACGCGCATCACGATCTCCGTCGTCACTTCTCCGACACGGCGAAACGAGTGGCGATGGTGCGTGACGAGCTGAGCGACGCGCACAAATGGGTCTCGGCGTCGCGGGAGACGTGCGACGCGTTCTGGAAGGACATTGACGCGCTGGAAGGGCTGTCGCGCGACGTGGTTCGGAGGGCGAACGCCATTCGGATGGCCGTCATTTACACGCCGTCGCGCGAGAACGTCGAGGGGTGTCTGAGAGATGTGCAGAGGTTGAAGGCCTCTGTCGGCGACATTAAGAAGAGGGTACAGACGGCCAATCTGCCACCGGCTATCAAGTTGGCCGGCAGAAACGCAAAGGTACGAGTTTTTACTAGAGAAATCCCAGCGCCACGGAACCCCAGCCTTCCAATCAAGAATTCCCTTGGCGCAATTCGAGTCGGTGACAAAAGGTCGAAAAAAAAGTGACAAAAGGTCGGAAAAAAGTGACAAAAGATTGGAAAAAAGTGACAAAAGATTGGAAAAAAAAGTCAAAACATCGAAAAAAAAAGACAAAAGGTCGGAAAAAATGCCAAAAGGTCGGAAAAAATGCCAAAAAGTCGGAAAAAATGCCAAAAAGTCGGAAAAAATGCCAAAAAGTCGGAAAAAATGCCTAAAGGTCGGAAAAAATGCCAAAAGGTCGGAAAAAATGCCAAAAGGTCGGAAAAATGCCAAAAAGTCGGAAAAAAAGCCAAAAGGTCGGAAAAAAGTGACAAAAGGTTGGAAAAAAGTGACAAAATGTCGGAAAAAATGCCAAAAGGTCGGAAAAAATGCCAAAAAGTCAGAAAACAGGTATTTTAGCAGTTTTTCCGACCTTTTGGCATTTTTTCCGACCTTTTGTCACTTTTTTTCCGACCTTTTGTCATTTTCTTCCGATCTTTTGACTTTTTTTTCCAACCTTTTGGCATTTTTTCCGATCTTTTGACTTTTTTTTCCAACCTTTTGGCATTTTTTCCGACCTTTTGGCTTTCCGACCTTTTGTCGCGGACTCGCGTAACGCGTAATTCCGGAGCGTCGTTGTAGAGAGTTTCTCATTTAAATTTTCTCATTTTTTTGCATTATCCCCATCGTTTCAGAACCAATCAGTGTCAAAACTTATGAGAATGATTAGAAATGAATAAAAATGAAATGTTAACTGCTTCGTCATCAATTTCGAAACGTTTTAAGTGAAAATTACAGCATTTTTTTTCCTTTTCAAATCGAAATTTTGCCTCAATTATCTCAATTCTGTATATTTTTCGACGGTTGAGCGCTTAAAAGATGCGCAATAAACTGCTTGTTGACTCGATTCGGCAAATAATCGTTAAAACTCTGTTTTTTTTCAGTAGTTTTCGACAAAATTCCTCAATTTGGTCAATTCCGAACGAATCTGCTCCGTTTTGCGCTTAAATCAATGCTTGTAAAAGAGAGAAAATAACAAAATTTGAGTGTTTATTAAGAGAAAAACGAAAGAATTCTGGTTTTCAATTGAAAAAAGACGGTGGATGCAAGCGCGCCCCATTGACAATTCGCTTGCGCATTGGAATGCTGGGGGGTTCCGTGGGCCAGCTAGGTTTAGTCGAAAACTAAAAGTTAGGCCATGAGCGCATTTATTTTAATTTGCAGCGAGTGGTCCAGGTGCTCACCGAGTCGGCCTCAACAATCGCCGACTGTCACGATCTGAGTTCGTACCTCCGGGACGAGATGTCGGAATCCGGAGGCGACACTACGGAATCGCGGAGTACGGTAGTCGAGATGAGTCCGCAGCACGCGAAACAGAGCTCGAGCGCCTCGAAAACGCCGTCGGCCGGATCGGAAGAGGAAGAAGAAGAAGAAGAGGAGGATCGGACAGTGCACGCCGACGACGACGACGAGCAACAATCGGAAGAGGACCGCAAGACGTACTCGCGCGAATCGAGTTCCACTCTGCCACGTGGATCCGGGGCGCCGGATCCAGTGGCCATCCAGCTGACGCACACCCGTCACTGGCTGCACGACGTCGAACGGGACGCCTCCGTCACTGTCGATTTGTCCGAATGGCAGCCGGCTCGCGAGCTCTGGCAGAGCATTCAGGGCATTGTCGACGAGATCCGGTTGCGAAGTGTCCAGGTGACTGGCGCTCACGACGCCAGCCCGAATCGGCAAGTGCGCCAGCAGGCGGCACAGTTGGTAAGTCCGAACTAGAACTTTGCAAGCAACAAGAAACGTTCAGCTGACCGAAATGCGTCGGACGATCGACGGATGCGAGAAGCGGTGCGTCATCCTCAATCACATTTCCGACGTGGCGCGTCAGAACGAGACGGCGCGCGCCGAGCAGGAATCGTGGCTGAAGAGCGCGTTGGACGTGATCGGCGAGCGACGAGTCGAAGAGTTGACCGAGGAAGCGGTGAGGCACGAGCTGGCGGCGCTCGAAAGAGTCGTCGAGCAGTTGGAGGAGAGAAAGGACAAGATGCAGGAGATCAACACGCAGGTTAGTTCCACGAAAAAGGTTGGAAAATAATCCGTAATGCGTCGATTTCAGGCGCACAAAATCGTCGACACGTACACCAAAGACGAGGCGCACAACTTGTCGCATCTGCTGAGCCGGCTCAACATGAGTTGGACCAAGTTCAACGACAAGTATGTCTTTTGTTCTCATCAGAGCTAACAAGATGGGCGTGGCCTCGGCGGCCAAATGGCGTTTTCATGAATTGAGCACGTTTTCTCTGATTTTTGTCGTCAAAGGCGATGAAAAATGATTGTTCGACATGAAAACACACTAATTCTCAGAATTAATGACGTTTTGGCGCATTTTTCGCGGATTTCGTTTTTTCGCCTTCTCATTTTGCGTTTTCTTGACCGTTTTCCGACAGAATTGGTTTTCAGAATGATAAATCACGTAAATACAAGCATTTTGAGCGCTCGAACCGCGAAAACTACCGAAAAGCAACTGAAATTCACGCAGTTTTAGCCAAAAACCTTCAAACGGATAAATGTAATGTGCGACTTGACCAAATTTGACGCTCTTGCGCTTAAAAAATTCTATCAAGAGACAAATGAGAAATTATCGATTTTTCGTGGCTAATCTGGCGAAAAACACAAATTTTGCTGTTAAAATTTGAATTTCGCGCCAATGTATCGCTCTATTGTCAGCTCTGAGGAGACCGTGCCCCCCAAACCCTGTCGCTTTTCAGCATCCGCATCCGTCGTGCCGTGCTCGAAGCGTCGCTCCGTTCGCGCCGAGACTTCCACTCGGCGCTCGCCGAATTCGAGCTGTGGCTGGGACGGCAGGAGGCGAGTTGCGAAAGACTGGCGCGGGAGACGGCGAACGTGCAGGCGATCAAGGACGCTTCGCGACGGAAACACTGGACGAACGGCTACAAGACACTGAGCGCGGAGCTGAATGCGCACGAGGACGTGATGAAGAGTGTGGAGAGCATGGGCAAAATGCTCGTCGAGGGGCTCGAACCGGGCGGCGAGAAGGCCGAACTGCAGAAGAGAGTTGTGGAGACGGCGAGGAGGTGGAGTGCGGTCAGGAAGACCACCACTGAGATCGGGTCAGTTTTAAAGGTTTTGAGCGTTTCCTCCAATCCTGGACGTTTTGCAACCGAGAGACACAAAGCTGTTTCCTGGTTGCAAACTGTCTTCAAAATCCACGGACGCTTTGAAACGGAAGAATTTTTATCTTTTTTAGAAAATTTTTTCATGAAATGTGATCAACTGACGAAATGTATAGCAAAGTGAACTCTGCTCATAGAAAAATAATTGTAAATTTAGCTTTTCATACAAAAAAGTTAAGGGCTAACGGAAGACGGAAGGACATTTTCACGCAACAACTCGAATAACTTTTTTGTATGAAAAGCTAAATTTACAATTATTTTTCTATGAGCAGAGTTCACTTTGCTATACATTTCGTCAGTTGATCACATTCCATGAAAAAAATTTCTAAAAAAGATAAAAATTCTTCCGTTGAGTTCTTGCGCTCAACTCTGTTTGAAACCATAGCAAAACGTCGACTCTTTCTCTACATTTCTCTAGATTTCTCTCGATGGCCTAGCTTTAAAACATTTGGTTGCAAAACGTCCTCCCCCTCTCGAAAACTGTCCAAACTCACTCATTTCAGAGAACGTCTGGAAAGGGCGGAGCAAGAGTGGGAGAAACTGTCCGACGGGCTCGCCGAGCTGCTCTCGTGGATCGAAACGAAAGCGCAGAAAGTGATGGAAGAGCAGCCGGTGGCCGGCAGTCTCTCGGCCGTCATGCAACAGGCCTCGTTCGTCAAGAGTGTGCAGCGGGAAATTGAGACGAGGACGAGTTTGTACAAGAGTACGGTAGAGGAGGCGCACTCGTTCCTGATGCAACACGACCTGCGGCCGAAATTGCACAGTCCCCAAGTGTTGGACGACGATAACGAACAAGAGGGTTCGGTTTTATTATTTCAAATAAACTTTAGACACACCCCAGAGAGACTAAACTCATTTGTCAAAAAAGTTTATTTTAAACATTTCGCTGCGGCGGAGCCGAGGTTCTGAGGTTCCTGAGACATTACACTAATAAAAGTGCTATTATTGTCGAATTCACTAGAGACAATGGAAGCGGCAATTCGAGGTTTGAACGTTTTGAAAACAGTATTGTTGTTCTTTGACTATTTAAACAGTTGAGAATGGGTACTGGTTAGAAACAGGAGCATATCTCGAAAAGCGACAAATTTTCGGGCGAAATGATCAACTGCAAAGTTGTAGAGCACAAAATTTGCAACAACTTTGCAGTTGACAACTTTTTGAAATAATCACCGATTCTCGAGATAAAAGTCATCAAAGACAGCCAATTGCAGAGCTCGCCAACTTGGAGCAACGCCGCCGCGGGCTCGAGATCAACGCAAATTGCGAGAAGCTCAAAAAGAACTGGGCGGAGCTGGGCGTCGAAGTCGAAAGTTGGGACAAACTCGTGCAGCACGCGATGCAACGCCTTCAGGAGCTGGAGCGGAATCTGGCAGAGTGCCAACTGCATCTGACGTCATCGGAGAACGAGATCGAGTCGATGAAGGCGGTGGAGAAGATCCATTTGGAGGATCTGAAGATTGCCCGCGAGGAGACGGACCAGATCAGCCGGCGCATCGATGAAGTACGCCTTTTTGTGGACGATGTGAACGACGCGGCCGCCCGCTTGCTCGCCGAGGATTTGAAGTTGGACGAGCACGCGAGCGGACAAATCGAGCACGTCAACAAGAGGTTTGCGCATTGGGAACTGTCTCAGAACAAAAAAAGAAACGGTAACTTTTTGCAGGTACACCACACTAAAACGCGCGATTCGAATCCGTCAGGCGGCGGTTCGGAATGCGGCCTCCGACTTTGGACCCACCTCCGAACACTTTCTCAACCAATCGGTCACTCTTCCGTGGCAACGGGCCATCAGCAAATCGAACCTTCTCCCCTACTACATCGAGTGAGTCTGATCGAGTTTTTCTTGCTTTTTCCAGTTGACAACTTTTTTGTCGGCGGGCATTTTTGAGGTTGGGACAGCAACATTCGCGTGCAAAACTAGTCGTAACTCACGGTCTCCCAGGGGGCGCTAATGCTAAACACAGTGCGCTCGAAAATTGCGGAGTGTCGTTGTAACTTTTTTGAAAATTTGCACGTCTAAAAATGCACTTTTCTTTCTTTTTGACTTGAAAAACGTCTAGAAAACAATATTTTACTGTGCGGAAACCGTTCTTTACACAATTTAGAGTTTTTTATGTTTTTCGCATTTCGTCAAAACTTCAAACCTTTATATTTCAGCTCATTTTGCATTTCATGAGCGCAACAAACGATAAAAATGTTCGCTGAATCTTTTTTCACAAAATCTAGGTTTCGGCGGTTAGTTTTCTTGAGCAGTTTTCGAAAACCATTCGAAAAACATCAAAATCCAGGCCAAAACGTTAAAATCGAAATAACTCGGCTAATTCTCAACGATATGCGAGATTTCTGTTACCAAAACGTAGCTATTGAAAATTATTTAAAAACTAATCGAAAATTAATTAATCGGCCGCCGCGTAAATCGACACAGCCCGCGTGTTGCAAGTGCGCCCCATTGAATCATCATTCGCGCCGTGGGAGACCGTGTAACTTCCAAGCGCTACAAAAAGCAAGTACAAGACTTCAAGATTCCGCAAAAACAAAGTTCTAGAACCGTATGACGTCTCCAAGCCCTACAATGCCGATTCAAATTCACTTGCTTTTCAGACAAACAACGGAGAAGACGCAGTGGGAACACCCCGTGTGGGTCGAGATTCTCAAAGAGCTCTCGCAGTTCAACCGCGTCAAATTCATCGCCTACCGGACGGCGATGAAGCTGCGTGCGCTGCAGAAGCGTCTCTGCCTCGATCTCGTCGACCTGCCGCTGCTGGAGAAGGCGTTCGTCCGTCTGAAGGGACTGTCGGCCGAGGAGTGTCCCGGACTCGAGGGCATGGTCTGCGCGCTGCTGCCCATGTTCGAGGCGCTCCACGCAAAATATCCGCATCAGGTGCAGAGTGTCTCGCTCGCCGTCGATGTCTGCATCAACTTTTTGTTGAATCTCTTCGATCAGTGAGTGCCGTTGTTATCGATTATTTTTCGATAGACGCGCGCGCGCCACGGCGACCAAAAGACGCGTTTTCTGAAAATTGCCGCCATTTTTGTGTTTGATATCGACGAAAGAAGACATTAATGAGAGAAAACATTGAAATTTTCGTGAAAACGCCGCGTTTGAGACGTTTTTGGCATATTTCGCAATACGCTCTCCGCGGCCAATCGCCGCCGCAATTTCGGAATTTTCATACCGGCCGATGTGGATAGTTTTGAGACGAAGTGAGTGTCGGAAGTGATTAAGCACGTTAATACAAGTATTTTAAGCGTTCAAACGGCAAAAAGTATCGGCGAATGACTGAAATTCGCGCATTTTCAGCACAAAACTTGAAAATCGATTGAATTGATTCAATCTCTGAATGAAACCTGCTCGTTTTAAGCTCAAAAAGTGCGCGATGATTAGTTTAACAAAGTTATGCGACTAAATCGTCGAAACCCGTACAAAATTTGGGTGATTTTTGACGAAAAACATGAAAAATAGGGGGTTAAATTTCGAATTTCGCGCCAAAATGGTGATAAACTGTGCACGCTGGCCCTACGTTTTTTTTAACGCATTCATCTGCAGATCACGCGACGGAATAATGCGAGTGCTCTCGTTCAAAATCGCTCTCATCGTCTTTTCGAATATTCCGCTAGAAGAAAAGTATAAATGTAAGTGATTGGCGCGCTCAAACACTCAGAAAATCGTTTCAAATTTCAGACCTGTTCAAACTAGTCTCTCAGGACGGTCACGCCACTCAAAAACAAGTGGCCCTGCTCCTCTATGATCTTATTCACGTGAGTGCATTTACTGAAAAAAATTACCAAAAAAAAAGAGAGCGAAAAAGTTCAGATCCCTCGACTCGTCGGCGAATCGGCCGCTTTCGGCGGCACCAATGTGGAGCCGTCGGTGCGCTCGTGCTTCGAATCCGTTCGCTTGGCGCCCACCATCTCCGAAGGCGCTTTTATCGATTGGGTCCGCAAGGTAGGCACACAGAGACCAGTACTTGGATAATTCGCTTCTTTTGTTGAAGGAACCTCAGTCGATCGTGTGGCTAGCTGTTATGCATCGGCTAGTCGCGTCGGAGAATACGAAACACGCGGTGAGTGGTTGTTTTAGATTTTCAAGTTACTCACATTGTCGACTCTAAGAAAATCGCTTTCTTTCGACACCTGTATCTCGAGAATTAATGATTGTTTCAAAAAGTGGTCAACTGAAAAGTTGTTGCAAATTTTGTGCTTAGCAACTTTGTAGTTGATCATTTTACCCGAAAATTTGTCGCTTTGCTCCAGCACGGTCTCCAGAGCTGACAATATGAGCGTGGCCTCGGCGGCCAAATGGCGTTTTCATGAATTGAGCACGTTTTTTCTGATTTTTCGTGGTCAAAGGCGATGAAAAATGATTGCGCGACATGAAAACACACTAATTCTCGGAATTAATGACGTTTTGGCGCATTTTTCGCTGACTTTGCTTTTTCGCCTTCTCATTTTGCGCTTTCTTGACCGTTTTCCGACAGAATTGGTTTTGAGAATGATAAATCACGTAAATACAAGCATTTTGAGCGCTCGAACCGCGAAAACTACCGAAAAGCAACTGAAATTAACGCAGTTTTAGCCAAAAACCTTCAAACGGATAAATTTGATTTGCGACTTGACCAAATTTAACGCTCTTGCGCTTAAAAAATGCGTAATAACCTCTACAATCGGTCTATCGAGAGACAAATGAGAAATTATCGATTTTTCGTGGCTTATCTGGCAAAAAACACAAATTTGGCTGTTAAAATTTGAATCTCGCGCCAATGTATCGCTCTATTGGGCGGGGCGCACTTGCGCGTCCATTGTCAGCTCTGGAGACCGTGTCCAGTTTCTATTCAGGACTCACTAAGTGGGTTTGAACCACTCTTACTATAAGGATGTGTTGTGTTCTCAGGCAAAACACAAATTACTCGATTACTCTTTATTTTTAAGAGACTTAAAAATACAACCGAATGCTGTGTAAGCTCGGGGAAAATCTATACAACTGAAATGATGACAATTCAGCTTGATGTGTGAGAGAGAGAGACGCAGAGAACGCGCGCTGTGTGTAAACTCGCGCCACACATTTGCTTACGGTTTTAAACTTGTGGGTCTGCACCCAACACCTCCCCTTATAAGAAACAAACTAGGGATTGTGGTGAGAATGAATATGGGTAAGAGGGAATAGGGAAAACAACAATTTAAGTCCTGTTACTCGGATCGAATCTGACGACTGGTTTCCTCTCGCGTCCACTCCGACGCAGCGGCTCTTCCTCTTCTGGCGCTCCTTGTGCTTGACTCAAATGTGGTTGACCTGATTGTCCCTGATTCGCGTGTCCCTGACTCGGTTGTCCCTGACCTTGTTGTCTTTGACTTTGCGATCCTTGGCTTTGCGATCCTTGAGGTGATGCTCCTTGAGGCAGTCCTGGTTGTCCGGTATCTCCTTGCATCGTGACGTCTGTTCTCGCATTCTCCGATCTCGTTCCAGTGGTGGAAGTGTCCTCCTTTCCCTTCACGGTCTCGTTGAAATAGAATCCATCACACGACAACTCAAAGATATCCTCCATCGTTGACCTCCATCGATCCTCCTTGCTCACTCCATTTTCAAGCACTCTCGGTTTCAGCTGATTAGCATGAACCGTTCGTTCACGTCCGTCGTTCAGACTGACAACGTACACCACACGACCGCGTCGTTGAATAACCGTAGCTGGTATCCAAGACCACGAATTGTGTTCGAAAATCTTTGTGAAGACTGCGTCGTTCACATCGAAAGTTCGATTTTTCACTCCGTTATGTTTGTCAAACTGCTCCTTCATTCCCGGACGGGAATCCGAACATTTGTTCAACATCGGAACCAGGAGAGACATCTTCGTACGAATACGTCTTCCGAAATGAGCTTCCGCCGGCGTCAAACCTCCAAGTGTATTAGACGGTGTCGACCGGTAATGGAACAAATTGCGACATTATTTCCGGGTTCACATTCCCCTCCCCTTTCAACTTCTTCAAGCCTCTTTTCAGAGTGTCTACGAAGCGTTCAGCTTGCCCGTTAGACTGTGGGTGGAATGCAGGAGACCGGATATGTTCAATTCCGTACTCATGACACATATTCACGAATTCTCTGGAAACAAACTGTGTTCCGTTATCCGAAACCAACGCCTCGGGATATCCATGAGAACTGAATATGCCTTTCAGCGTTCGTACAGTAGACACGCTCGAGATTGATTTAACAATCGCTACCTCTGGCCATTTTGACTTTGCATCAACCACTACCAGATAGTACTGTCCGTTCTCGGGACCTGCATAGTCAATGTGCACTCTTTGCCAAACACGTTCCGGTGTGTTCCAAGGCTCTAGTGGCACTTTTCTCAGCGTTTTTCCGTGGATTTGACAAGTGTTGCACACCGCAACCACTTTTGCAATGTCCTCATCCATTCCTGGCCAGAAAACAAACGCTCTCGCGAGTTGTTTCATCCGTACCATGCCCGGATGTCCTTCGTGCAATTGCTTCAGAATTGTCTTCTGCAACATCTCCGGTACGACAACTCTTTCACTCATCATTACGCAGTCTTTCACAACGGACAACGACTGCTTGATCGAGCTGAACTTCTTCAATTTCCCTTCCAGTTTCTTTGACCAAACTCCTCGGGAAATACACTTGATAACTTCCTTCAGAACGTTATCTTTTTCCGTCTCCGACTGTACGTCTTCGACTCGAACTGGTAGTCTTCGGACAGCAGACTGCAAAGATCCTTCTACATCCACTTCCACTTGAGCTATGACCATATCCTCATTCTCGGATGGCATCTTCTGAATCATTCGCGACAGCGCATCGGCTTGTCCGAAATCATCGGTCTTCACGTATTCGATTACGAAATCATACGCTAGAAGAATCGTGGACCAACGCACCAATCGATTCTGCGAGTGTACTGGAATTCCCTTTTTACTTCCAAAAATGGAGAGCAACGGTTTGTGGTCCGTTCTCAGTAAGAACTTTCTACCGAACAAGTACTTGTGGAATCTTTTCACTGCAAATATCAATCCAAGGCCCTCTTTTTCAATCTGGGAGTAGTTCTTTTCCGCAGAATTCAAAGAACGTGCTGCATGGGCAATCGGTTTCTCCGTTCCATCGGCAAAGCGATGACTAATAACGGCTCCAATTCCGTAATCGCACGCGTCAGCTGCCACAACAATCGGAATATTCGGCTGGTAATGTGTCAGATTCAGGTCAGACGACAGGACGTCTTTCAACTTCTGAAAGCCTCAGCCTCTTTCTGAGTCCAAATCCAATCACAATCTTTCATGAGCAGTTTGTCGAGTGGACCACGGAGCGATTTCATATGCGGAATGAACGCACTGTAGTACGTGATCATTCCCATAAAACTCCGCAACTCCTTTTGGTCCTTCGGCTCACACATGCCCTTGATCACCTGCACCTTTTCCTTGTCTGGTCTTCTTCCATTCTTATCAATGATAAAACCCAAAAATTTTATCTCCTCGCCGAGAAAGTGACATTTTTCAATTTTCACTCTGAAGCCATATTCAGAAATCCTCTTGAACAACTCTATCAAATTCTCCATGTGCTCTTTTCCAGTTCGGCCAACAACGATAATATCGTCGAGATATGCCGTCACGCCTGTCAGTCCAGTGATCATTTTGTCCATGATCCGCTGGAACACCATCGGCGCCGTTTTTGCCCCGAAAGGAAGTCTCTGGTACTGGTAAAGCCCACGATGTGTGTTTACCGTTAATAACTCCTTTGACTCTTCGGCCAGTTCGATCTGCAAGTACGCGTCCTTGAGATCAACTGTTGAGAAAAACTGTTCCTCCGTTCAACGTCGCGAACACGTCTTCTGGCGTCGGAATTGGGTGATCTTCATCTTCCAAAGCTTCGTTCAAGCCCGTTTTGAAGTCTGCACACATCCGCGTGTCCCCATCTGCTTTCCGCACGCACACCAAAGGTGCCGCCCACGTACTGTGGTTCACCTTCTTGAGAACTTTCAGACTTACGAGTCTGACCAGCTCTTTGTCCACTGTTTCCAAAGCTCCGTATGGTACCGGACGCTTTGGTTTGAACACCGGCGACGACCCAGGTTTCACAGTCAGCACTGCCTTTTTCCTTAGTACATCGCCCCAGTCCTTCTTTGAACACTTCCGGAAATTTTCTCTTTAATTCCGCTCGAAGTGTTTCCGTGTCTGGACTCTTCACTTCGTTTACCATCAACCCTAGGTAATACGACATTTCCGTCGATTTCCCGATCCAATCTAGCCCTAGCAGATTGCCTTTCTCGCGGACGTACACAAAACCAGAAGCTTGCGAGCCTTTCAACGTGAAGTTGACGTTTGCTCTTCCCAACAATTTCAAGTCATCACCGCTTGCGGATGTCACTCTTGTTGCGAAACTCTCCAGTTTTGGTTTACCGATCTTGATCCACTCGTCTTTTCCAATCAAAGTAATATCGGAACCAGTGTCAAGCTGGAAATCCACCGACCTGTCATTTATGTCCGCCGTGACGTACTGTCGTACAGCGTTCACGTGTCTGTTTAGCTTCACGTTCTGAGTTTTCCTCGTGCCACTCTTCTTGCTTTTACAGTACTTTGACATATGACCGCTCTGTTGACAATTGAAACATTTTGTCAGTTTCTGTTTGCAATCCGGCTTTTTATGGCCCTTTTGCCCACAATTCCAACAAGCTTCCTCTTGTCCCCCTGAACGATCTCGGTCTCTCGTTGGTTTCTTTCCTTTTCCGTTTCCTCTGGAGTGTACCGCTCTTACAGCCGGCTCACTCTTCTCCATCTCTGAAACCACACAATTCTGTCTGTCCGCTTTCTGCCACTCTTCGCAGAGGTCGTTTATCGTGACAGTTTCTTCTTTTTCCCACTTCTGTTCCACATATTTTATGAAATATGCACGGATAGCCTTGTCTTTCGACCCATCTAACCCTTTTAACCAGAAGAAGACTTTCCATCCGTCGATGTCGATCTTGTCCAGATTTGCTGCTTCGCACATCGCGTTCACCTTGTTGGTGTACTCTACCGTCGAGTCACCGTCCCGAATAATGTTCATGCACGCAAATCTGTGGGAGAAAATACTTTTCTTCACGTCAAACATCTTCCTCAAAAGTCCGACAGTCTCCTCAAACTTCATTTCGGTGTGTTTCTTCGGACAGATCCGCTTAGAAAACTGCTCATACACCTCGTCCGAAAGTTTACTCACAAGCAACGAAACTTTCGCCTCATCCGGCAAATCTTTTCCCTCTTGGTCGAACGCAGTTCCGTGCCGTTCATACCACCTCGAAAACGTCTTCTCTGTTTCCAGATCAAACTGGAACTGTGAAATCCTGCCGCTGATCACATTTATCAGCTGTGATTGCGACACGTTTGACTCGCTTTGGCTCACCGTTCCCGGATTGCCATTGATCTTTCCAGATGACATGGACTTGATCAACTTGTCAATCGATTCTTGATGCCGAGTTGCCTGCAACTGCATTTGCTGTTGCGTCACTTCGATCATCTTCAGCATCTTCTCCATCATGTCGCTATTCACCGCCATTGCAGGTTAACTGGCACTGACGAGAATACACAGAAAAAGTCACCGCCGTTTATACTGACACGGGTACTTTCTGCTCACAAGATTTCACCACCGTTTTTTAGCTGTCGTGGTTACTATTCTGTGTTAACTGGCACTGACGAGAATACACAGAAAAAGTCACCGCCGTTTATACTGACACGGGTACTTTCTGCTCACAAAATTTCACCACCGTTTTTTAGCTGTCGTGGTTACTATTCTGTAGAACAAGAATCGCGAGCGAAATCGAGTTCGAAATCTGATCGCCAATGTTGTGTTCTCAGGCAAAACACAAATTACTCGATTACTCTTTATTTTTAAGAGACTTAAAAATACAACCGAATGCTGTGTAAGCTCGGGGAAAATCTATACAACTGAAATGATGACAATTCAGCTTGATGTGTGAGAGAGAGAGACGCAGAGAACGCGCGCTGTGTGTAAACTCGCGCCACACATTTGCTTACGGTTTTAAACTTGTGGGTCTGCACCCAACAGGATGTCACCAAATTCATCGCTTTTTTTTCAGTCCAAGTGCAACGTGTGCAAAATGTTTCCGATTGTGGGTCTCCGCTACCGCTGCCTCTCCTGCTTCAACCTGGATCTCTGCCAAAACTGTTTCTTCAGTCAGCGAACCGCGAAACGGCACAAATTGAAGCATCCGATGCAGGAGTACTCGGGAAAGACCACTTCATCGGATGACGCTCGCGATTTCGCAAAAATGATCCGCAACAAGTTGAGATCGTCGCGACGACAACTCGCGTATTTGCCGATTGATGTGAGTAACAACCGGTGAACTGCGAAATGATTTCAATTTTTGCAGGTGGCCGAGGAGGGAATTCCGCTGACGTGTCCGCCGGCGAAGGTGACGAATCAGGCGACGGAGCAGCTGAACGCGGACACCGCCCAAATGACGGCTCATCTCGCGAAACTGAGCACGCAGCACGGCGGAGCAACTGGCGAACACATGGAACCGGTGCAGAGCCCGCTTCAGATCATCAATCAGGTATGAGAACGTCGAGTTTAGTCATACAATATCCAAAAGCAAAAAAGTTTCTTGAAAATTAAACGCTCAACTTTGAATAGATATTGTAGCGTTAGACGGTGTGCTATGAGTCTAGAAAATGTTTTGTGAACTCTTGACATCTGGTACTTGATTTTTGTACCTGACAACTTTTTTCGACGACCACTTCCTGGAGTACTGTAGCCACTAGAAGTTAGGACTTGCTCGAGCTATGTGAAATGTGATCCTAAATTCAAAGAGCTACAGTACTCCAGGGAATAGTCGTCGAAAAAAGTGGTGAATTACAAAATTGTAGTACTAGACATGAACTTTATTTTTTTAGTTGACAACTTTTAAGTACCATTACTTCTAAGCGTACTGTAGCTCTTCAAAGTTTGCAATCAAATTCATGTGGCTTCAATTAACAAGTCCAAACTTCCAAGCGCTACACTACCCCAAAAAGTGACCGTACAAAAATGATGTCGACTAAAAAAATGGAGTAGCAATTACAAAGTTGTTCAGCATAAAATTTCCAACAATTTTGACGTTGACCACTTTTGGAAATAATCATCGGTCGTCGAGATGTAGTCAAATCAGATCACACCCTCCTCTTTTCTCAATTATATTATACATTTCGCCCGTTTCCACACCCAACCTAAATAGTATTGGGAAACGGGAAACCGAGATCATCATCTCCGAGTCGTTTTTCACTTTTTCTCAGTGATTAGAGAACAAAAATGAGCGCAGAGACGCAGACATTTCCCTCTCTCTTTCTCTTTCTCTCTCTCTTTCTCTTCTTCTCCCAATCGACGACAGTTTTCTCAACACTCGCACACAAATATTGTCGACTTACAAAACTGTTCACAATGTGTAGTATTATTAAATTGCTGAGAAACAACCGCAAAAAGTATTACGGTAGTAGTAGTAGTTGTACAATAGCCGGAATTGCGGATGATACGACCGACCGGTATCTCAAGTGCGAAGAGTGTAAATGCTCAAGACACTGGGTATGGCCTTGCGATTTTTCGTGCTCTAAAGAAAACAACCGCTCATTCTTCGATCCTTTTTGCAGGTGGAACAATTGCAACGCGATGAAATGGACCAAATGTTGCATCGGTTGCAAGTCGAGAATAAGCAGTTGCGCAAAGAGTTGGAGTGGAAACGTGGCGCCGTCAGCACGCTCGAAATTGACAGGTTCGGAGGGGACGACTGAAAGAAAATGTGGTCATACATTTTCAGAAGCTCAAAAGCTCGTCACCACGATCGGCGAAGTGAGAGCCGCGGTGGGACTCTTCCGCTGCGCAACGGAAGGAGTGTCGTCTCGCTGAAAAGCACGCAGAGCCAGAATGATGTGAGACAGGGCGCTGCGATTTGAAGCCTAACCGGATTATGATTCAGGTGATGGACGAAGCGAAGGCGTTGCGACAGCACAAACAACGGCTCGAGCACCGTTCGCGAATACTCGAGCAGCAAAACGAGCAGTTGGAGATGCAGTTGCAGCGCCTCAAAAAGGTCATCGACGCGGTGAGTCGTTTTGCGCGTCGTTGAAACTTTTCGAGATTCCCTAGCTGACCGAAACACATGGAGTGTTTATGGGGGGACCATTTGACCAGACTGCACAACTTTAACAGGGGACAACATTTGGCCTATTTCACACGCAAGTGCGCCCCGCCAAATAGAGCGATACATTGGCGCGAAATTCAAATTTTAACAGCAAAATTTGTGTTTTTCGCCAGATTAGCCACGAAAAACCGATAATTTCTCATTTTTCTCTCGATAGACCGATTCGATAGGCTATTACGAATTTTTTAAGCGCAAGAACGCTAAATTTGGTCAAGTCGCAAATCACATTTATCCGTTTGAAGGTTTTTCGCTAAAACTGCGTGAATTTCAGTTGCTTTTCGGTAATGTTCGCGGTTCGAGCGTTCAAAATGCTTGTATTTATGTGATTTATCATTCTCAAAACCAATGCTGTCGCAAAACGGCCGAGAAAGCGCAAAATGAGAAGGCGAAAAAGCAAAGTCCGTGAAAAATGCGCCAAAACGTCATTAATTCTGAGAATTAGTGTGTTTTCATGTCGAAAAATCATTTTTCATCGCCTTCGACGACAAAAATCAGAGAAAACGTGCTCAATTCATGAAAACGCCATTGGGCCGCCGAGGCCACGCCCATATTGTCAGCTCTGGAGACCGTGCTGGAGCAAAGCGACAAATTTTCGGGTAAAATGATCAAGGCCGCTTAGCATTATGACTGATTTGCCGGCGAGCGTCCAGCCGGGGAACTATTCCCAGCAAAGGAAGCTTCCGTTTCCGTCCTTCGCCACGGGGAGGCTTAGTCATTGAAGGACATCAGGAGAATCTGCAGCTACTTGCCCCAACACACACACACACACACACAAAAGAAAAAGAGCATTATTTCACGGATGCCTGTGCCGGATTCATTTTAGATAAGCGCCCTGCGCCCTAGTTTAGATTAGTTTACCGCCCGACGCCCCTCTCAAACACACGTCTGAACAAGGCTCCTGCGACGAGGTCAGTATCGGTGGGGAGCGCACTTGCAACCTTCACGATCGGCGCCTTTTCGAATCAACTACCGGAAAAACTGGGTCGTTTTTTCGCAAACTTTTCTACATATTTGAGAGTTGACGAATTTTCAAGCGAATAATCTCATGCTTTCTCTTGCAGCAAAAGCAGTCGGCGCCGGTCCCGACGGCCACCACCAACTCGCTGGCGCGAGGCGGCGGTCCCGACGCGTGGACGCCCGAAAGAGCTCTTTCGTCGGCGCGGTCCGGCTCGCTCGTCGCCGGCGATACGATCCACGCGAATCCGATGGCCGTGGACGAGGAGGATTGCGACGATCGGCCACGTGGCAGTTCGGTCGGCCAGATGCAGAACCTGATGAACGCGTGCGACGATTTGGGCCGCGCCATGGAATCGCTCGTCGTTTCCGTCGTTTACGATTCCGACGAGAACGACGACTAAACGATCGATTGATTTGTTTGAAAATGTTACCTAGTCTTAATACAATTATATTGTTGCTTTTTTAACGACCTAATTTATACGCATTTTTTTGGTTTAATAAACGATTTTTTTAAATATGTTTTTTTACTACATGGGGGTGGGGGGGAGTTGGGGAAGAGAAAAAAATAAAGAAATTTAGTGGATGTAAAGAAGAGAACAAAAGGGGCAAAACGGCAAAGGAACACTACTTTTAAGCGGATAATTCGACTTTTTTTTAAATGAATCTTATTCATCAGATTCTCCTGCTGGGGCCGATTTTGAGATTTCTTTGGGGGGGGAGCTATTGAACAGAAAGCAGAAGAAAGTAAAACGGGAGACAAAAATATTGCGTTCTTGCTGGGAAACTATAATAATAATAATAATGATAAAGAATAAATAAATCTCTAGTAATTCGAGCGGCTATTGTAGCTATTGTAGTCGCGATGGTGCCGGTTCGATCCGGATCCTCCCGACGAGGACGTGTACTGCTGCGGCTGTTGCCAGTTAGCCGAAGAGGAGGACGAAGATGTTCCGCGCACGTCCGACGCGGAAGATGCGGAAGCGGAAGCCGCCGCGCCGCCGCCGCCGCCGCCGCCGCCCGTTCCCGTCCAGTTTGTGTCCATTGTGATCTGGCCGTTCGCGTCGAGACCGCCCCACACTTGGCTTTGGAACGCTACAATATTTTGAGATTGAAAAATGTATCAAACAAAAAGCTATTTCGCTCAAAAACTAACCATTATCCTGGAATCTGAGGGCGGACGCCGGAGCCGGATAGCTCTGGTACCCTCCGATCGTCGAGGCCGTCTCGTACGTGGTTCCGTTGCCACCGCGCGAGTAGTTGCCGCTCCGTTGCTCATAGACTTTTCCCGAAGAAGCGCTCATCTGATGATTGGCCGATTGGATGCCGTAGGCGGTTGCCACGTGGCGTGCCGATGGAATCTGCTGCTGCTGATGACGTCCTAAATCATCTACGCCCGTTGGCATCGCCTTTTCAAACTTTCGCCGCTTCTCACCCAAAGACGAGTCCTTCCGATAGGTTCTCCGATCGTCCACGTGCACTTTCGTGGCTCTCGGCGGCGAAAGGATGAGCGGCTCCGCGGCGGGTCGACGTCTCGTCGCCGCGCCCCCATTCTCCGCCCGCGCCGTCGTCGTCGTTCTCCGATCCGTTCCACGGTATTTGATGCCGTTCTCTGCAGCGAACGCCGCCTGCTGCAGAGCCAGTTTCTGTTTCGACAGCTCAATTTCCAGTTTGGCCCTTTCCACCTTCTCCGCTTCGAAGCGGATCTTCTCCCGCTCGCGCTCCATCTCGAGCCGTTCCTCGCGTAGGCGGTGCTCCTCCTCTTTGCGGCGCAGCATTTCGAGCATCTCCTGCTCGCGGCTCTTCCGATGATCGTCTCCGCGGCCTCCTCTAGACACCACCTCCTGATTCGGAACTCGACGCGACGACGGCACCGGAATCGGCTCCCGACGCCCACGCACTTCGTCACGCGACGCCGACCGATGCGAATAATCCGAGCGATCGCGCGGGTACTGCTGGTGCTGCTGACGTGGATTATGGTGGTAGCTATTGTTGTTCGTATTGTTCGAGCGATGCTGATATTGTTGATTCTGATAATGGTGGTGATGATGCGTGGGCGGCGGCGGTGCCACGTGTACCGGATTTCGGCGAAGTTGCGAAGTGGTGATGCTGCTCGGAATGCCACGTTCCACAGATCGCTGGATTCCTCTGCAACCGCTGAAACAGATAATAATCGGGGGTCTACATGATTTTCATCTTTTTAAAAATATCTTTTTCTATCCCTACTTTCAAACACAGCTTGTACTCGAAATTAATGGAAACACGCAAGTTTTCACATGTTTCTAAAAAACACACGTTTCGGAGAGTTTTGAATGCTCAGTTTTCGGCTCAAAATGTGAACAATACATCGGTACTTCACTTCAAGCCCCGGTAAAGTGCCAATTATCAAAAATTTAACAATTTTCCCACAAAAATTGTGTTCAATTACTGTTCGTGTCTACCTCGTGTCGACTCTCGCCGATATTATGAGCGAGTCCCGCCCGCCACGCGAAGTCCTAGCCGGTGGGGACCGTACTCGCGAGTTCCGTGGATGCGTCGCCGCGGCTGCGATGGTCCGTCTCGAGTCGACCGCCGGTTCCGCATAGCTTTCCGTGGCGGCGCGCGAAGACGACGAACCGGTGCGGCCCGTCTGGTAGACTATCGGTTTGCGGTCCCTGCGCTCACTCTCGCGGTCCCGTCGCTCGTCCCGCTCCGGCGCCTGAATCACCGCCCGATTGTTGGTGGTGGTGGTTTTGCGAGGGCGTCGTTCTTCGTGCTGTTCCGGCGCCTGAATCACTTGACGCTGCTGCTGTTTCGGCTCTTCCGGCGCTTTAATAATCGCCCGTTTCTTCTGCAATTGCTCCTTTTCCTTCTCCTTCTTCTTCTTCTCCGCCTCTCGTTTTCTCTCCTCGTGCTCTCGCTTCTCCTGGGCCAATTTTTCGGCGGATTCGGTCAGCGACGATTCGGATACCTGCAAATTGCACAATTGTCGGCGAAAATCAACAAGAAATTGTCCAATTTTGACCAAAACTTCAGGCTTTTTTTTAAAGAACATTTTTTAATTTTCCATACCTTTTCCACACGAAGCATTCGTCCATCGTAATCTTTGCGATGGAGGCCCGTCACGGCGAGCTCCATTGCTTCGGGCTCCGCGAACGAAATGAACGCAAAGCAATTCTTGATTTCGCCATTGATCGGCTTCGAATTGAAGATCTTCGCCTGCACCACTTTTCCGAACTCGCTAGCAAGCTGCTGAAAATGGGAAAAAGGCTAGAAAGTGTCGAATCGGTGGTACGATTCCAGGGCAAAATTCCTCAAAATCAGGAGGAAAGCGGAAATTTGTGGAAAAGGCGTGCCGGGAGGTTTTGAAAAGCGACCTAATTCCTTGTTTCCCAAACACATACACGTTTTTTTTTTTGGAATTTGAACGATGAAATTGTTAGTCTCGAGAGATTTTCAGCTGAAATATCTTGATGTCGTCAATTTTCCGCAGACATTCGATTTTCCAAACATTCAGAGCGGCCTAACAATGTCTTCCGATAGTCCCACTCGGAACATTCCACGTCTTCAGCGCCCTAACGTTCATAGCGATCCAGCTACGAATAAAGAACGCGTTTTCTCCCGTTTTCCCTCAAAAGAATGGTCGTCGGCGTTCACAATTACCTTCACACTCGACGCCTTCGTGTTCGGCGACATTCCACGAATCCAAATCGACGTCTTCTTCGAGTCGTCCGTGAAGAGAATCGTGCTCGAGTCGGCCGCCGCCCAAGTGATCAGCGACGACGACGCAGATGACGTGGCTTCGGTGGTGGCCGTCGTGGCAGTTGCACTCGGAATTTTCTCCTCTTCTTCGATGGGCTCCTCCTCCTCGTCGAGCGGATCCTCGAGCAGTTCCTCGTAGTCCAAGAAGATCTCGTCGTCCGGTTGGAATGCGTGGCCGATCGGCATCTCTTCCTCTTCTTCTTTCTCCTCCTCCTTTTTCTCGTCTTTTCCTTCTTCTTCCTCTTCCGAATCCTCCTCAAACTCATCCTCTCCTTGCGGCGATTGGATCGCCTTCTCCTCTTCGTTCAATTTCGGCTCCATCGGCTCCAATTTCTGCTCGCCGAGCTCTTTTTTGTGCTGCTGCTCTTCTCCGTCCGACATGATGCTCAATTCCTGCGAATCTTCCTGCAGAATCGCCTCTTTCGGTCCCGCTGGCTCAGTCTTCACGACTAAATATATCGTCCGTTGAGAGTGCGTTGATTGCATAGAAAATGGCCCCCGCCAACCAGAAAATCGGCACCCAATTGGGGGAAAATGTGTCACGTGCAAAACCATAAAATCTACCCAATAAGCGTTCGTAAAACGTGCCTACCTTGTTCGTCCTGCTCTTCGAGCTCTTCTTTCGCCGCTTGCGGCTCTTTCGGTTCTTCGGCACTCATTTCCGTGGCAATCTTGCTTTTGACACTCTTCGAAATGCGCGAATTTGAATAGTCGGCGAACACGTGTTGCTCTGGATTGATTCCCGCTTGTCGCAACGCCTGAAAAATCGATATTTTTGTTGGAATCTCTCATGGAATCGTGAAGAAGCGATGAAGTTTTGCTAATTTTTGCTTGAAAAAACTTGTTTTTGAAAGCCCGGCCTGGCCCGCCCTTTTCCACTCAAAATCCTTTAAAAAAGATCCCCCCGCGGAATAGATTCTTCTTCTTGGCAAAAAGCGAAAAGTGCGAAGGAGGCTATTCATCAAAACGGCTCTCGGCGCCGCGCCGCCGCCTAATTCATCACTTTTTCCCCTTTTTGCGTAGGCGTCCATGTATACACAAACATTGGCCTCATCAATGTGCTGCTGCTGATGCTCTGCTGGCGGGGGCGAAAACAACGGGGCGGCCGAGGATGGAAATTGGTTTAAAATTTCGCCCAAAATTCCAGCATTTTCAACACAGCTCCAGTGGTAAACAAAGAACGTGGGCCAGCGACGAAAACTATCACGCTTCTTTCTGCACGCAAAAAAAAACACACACACAATTCCGGTAAACACTCGACTTTCCGCCTTTTTCTCTCTCTTCCTTCCTTCCAAACATGACCGCCTCAAAAGTCGTCAAAATGAGAGAGAGAGAGAGATGGAGACGGAGAAGAAGGAGCAAAAAGAAGAGGGCGTGGCTCCTGCGGCCTTCTGCTCCGACGGCCTCCCAGAGTCTCCTTCTCCTTCTTCTTCTTCTGCTTCTTCTCCGTTTTCGTTTTCGATAAGGACGGAGAACGCTTTTCTCTGTTTTCCCCAATCAAGTAATGCTCGCCGAGCAGCATCAGCGACAAATCGCCAAAATCGTCTGTGCTCACGGAGCCACCATTTCGACGACCCGGGCGACACTTGAACGTGCTCCGCTCAGCCTGTTGGCCACCGATCCCACGGCGACCGTCGTTTCCGATGCGAAACTCGTTCGGATTCTTGTCGAGGCGCTCCGCCGGCAAGACATGAGCATTATCGTCTCCGAATCTTTCGATCAATGGGCCAGATTGGCCGCCGAGGTGAGGCAAAAACATTGCCGATGGCATCTTTGAACTCGAAATTGAAAAAAATCATGTGGAATTTCCGTTTTAGGCTCTATGAGCTCCTTCATCAAATTTTTGAACATTTCCACCCCAATCAGATTATCCGATCCGGAAATGCCTCGAAAAGTTTCAACGCAAATCTACGCAGAATTTTTTTTCAATTTCCTCTTAAATTCTGCATAGATTCCCGTGAAAAACATCGACATTGATCGTTTTTTAATCGGCAAACTCCCTCCAACACATTTCTAGCCCAAAAAATCCAAAATCTGCGCATTTCCAGGCGAAACGTCTCGGACTCATCTCGTTCGTCGAGGCGGCGTGTCCGTCGACCATCAGCATTTCGTGCCACGCGGCGCTCTCCACCGGTCGCATCAATCCAGAAGTCACTTTTCGAAAGGTAACCCCGGTATTTTGAGCAGCGGGAAAAGAGCAAAAATTGTATACTCGTCCCCAGTTTGCGTGTGTCGGAAAAGGACGGCGAAAAAGGGAAAAGGAATAGACAAAACAGCGGCGAAAACACATGACATGCACACTTTTCTCTTCTTTTTACCCAGCTATTATCGGTTATAAATGTGTGTGTGTGTGTGTGTGACACCATTCAAACTGGAAGAGCTCCTTCTTTTTCTTCTTCTCCCCTTTCTCTTTTATAAATGAGCATAAGAGCGAGACGACGGCGCGCCGCCACCGCGAGCTGTCATAAAATGGCAAAAAGGGATGGAAGCAGAAGAAGAAGAAGAAGAAGAAGAAGAAGAAGAGGAGGGAAAAGTGGTGTGTTTTTGCAGGTTCTCCGAATTGTCGTTTCCGGAAAAGTGATCATGTGTCGAGCAGTTTTCGGCGATTCGCTCAACGAGTGTCGCGACGGCGGAGGCACCGATTTCGAAATGGATCGATACACTTCCAGGTGCTTATTTATGAATTTTAGGCTTGGTTTGAAGAATGCTCAGTGAAAATGTCAGCCCAATTGAGAAAAAACTGATCTGGGCATGTATTTAAATAGGTCAGATACTCCAATCAGGTTGAACTTTTCTTCACCAAGCATACTTCAAGCCAAGACTAGTACTCGTGCAAAGTTAGGATCTGATCGGACATTCTACAATATCATTCGGGTCAAAATCCTGACTCCAGAAAACCGGTTTCAACCAAACTTTGAGCCCCAAGCTGAATCTAACAACGTTCTCGCAGAAAATGATCACACAAATCGTCGATTACAGGTTCTTTCTGAAGCACAGCAATCTCGAGAAGGCGTTCGATCAGCTCGCCTCGTCCGGCTATCGGCTCATCCATTCGAACACGTTTGCGCCGTCGCAAATGCCAAAACACGCGTCAAAGGACGACTCGCAATTCATTCACCACTCGCAATTCGTTTTTCATCGTCAGCCCAAGGTACCGGGGTTCTTTTATTGTGGCGGACTGGGCGCGCTTTTTGTGCACTGCGCGGAAAAGCTTTTACCTCCCTCCTCTTCCCATTCTTTTCAAATCGAATCAGAGTTTTCGGGTGCGGAAGCTCTTTTCAGTGGAACACAAGCAAACCTTTTAGGGGGACGCTGTGAGAGCTCCAAAAGCTCCTAAAAGCTTGTCGCAATCTTTTATAATTATGGGAGAAAATGCGCATTTCCGGCGGCGTCTTCCGGAATGCAAACTTTTGCGAGCAAACATTCGCTCTCCAGAGGCCCACTTTCACTCGGGGAAAAGTGATACGTCTTCAATTTCTCGGCCGTCTTTTTCTCTTCGCCAAAAAAAAAAAAAGAAAGAAAAGAATTCGCATTCAGCACTTGTGTGATCGAATTAGCGTGACGAATGAATGAAAAGACGGCCGGATGAGCCGAAATGGGAGAAAAGAAGAAGAATGGAGTGGAATGGCGGCTAACGAGGACGGAAATCCGCGCAGCTTTGTGCACTTTTCCCCCTCAAAATCAGCTGAACAAGTTGGGAACGCAACGCTGAAAATGAAAATGTCAAAATTAATTGGAAACTACAACAAATCCGTTGAACTTTAACAAAATCATCTCGAAAATGTCAGCAATCCACCAATCTCAACCCAAAAATGCCAAAAGCTTAAAAGATGAAGAAAATCTAATTTTACCCATACAAAGCGCGTCAATGTGTCGCCCAATGCACATAATTCCCGTATTTCTCGGCTGAGACACACAAAAAACGTCCAATTTTTCAGTTGTCGCCACCGGAGAGCAACGTCATCGCCGCCGGCGCCGCCCCGAGCTAATCCACGTGTTTTCGCGATTTTTTTTCGAATTTTTCAGTATCTTAGCGAGTAAATGAAGTCGAAATGGAATAAACATTGAAAAACTCACTCTTTGGAGACGAATAGTCAGCACCACTTTGATTCCTTGACTGTCGATTCCGCGCTTGTCGAGCTCCGCCTAGAAAATTGACGAAATTGACCGCTATTTCGGGAGTCGATAATTTCGGGCACTTTGAGAGCGAGATATGAGCCAATAATATGCGATGGAAATGTGAGAACGACAATAAAATGCAATTCTAGGGGGGATATTCCGGAAATGTCGTTAATTTTTACCTTCAACTCGTTGACGCGCAACTCCGTGAGCAATTTGCCTTCCGCGCAAGCAATCTTGTCTGGAATTTCGAGTTTTCGAATGGAAAACAGCAGGAGAAATGAACAAACTTTGACGAAAAGTCGGCATTTTCTCGCGTGAGCCACGCAAAAATCGATTCGGTCTCCGTGGATTTGGGGCCGTGACGGTTGCCCCCGGCGACCGACACGTATCGATTTTTGCGTGGCGCCACGTCGCAGATCACACGAAAACAATTTTGGCGCAAATTTGAACGAAGCGCGTCGGAAAACGGCGCCAAAAACTCGCGAATTGTGGCTCCATCTGACTCAGCTAGCGTTAGTGGAGGACACTTTGGAGCCTCGTACTGCGCGCTGTTTAGCAGAAGAAAGTCGTATTTGTTGGATTTAAATCGATTTTGATAGAGAATCCAATAAATATCGAGGGAGAAATAATGTAAAGCAGCCAGAACGCAAAAAAAAAATATGATGAAAATATGATGCTGCTTCTTTGATTTTTCAGAGTAATATTTCAGATTGTTGGCTGAAATTAGAGAATTTTAGAGGAAATGTTCCGGAACTCAATTTATACAGTAATTTATTTAAAAACCCGAAAAAACGGAAGAAATAATCGCTTTTTGTTGTTCCCTGATTATATTATACCGATTCATGCAATATTTAGGCGAAACTGTGAAGCTCCAACTCCTCCGGCTCTTCCAGGAACTGACAGATCGAGTCGACGAAGAACGTCGGATCGTCGGCGTGGATCCAGTGGTTTGACCAGGCGGTCTCCGCGAATTGCACCTAAAAAAGAAGAAGCTCATCAGCACTTTCTAGAACACACGACGTTTCTTACGTTGGGGAACATTTTCTCGATGACCTGCTTGTGGCCGGCCGGCAGGAATCCACTTCCGGACGCGCGCTGGAAGAGCGTCGGACCGTCGAACACGCCGAAACGAATGTTGTGGCTCAGCAGGTAGATGTACGTATCGTCGATGACGTTCAGGTTGCACGTCCACACCGCTTTTCCGTTCGCGTCTTCGCCGAGGTTGCCGCGCACGAACTGGTAGAGCAACACTTTGGAGACCTTCTCGCCGAGCTCCGCCATCACCTCGTCGCGGCTCTTGTTCATGTCCGTCTTGATCATGTGCTTGATGCAGTCGAGGTATTCTGGAAGTGAACGTCTGCTATGAATCGTCGTGAAACATCATCTTTTTGGATTCGGTGTCCCACGGTCTCCAGAGCTGACAATATGGGCGTGGCCTCGGCGGCCAAATAGCGTTTTCATGAATTGAGCACGTTTTCTCTGATTTTTGTCGTCAACGACGATGAAAAATGCATGTTCGACATGAAAACACACTAATTCTCAGAATTAATGACGTTTTGGCGCATTTTTCGCCGACTTTGCTTTTTCGCCTTCGTCGCCGATCGCCCCCTCAAAACAGCACTTCTCCTATTGCGCTTTCTCGACCGTTTTCCGACAGAATTGGTTTTGAGATCGATAAATCACGTAAATACAAGCATTTTGAGCGCTCCAACCGCGAAAACTACCGAAAAGCAACTGAAATTCACGCAGTTTTAGCGAAAAACCTTCAAACGAATAAATCTGATTTGCGACTTGACCAAATTTAACGCTCTTGCGCTTAAAAAATTTGTAATAGCCTATATAATCGGTTTTCTCGAGAGACAAACGAGAAATTATCGGTTTTTCGTGGCTAATCTGGCAAAAAACACAAAATTTGCTGTTAAGATTTGAATTTCGCGCCAATGTATCGCTCAATTGTCAGCTCTGGAGACCGTGTGTCCCGCTCCCACTCACCAGCTCTCTTGAGCGGATATCCGAGCGGCGACATGTCCTCGACAATGAGATTCTTGATGCGCGGCGCGTACTCGGGCGTCGTCGCCAACTGGGTGACCGTCTTTCCGCCCATCGAGTGTCCGTGCAGGTTGACCTGCTCCTCGCCGGTGACTTTGCGAACCCAATCGATGAATCCGACGAGGTCGTCGGCCATTTCCGGATAGCTCATCGAGGCGGCCATCGAGGATCCGCCGTGATTGCGGTTTTCGACGGCGAACACCATGCATCCGAGCCGCTTGCTGAGCTCTTTGCCCACTCGAATCCAGTTCTCCTTGGTGCCAAACAGTCCGGGCACCAGGATCAACGGCGTGCCCTGCGATTTCATGTTGCCGAAGGTGAGATTGGCCAGCATCATCTGAAAATCGGATCATATTTGCTCTTTAGTCGCAACTTTTCCGGGTCTTACCGATGATTGCGAAGAGGAGAAGCGTTTGGCGGCTTTCAAAAACGCAGAGTTCATTCTTATGGTCCTAGGAGGTTGAGAACAGTGTAAAGTTGACCCGATGAGCCGTCAATTTTATAAGGTGCCCATATCATTTGCATATCAATAAGTCAGACAAAAAAGGGGGCGTGGCCTCTACTCTATTCAATATTCAGATGATAACGCGAAGTTTGTTCTTTGGTTTTGGATGCAAAGTCAAATTTGAGAATGAAAAAGACATTGCGAGACTGTGCTGATTTTGCACAAACAATAATAAAATTGTGGAGTATGCAAAACTGTCAGGCCTGCAAAGTTTAGGGGAATTTCAAACATTTTGCGGTCAAATTTTGTTTTTTCAATTGAATTAGTCATTGTCTCGGAAGTCATACTCGGCGACAAGTCTGAAAAAAAAAATCGATTTTCCATTACCGTTTCACAATCAAACGCGCGCGCACTGTCTCCCCAACAGCTAATGAAAAAAATATATAAAAAAAAATTGAGCGCCGCGTTAAAACGGAGTGTCGTTGAAATTTCCGGGATTTTTTCTCCGAAAACCCAAAATTTCATCCGAAAATGAGAAAAATGAAGTAAAAGAGAGTATTTCAGAATTGTTAAAGACAGCTGTGACCTTAAATTAGCGTTTTGCAGACAAAAAAGCGCGCATTTTTTCATTTTTCTGTAAATTTCAACTTCTAAGTCGTTTTTGCATTTTATGGGCCGTCTCTGTGCTCAAAATGACGGTCTTTGTCTGCATAACAATCGCGAGAGGCAACTGTTTTCTCAAAACTTCCGAAAGTTTGTTTTTTCAAGCCAAATTTAAAAAACGAAATTACTCTTCATATTTTCACGGGAGCCAAACGGTGCATTTCGGTCGGTAAAAAAATTCTGAATTTTTAGAGGATATACCGGGAAGTCTGGCGCATAATCTGCATACACAGTCACGTAAAAATGCACAACTCCGTATGGAAAAGCTTTTAAAGCACTAAAAGCATCGCAACAGGGTGATTTTTCGACGGGAAATTCGTGTCACGGTTGCGAAACGTCGGGGAGCCTAAGAAACTTTGACGATTTCTTGGCACGCATTCTACGAGACCCAGTGTTTTCGAACAGCTCTCCGCTTTTTCTTTATCATCCGAGCAATTTTTCCACTTGTAAGGCCAGACATCACTCGTCTGTATTCAATTTGAAGAATTGGGACCAAATTTCAAAGCGCCGCGCATATTCCCACACATTTAGATCGGGTCGCGTTCCCCGACAGTCTCGTCATTCAAATTCCATTTTTCAATAGACTCTCGTTTCGAAATGTTCACTTTTTTGTGGTGATCTGTGGTCATTCGGATTGAGTGTACGGTGCATTTCGAGCAATCAAACATCTGAAAAATGAAGCAACAGAAATTAAAAAACATCAGTCTCTTCGCAGCTAATTTGATCGGCCAAACTTTCACTTTTCGTTGTTTTAAAAATCAAATCGTTTGAGATGTGTTGCGTCGTCCCTCAACCGGATTTGTGTAAAACAATGTGTCTGGCAAGGCTGTGAACACTTTTTTTGCGGATTCATCATAGTACGTCATTTTTAGGTGCAGAATGTCTTAAAATTGAGAATTTACTTTTTCAGCCGTATTAAGCAGACTTGCAACGGGCCGGGCCGGGCCGGGCCAAAATTGGAAATTTTCCGGCCCGGGTCGGCCCGGGAGGATGCACCTAAAAATTCAAAGCGAACTAGAACTTCGAAACGAACATAATTTTATAGACTTAAAAAGGCAATGTTATAGCATAAAAACCTGTTAAAAAATAGAAATTGCTGTTTAAAGTCGCAAAATTTTCACAAAAATTACGAAAATTCTCTCAAGAGTGGGCGGAGCCGGGCCGACCGGGCCGGGCCGGGCCGACGATTTGCTGGCCCGGCCCGGGATTTGGCAAGTCTGGTATTAAGCACGAAATTTCAGGGGAAATTGATAAATGTTTGCATTTTTTCACACACACTCTCGCTCCGGACAGCGAGCTTATCATAACCCTTAAGAGCGGCGGACGGCGGCGGCCGGATGGTCTAGGGGTATGATTCTCGCTTCGGGTGCGAGAGGTCCCGGGTTCGACTCCCGGTTCGGCCCAAACGGTTTTGCGGATTTTTCGTTTGTTGTTACACCTTCTCTTATCCGCCTAAAAGATCTGTTCAAGTCGAAAAAGTTTTTGTTGAGTGCCAAAGGACACGAGTGTGTGTAAAGCTTTTTGTCGTTGGTTGCGCATGCCGCTGATAAAATCTCTACACACACACACACACCTGTCACCTTCACGGCTATTGCATAATCTAATCTCAGCTTCACAATCAAGTCCACGGCGCGGTGTCACACACATTAGCACTATAAAAGGTTGGTGGCGGGCGAAAAGTCGAAGTCATCAGAGGGATTTGCGCAAACGTCTGAAGAGATGTCTCGCTTCCTAGCCGGCACGCTTTCCGCCATTTCCGGCATCGTCATTCTGGGATCACTCGTCATCGCCGGCGTTTTGTTCAACGACATCAACACGCTCTACTTCGATGTGATGGATGATATGCACGAGTTCAAGGTGAGCCTTGGTTAAAGTCCTGAAGTTTAATTAAAACTTTTGAAATACACTAGGAATTACTAGGAATTCATTAAAATTTTTATTTCGTCAATTTCAGTTGCTCGCCGACGACGCGTGGAACAAAATGATCGTTGCGAACCAGGGCGCTTCGTCCGGAGCCGCCAACGGTCTCAACCTCGATTCGTTGTTCCGCAGAGGAAAGCGTCAATCCGCGTGCAACTGCGGCCCCCAGCCGGACAACTGCCCCGCCGGTCCACCAGGACCAGCCGGAGAGCCGGGAGCACCGGGAGACGATGGCGCGCCAGGACAGGCCGGATCGAACGGACACGACGGAGTGCCGTCGCCGATCGACGCGTACGCGCAGCACGAGTGCATCAAGTGCCCCGCCGGAGCACCTGGACCACAGGGACCCGATGGATCGGCCGGAGCGCCAGGACCTAACGGACAGCCGGGAGCCGACGGATCCGCTGGACAGCCAGGAGCTCCGGGAGCGCCTGGAGCCCAGGGAGACGCCGGAGCACCAGGAACGGATGGAGAGGCCGGAGCGCCGGGACCGGCTGGTAAGAACGGACAGCGCGGAGCCGGAGCCCCAGGACCACAGGGACCAGAGGGACCAGCCGGAGCACCAGGAAAGGATGGCGCCAAGGGAGAGGACGGTGCTCCGGGAGCTCCGGGATCCGAGGGAATCGCCGGCGCGCCCGGAAAGGACGGAGAGTCCGGACCGCCGGGAGCCGCTGGCGAGAACGGAGCCGAAGGCGCTCCGGGAGCCGACGCCGCCTACTGTCCGTGCCCACCGCGAACTGTCGGCTACGGAGAGGTCGAGCAGCCGCAGGCCGCGCAGAGCGGATACAGAAGACGTGCCGCCAGAAGACTGTAATTCCGCCGATTTTCTGCCTTTGGGATTTTCTGTACATTTCTGCAAAATAAACTGTTTTTCATGGAAATTTTGTCGATCTTAATTACCTAATTTTTTTTTCTGGCGGAGAGGGTCAGCACGGGCTGAACTGATGGCAGAACTAGCTATTAATCAATTTTTCATCACTACTATCTACTAAAAAATAAAGGAAATCAACAATGAACCAGGGGTGGAAAACAGAAAGATCGGGGAGCGAATAGAGGGAAAAATCAATGATTAGTGAACATTTCGGAGAGTCGTTGTCTTGAATCGGTGCTCGAAAGGGTCCACGCTGTGGCGATTCCCAATCCGACGAGTGCTCCGACGCCGGAGGCCTTGAGTCCGTACGGCGAGCGGTAGATGGCTCCGGTGAGTGCTCCGGCGCCGAATCCGTTCAGTTCGTCTTCTGCGCGCACCGATCTGAGGCCGATCTCGAGGGCAGAATACATGAAAACGATGGCGCCGGCTGGCTGCGCGAATCCCGAGCCGTGCTTCGCCGTCGCGTTCACCATACGCGTCATCCACGCCTTTCCCGCCATTTTCCGCGTTTCCGGGTTCAGCAGCTCGCCGAGAGCTCCACGAGCACATCCGACACCGAAAGCGCCGCCGACTGCCCAGCTAAAATCAAAGCGTTTCGGTTCCTCTTCAATTTTTTCAAAAATTACCCTATGTGTCCGAGCGCAAACTCGAATTTTCCCTTTCCGGCCACTCCGCCTTCGGGCATAATGTACTGAGGTGTTTGCGAGACAAACATGGACGGATCCATCTGGACGTAGGGCGTCATTTGCCGCGAAACGTTCACTCCGGCCGATTTGAGCTGGTCCAGGGCGAGCACGGGCGCCGCCGGGAACGGAGAATGCTCGTGTGCCGATGGTTCTGGCTGAAAAACATGGAATATTGCGGAAAATTGCGGAAAACTGGCGAAAAACGCACCGCATTCGAGGTGTCAAACGCTCCGGGCACCGAAAAATTCATTCCACCGCTGAGATCGATCGGCGCCGACGATGGACCGACTGACGACGATGGAGTGTCGTTGGAGCTGCCGCCGAATCCGAACCAACCCATTTTACTGAAATTTTTGCAAATTTAGGATTACATCATTTCGAGTTTTTGACGATTTCCGGCTCAAATTTTTTAGAAAAACCGTGAAGCTTGTATAGCAATCGAAAGAGCAATGTTTTCTCTACACAACCATATATAAAATGTACAGAAATTCTCGCGTTTCGGGCAAAAAGTTGGGGTTTTAAATTTTAGAAGAATGGAAAATTCTTCGCAACGACGCTCCGAAATAACGCCGCCTATCGTTGTAAACTGCGCGCAGGCGTTATTTCGGAACGTCGTAAGAAATGATTTTTTCCAGGTCTTGCCCAATTTTGCTTGTTTTTGAGGATTTTAAGTGCTTTTTAGATTGAAATAAATATTTGAGACTGTTTCTAGCTTTTGGATCGTGTTTGGAATGTCTGGAACGTCTGTGAGTGTCTTAAAATTTTGTTTCAAAAATCGTTTGCATCAGTTCCTGGGAGAACGTCTTTAAAAATTATCTGCAGCGAGAAAACTCTGAAATTTTGCTTAAAAAACGTTAGAACTCAACTATTGTCTAGTTTTGGCTCTCGAGAAAAACGTTTCGCCAAACAATTGTGTGCTCAACCTGGCTTGCGGCACAAAAAGTTGACGTTTGTCTACAAATTTTGCAAGAGAATTTCGTAAGTTCCATTCCTTGAAATGATGAAAAGTTCCCACATCAAAAATCATAAATCTTGTGCCAGACACCACGTTTTCAGCATCAAAAATCAACGAGACGTTCTGAACTCTAAACATTTCAGATTTCGTAATCAGACTGTTCAAATAAAGGTCATTTTGTCACATGCCATTCCCAGACACATGACGCTATTGCTTTCGTTTTCAGTCAGTTCAGTGTTCTCTGTGCTTCTCGGCGCCCCGATCGGATCCCCTCGTCGTCTGCCGTCTCTTCACGTCTCGCCCTTCCTCGAGACTTTTTCTCCGCTCCCCGCCCGTCGTCACCCCTCTTTTTTTCGCTCATTTCTTATCTTTTTCTCATTTCCATCCATCCATCCGTCCGTTTCGTTCTTCTTTTTCCTCTTCGTCATCAAGTAAGAGCACTACACAAACTCGTTCTTTGCACACACGAAAGTTTGAGCTGTTCCCCTCCGCCACCGAATTTTTCTTCTTCGTCTTGACTCTAGAGTGCCCAAGATTGAATTTCAACTGATTTTTTTTGCAGATCCACTACTGAAATCACATTAACAATGAGAATCTGGTCCAGCGAACACACTTTTGAGTGAGTTGTCACTTTGTTTTCGACAAACAATCACACACATTTTGAATTGCAGACACGAATGGGAGACGGTTGCGATGGCGGCGTTCAAAAAGTACCCGAATCCGCTGAACCGCGCCGTGACCGGCATCGACGTCGTCAAACAGACTCTCGAGGCGGGCAAAATACTGACGGAACGGATTATTCAGTCGCATTTCAGCATTCCCTCCTGGGCCACAAAAGTACGCCGATTTTTAGTTCGAGAGTCAAAAAGGTGTTCTTCGGCCGAAAAAAAAAACTTTGGATTCACACACACAAAATAGTGTCAGTTGTTTGTCGACCTAAAAAAAATTTTGACATATTACAGCTGACAGGCTTCTCCGGCACACAATATTCGCACGAGTACACGGTGATCGACCCGACGAACAAAGAATTCTCGCTTACCACCCGAAATGTGAGAAAATCGGGGATTTCTCGATCTTTTTCTAAACAAAACATCACTTCAGCTCAACGGCTCCTCATTCCTGCGAGTCGACGAGAAGCTGACGTACAAACCGGACGTCGAGGATCCGAATAAAACGGTGCTGAAGCAGGACGTCATCGTGACGATCACATTGCCCGCGTTCGCCGACTATTGCGAACGCACGTTTCTGAGCATTTACTCGCAAAACGCGAGCAAAGGACGGCAGGGCGTCGAGTGGGTCATCGACAATCTCAAAAAGGACTTTGAAGTCATCTCCAGCAAGGTTCGTCTCGGCCTCGAATCTGAAAAAAGGCACTAAAATCGATAGAAACTCAAAATCTCGCATCGCCACTGATTCTACTGGCATATTTTTTTGGAAAATTTGAAATTTCAACGCGATTTTGCGACGGGGGAACTCTGCTCGTTCTCTGCTCCGTCTCTTCTGCCCCCGTTTCCCTTTTTTCCCAATTCTTCCACCAACCGGATCACTGACACTCACGCGACTGATAAAAATTTGTGTGTGTGTGTGTTTGGCTGATCGCTTTGGTCGAACTTTGTTGTGTTCGACACGAGACGAGAACAAAAAACGGCTTTTTGGCCTGTGATCATAGAAGGGGGCACAAAATACGGGGTTCAACCGATTTCTTATCACGAAATCACTGGAAATTTTCATTCTTTCGCACAAATACAAAGCAAATTGCAGGTGAGCTCAGAAGTGCACGAAATGTCGGAAAAAGTGCGATCATGGAGTTCGAAACCCTCGTCTCCGCCCTCATAATGAATCAATTGTCCTTTGCCCACCCAATTTTAGTGATCCAATATAGAATTCCTAGTCGTTTTGCTCGTTCTGCACCCGATTTCCGTTGTTCGACCAATTTATCCCCGTTTTAGGCCCAACTACATGTGTGTCTTTTACGATTTCCGTCTTTTCTCTCCACAGCTTTATCATTATCACTATTATCCGTTTTTTTTTTTCTAATTTTTCTCCATCCACCGGCTCGGGTTTACCACTTTCTCCGTTGTTTTCGAACCGAAAATCCTCCTCCCCCCAAAGAAGAAGAACAATAATAGTCATTTTTCTCTGCGATCCACTCAAAATGTACATTGTTTTCTGTGACTGAATTGAATAATAAAGCAATATCACTTTCTTGGAACAGTTTGCAGGCCTTTGTGAACGGGTTTTTCCAATTCTCTTTTGTGAATCTTGTTTTCAGGACATTTCGCAACCGGACACTGCAAATCGTCGAACATTTTTCAATTTCTAGAACCTTCTAACCAGACTTGCAACGGGCCGGGCCTGGCCGGGCCAAAATTGGAAATTTTCCGGCCCGGGAGGATGCACCTAAAAATTTAAAGCGAACTAGAACTTCGAAACGAACAATTTTTTAAGTTTTTTTTAGTAATTTTATAGACTTAAAATTTTATAGACTTAAAAAGGCAATGTTATAGCATAAAAACCTGTTAAAAAATAGAAATTGCTGTTTAAAGTCGCAAAATTTTCACAAAAATTACGAAAATTTTCTCAAGAGTGGGCGGAGCGATTGATTGCAACTCTGGCACGCCATTTTAGCAATTTTGCCGCACGCGGTTTCCTCTTCCTTCATATTTTTTTTGCATATTTTCTTTGAGGTCTAACTTCCGGGCCGACCGGGCCGGGCCGGGCCGACGATTTGCTGGCCCGGCCCGGGATTTGGCAAGTCTGCTTCTAACATAGTCAACGTGTAAATCGACTTTCCTCCACAAAACTGGTTGCAAAGTGTCCTCCCAGTTGCGAAACGTCCAAGCGTGGGTGCAAAGTGTCCGCGCGGGACTAAAAAGTAAAGTTCCCGTCGCTTTTTCGTCTGCAAAAGACGTCGCGTCGGTTGAGTTGACGTGTCGAAAGAATAAATTGAATTTCGTTTTCGAAATGCGAAATGCGCGCCAATCTGTTGCATCTTTTCTCTCGCCGCCACACAGATTCAATATGCATGAAAGAATTGAAATGAAATCTCGGCGGTTTCATTCACCGCACACACAAAAAGTCCTTTTAATATCCAATGTCCTCTCGCCTACACACAGCTTTTGTCGCCCACTGGTCCACTCGTACGAAAGTCGATTACCGTCACTTTTATTCTCGGCAACTTTGTGCTTTGAGGTCTGCGACGCGCCACGAGTTCAGACAAAATTCTGTGTTGCGACTTTTTTCGAAAACTTGTTAGGGTCCTATGGGTCAGCATTGGAAACGTCACTTCGCGGGCGTTCCCAGACCGATTCGTGTTTCTAGTTTTCTGGTTTAGCACCAGAGTTGAGCCGAAGAACTCAACGGAAGAACACGGAAGAATTTTTATCTTTTTTAGAACATTTTTTCATGAAATGTGATCAACTGACGAAATGTTTAGCAAAGTGAACTCTGCTTATAGAAAAATAATTGTAAATTTAACTTTTCATACAAAAAAGTTATTCGAGTTGTTCCGTTAGCCCTTTTTTCACGCAACAACTCGAACAACTTTTTTGTATGAAAAGCTAAATTTACAATTATTTTTCTATGAGCAGAGTTCACTTTTCTATACATTTCTTCAGTTGATCACATTCCATAAAAAAATTTTCTAAAAAAGATAAAATTTCTTCCGTGTTCTTCCGTTGAGTTCCTCCGCTCAGCTCTGTTTAGCACTCGTCCAAAGCCCCCCTTTGAAGATGTTATTTGAATTAGCGCTGGGCAATGGGGCCTGCCCTTATCCTGGACTTTTGGCCCACTTGCAATGATCCGATCGGGCCCAAACTTTGCAGGCTTCTTGGACGCACATATCTCGGGACCAGATGATCCGATCCGGCTGAAACTTGGTCACAGTATACAAGAAGCCTGCAGAGTTTGGGTGCGATCGGATCGTTGCAAGTGGTTCAAAAGTAGAAAAGAGTTTTATTGAACGTTCATTACCACACAATTTGAATTGACTAACAAGCCCAACTGATCCATCTTTTGCTCCCTGCCCCCCGGAAAAAGGGAAAAGAAGGGCAAATTGGAGTTGGCTTGCTCAAATCATCATCCAATTATAATATTAGCCACCCCACCCCCACGCCTCCTTTCTTTCCCGCGTTGGCCAACAATAACAAGAAGAAAGATGTGAAGGAGAATCGAATTGAATTATCAAATTATTCGCCCCACGACGACAATTTATTTATTTGTGTTGTTGTGTCCCGTTTCTAAAGTGAAAGATGGCTCGGAAAGATATCGGCGCGCGCAAATTTCTCGAGATCGAAATGCAAATGAGCGAAGAGCAATGAGAAATGAGAAATGGAACTTAATGTTGAAATATTTCCTTTTTCGGCGGAAACGTGTCAAAGTGACACGAAATAAAATGAAGTTTCGAGTTTAGTTCCCGTTCTGTGCAAACGTTGATATTAGTTTTGCTTCAAACAAAAAGTAGCCAACCAAAACCTTTGCGTAAGCTGAAAATGCAGCTGAAAATGCGAATTTTCGGGAAAAATGCAGCTGAAAATGCGAATTTTCGGGAAAAATGCAGCTGAAATTGACAGAATTAAAGGGTTTTGCCTTTCTGCGAATGTTCTAGTCGAGAAAAATGAGCGCGCCCTGAGATTACGGTAGATTTAAAGGCGCAGTGCCGATGGGAACAACTTTTTTATCCGAATTTCGCTTTTTTCTCGTTTAATTTGAAAGAAATTAATAAAAGTCCAACGAAAACAAGCTTTTCTCTTTTTTATAATCATTTTTTCTACTCGAAAACAAGCAACAATCAAAACTAGACGAAAAACAACGCAGAAAGGTTACGGTAACTTTAAAGGCGCAGGACAGTTTTCGAAAATGCGACAACCCGGAAATTCAGCGAAGCATTAGGGAAACTCAAGTAACTGAGCAAAACAACGACGAAATCGTTCAAAAAACGTCGACGTTTTGCTTTTTCCGCTTTTTTTGTCGAATTTGCTTTCAATCGGTCCGCCTGCCTAGAAATGCGACGCCAAACTACGAGCACATGTGTTTGCGGCTGTTTCGGTGATCAATGTGTCACTCAAACACTCGTAAACATCATTTGATCTCTGTGACAGGTGCGAACGGTCACCGACCCGGCCAGAAGAGCTCGCGCGAGTTTCGCAACGCCGCCAGTCTCTCGGCAGAACGGTCCTCCTCGACATCTTTTTTCTTTCCTCCTCGTCCTGCCTGCCTGCCGACCGCTTTGCTATTTCAGGTATCCAAACGGCTTGGGACGGGGGGTGGTGCTCCCCCGTCTCATGGTTTCTTTCGCAACTGTTTGGATGCCTGTTGCTATTTTTGTTCCTGCCACATGTGCCCAAATTCTTAATTACCTGAGGCCCTGTACGACTCCTGAAACCGGACATTTTGTGACCGAAGCTTTGAAACTATTGTTGGTCTATTCTCTTCACAGTATCTGTATGCTGCTCATTTTTTCCGACATGCTCTCCGCCCGCATTATCCTCCTCGATGACCCCTCCTCCCTGATCCGCCGCATTTGTAATGGCAATAAGCCAATCGGACACCTCCTCTGCGTCTCCGCAATTGTCCACCCTTTCATTCAGCCATCCGTGCGTCCGTTCGGCTAGTCTTCTCGGCTAATAGAGGGAATAGTGCGAAACCCATCCGTTGGTTTGATTTGTCCGCCTCCCGCATTTGGTCGAAACCAATTTCTTTTTTTCCGCTTCTTCTTCCACCCGTTCCGGACCGGTTTTTTGCCGTTTTCGCACCATTTCACTCACTGTTCTCGCAGGTTTTGCTTGCGCATTTTTGTCGTTTCTGTCCTCGATAAAAGTTAGGCTCACTCCCGGCGTGCCTTATCAAAAACAAATTTTTCGCCGCCCGCACTTAAACTTGTGCGCCGTGCCAGCAATCGTGGAGCCCCACAAAATTCCGAAATTGGTCGGAAGATGTGAATTTTTCAATTTTTCAAGTGGCCTGAGGTCAAAACGGTGCCGCGCATATTCTCGACTGATTTTCGATCACCTCGACACTATCCATAAAAGTGTGTCTTGACGAACAAGTACTTTGTAGATTGCTTTAATTTTCAATTGAAATAGTCTCCGTGCGACGACGGAACACTCTCGATTTGGCGCCGCGCGGCAAAAGCCGAGAAATAGAGATTTGTCTAGAGATTCGGAGATTGTCAAGTGAGAAAACTGTGTGGTGTCTGTTTAGTTTGACACTTTTTCAAGAGGCCTCCCACAACTTTCCGATCCCATTAACCTTGGAGAATCGGTACTTTTCTCGCGTTGAAAGTGTGTTCAATGTAGCGTATTCTCTTCTTCTCTTTCTTCGTAAAAGCTTGTTGTTTCCACTGATTTCTATCAATTGGAATTCTTCTATTTTTGTCGTTCTATCCATCTGGCTCTGGCTATTGTATAGATCCAGATCATTCAAAAAAGCAAAGTAGGAGAAGAAGAAGAAGAAGAAGAAGTGTAATACTGAATGGCAATTGCGATGCGATCGAAAAAAGTTTTTCCTCAAGACGATCGGATCCAATTGACTGGCCACATTATATATGTTTCTTGGTTTTTTCATCCAGAAAATTGCCGTAATTCTCCGCCTTTCTCTCACTTTTTGTGTTGTTGCGCCCACAACGATATTGTCCACTTGGTTTTCTTGGCCGCCCGCCCGCGCACACACGCGCACCTGAATGTTAGAATTGAGAATGGCAATTATGCGTTTTTCTCTCTCTCTCCCTTTTTCTTCTTCTTCTTCTTCTTCTTCTTCTTCCTTTTTATTATTCGTTTCGCAAAATGTTTCCAGTTTTGCAAAGGTGTCGACGGCAAAACAAAGTAGTTTGAGAACGT